AAGTGTGTATGTATTTATATTATTAATGTTACAAGTACCCGACCTCCTGCCGTAAATTATTGATATATAATATAGGTCGGGTATGGACATCCTTTTAACATATTGGTATTTATTGAGTATTAAGGCTTAAAGAAAACGGAAGTATAATACTTACCAAAAAATAAGAATGTCCCGTAATTAAAATCTAACTGAACAAAAATGCCACACTTCCACAACGCGGTATCTCCGGATATGCACTGCGTAGGTAGATAGGTACCAACAAAACATTTTAAAACGCATTTCGGTTATTACCAGTTTTTTCAGTCTATTTTGCCACTATTGGTGTAATTTAACTTTAATTGTGATACAATGTGCACTAGTAGTGTAAAGAAAAAAGAGCTCTTATAAGAGCTCTTTTTTCTTTACACTACTAGTGCACATTGTATCACAATTAAAGTTAAATTACACCAATAGTGGCAAAATAGACTGAAAAAACTGGTAATAACCGAAATGCGTTTTAAAATGTTTTGTTGGTACCTATCTACCTACGCAGTGCATATCCGGAGATACCGCGTTGTGGAAGTGTGGCATTTTTGTTCAGTTAGATTTTAATTACGGGACATTCTTATTTTTTGGTAAGTATTATACTTCCGTTTTCTTTAAGCCTTAATACTCAATAAATACTATAGTAACATCAAAACTGACAAAGAAATTGGCATGCACTGTAGTGTACATTTTGTCACTATTCAACACATTAAGGGGTAATAAACACTCGCATTAGGTATTTCTACCCTTTTGATTTATTTTAATAATAAATAGTGTGAATGTAAAAAAATACTATTTTTGTTCGCCATTTCAAATTTAATCAGCGAATTCTTTTTATGGCTTTGGAGGGAAGGTGAGGGGGCATTCACCGTGGTATTTTTAATATTTTACGACATGTAGTTTTATTAGAGCTCAAAAAAGATTACAGTCCCTTTTATGTACCTAACAAGATTTATTTGGAAAAGGGCGATTCGCCCCTTTTCATTACAAGCTACAATCATTAAAAGACCCCACCGATGTATGAAAATCAATAAAAATATTTTACAAGAAGGTAGTGGAATAACTTAATTTAAAGTGGATTAGTTTAGTCAGAAAATAAACAAAACAGGCCATATTTACTTGGGGGTTGAATTAAATTGGTTTTGTGTTACAATATTTAAATTAACGATGAAGGCTTGTCGTAAATATTTTTATTAAATTAAGTCATGTGTTTGTTTAAGTGTAGCGGATGAGACTGAGTTACAGAGAGGAAGTAATAAATTTTATTTAATTTTAGCTTTTAAAATGCATTAAGTTAAATTGTATGTATCAAAGCAAAGCTTTTTATTAAATAAATAAGGCAGGTGTGTGGTTGGCCGAAAAATTGCGTAAAAATAGTAAAAGCACCAAAGGTCATAAACTGGTTTATTACCATAAAAAGATACACACACACAAACAGGCAGTAGCTTCGATTGTATGTATATTTTTATTTAACATAAAAAAATAATGACACCAAGATTTTTATCAGGGGGGAGAAGAGAGACGCATAAACAAAGTACTTTTCAGACTGTGTGTATATACAAAAGCGTTTCTCGATTCTGTACAACGATAAGCCTCTCTTGTTGCAAGAAGAAAACCATAAAAAATAAAATACCTAAATATGTGTATATTTAAAGAACAGCTATGTTATTACTTGCATTATGTATAAAATGTGTAATTTCATCTTGAAATGTTACATTATACTTATAATTTGCATTGCAGAATATTTTTAAAGAATAAAGAACTTTTATAAGTTTAGTGTTTTTTAAGTTTAGTATTAGTTTAAAAGCTTTAAAATATTTTATACACATGTTTTACGTTAACAAGCCACGTATTTTGGACGATAGATGGTGCTAATAGTTTAAAAGCTTTAAAATATTTTATACACATGTTTTACGTTAACAAGCCACGTATTTTGGACGATAGATGGTGCTAATAACTTTCGTTCACTTTGCTACCGCAGTTGAGGTATTTTGTTGCATATAAACCGGCTGATGACAGTTTGATACAGATGGTTAGGTTTTTATAAGTTTTAACTTATGGTATATTTCACAGTAAAAAAACTGTATTCTGTTAACTATACACTTTTAATCAATATAAAAAAGTATTATAAAAAGTTATGTAAATTTAACAACAAATTAATTGTTAATTGAATAAACTATTTTCATTGTAACAATTGTAACATTTTCAACCTACTGTTGTGTTTTGGGTAGTTTTTTTAAATAATTTCAAGGCATTAAAACAAATTATTTATTATAACAAAAAAATTAAATCATATTATATGATGTACAAAATAAAAAAATATGAACTCACTTTTTAAACAAAAAGTCTGCTTCGTTTATAGAATAGACCTTAAATATTTCTTTTAGAAAACGTCGAAATTTTAATTTTCTTAGTGGTCTTTTTGATATTTTTATCATGCTAGATTTTACCACACTTCACTCGCACAAGTGAAATCAATAAGATTACAACACAGACTGAGGATTATAAAGTTATGTTCACCAAGGAGAGCGCTGGCCCTTTCCCCCTCTTTTTAAGGGAAATAACAAAAATTTTGTCACAATTGCAAAACTATAGTAAATATTAAAAAAGTATTTTAATAGGAATAAAATATTTTTGTTATTGTTCTTAACATAAGCTATTATAAAAGATTTTCTAACTGAAATAAAATTAATTTGAATTACAACGATATTAATTTAAAAAAATATATGCCATAGTAAAATGAACAAATTTTACTATAACAACTGCTCATTATTATGTAAGCGCAATTCACACACAACTATAGATTTAACAAAAACATTTTAAGTTCGACAAAGATTTAATATAAACATACAGGATTTCTTATTGCCATGACAATATGATAACAACTATAACTTTGTTGGATGAACATTTTTTTTATAAAAGCTCAACATTATAGTAAGTGGTACATTTTTGTATAGCCATTACAAATTTTAAGTTAAATAATATTATTTTATTAATCGTTACAAAATTAGTTTCATTATCAGTGCATATACATTTTAGTGTAGTTATAATTACAAAAGCAGTTTGTAGACCCAGTAACAAAAGTATTTGTTGGAAATTGGAAACTTTTTTTTATTATTCCAATTCGGTGTTTAAAGGTTCTTCTAGTATGTTGTCCATTTTATTCAATACAATCTAACAAAGAAAAAACATAAAATATATTAAAATAATAATAAAAACTGGTTATTCAAATTTGAGGCAATTAAATGTAAAAAATGGGCCATAAAATACGGTGGTTTGAAGATTTATCGTCGTTATTTAACGGCTCCGATGGGAATAATTTTTTTAACAAATATCCGGGAATATTTAAAAAGTAATCTTTTACGTAAATATAAAAATATAAAATTGTGCTTGTCCCTCGGGGCACACTGACAGTGTATTTTTGTTTTATATAAATTTATAGGACTTATTTCCCGGTTTTATCGCTTTTGATGATGAATAGTCGCAATAAATAACAGTTTAATTACCCCCCCCTCCCCTACCAAAACCTCGCATTATGTTTCTCATCGAATGGCCTACTTCGAAAATGCAAATGTCATTGCACGCGAAAACTGTCAATGCCCACTTTATAATGTCAAGTTATATAAGCCGTGAAATCCAGAGACCTTTACAGAATTTATTAATTACGCGCCAAACAAAATGGAAACTCAAATCCAAATCGGCGAAAATTAAAACTGGAAACAAAAACGAAACATCCACTTCCTTTGTTTTTTTTCGCTGCTGATCAGGTCGGCCATTGTTGGCGGATTTATTGCTAAAAATGCTTTTGTCGAAGCTGAACTTTTGAAGCTGAAAACATGAAAAATTAATTGGAATAGGAATGTTTTTCTGGATGTCTGATACCTTTTTGGGATTTTTTTATTAATTTTTTTCTACACTGTTTCATGACCATTTTAACACCAAATTAACACCATACATGGTCTATATCGATACAAACCAAAATGGTGTTAAATATGGTTCGTTGGTCCAGTGTAAATTCAAATACTAAAATGTTATCAATTTAACTTTCACACAGTATTAAAATAAATTTTACCTGGTGTAAATTGAACTCCTTTTCAGTTTTAAATATTATGTGTTTTTGGTCAAATTAAATCATACTACACAGAAAAAAAGAAAAAAAAAGGAAACAGAAAGTTCCTTGACGCATTACTAGTATATTAACAGTGGTATTATGCCAGAAAATTAAACCTTCAACTCGCTAGAGATAATGTTTTTAGTGCGTTCCACCAACTTAAAATACTTCAAATATTGACAGCTGTTTCCACCTATTTAAGGTCTCTTTAGTATCGAACAACTTGTAGTGTCACACAAAAGCAAAGGACTACCTAAGCTTATATACTCTTCATGTAAGTCAACAGAGGCGAGATTTAAGAACATCACGTGATCCACACCGCCTTTGCCGCGATCGGTACACACTATGCAACCAGGAATGCACGGCAAATTGTTTTAATCGTTTTAACAGAGTGCTTTAGGTAGAAGTAACTCTTATTTTACAAACAACATATTTAGTAAACTGAACCATACAGCGGGTTGGTTTCACTAAAGTTGTCTGGGTTAATTTAACCAATTTAAAAAAATAAAATAACTATCTGGTTTAGTACCGTCAAACTAATCTTTGTTTATATTAACCTTCCCACAGTTGATTTAAATAAATACTTATGGGTCAACTAAATTAATATAGTTAAATGAACTATTTCTTTTTTTCTGTGTAGGTGCACTTCTCAAATATTTTTAGATAAACACCGTTTTGGTGTTTGCTGTATATAACATTTTCAACCATAATTCATGGTGTTTATATTAACACCACTTGGTGTTGGATTTTGATACCATTTTAAGATTACTCGTTACAACACAGTGTAATGCAGATTAAAAAAAATGTTTTTTAGCATTTGTCATTTTTTATTTTTATTAATAATTTTCGTTTTTTTTTCTTTCAGAGAACTGAAAACGTAGACCTATCGCTGAGCATACCGCAGTCAAACTTTCAAGCCAACGGATACGACATGGGAGATCAGGTGAGATCAGAACGCCAATTTTACCTTGATAGGAAACGTTGAACTGAAAATGCGACGTTGTCGATATCAATCATAACAACGCTGACTTCTCGGCGTGTTTATGTTTGTTTTTCGTTTTCGTTTTGAAATCGAATTTATCGACTGCTTTTGTTTGCAACTGCACATGTACACATGTACTCTGGGACCTGTGTGGTCCACAATGTTTGAAGACTTGATGATAATAAAATGGCAATTTCAGTCTACTCAACATTTTTTCCTTCAATGGGTTATATTTTAGTTTCTCAAATTTCAGTAGTCCTTTTATTTGTGTTTTGCCCGATAAAAAGGGGATTTATGTTTATTATAAATTACAGTTGGTATTTTAAAAGTCTCGGAGGATCGTAAAGGCTCTTTACTTCTTAAAATATTACCTTGTAAGCCTTTTATTGTAAGTAAGTGTACACTCCATTAAGATTTATCAAAAGCTTTTTCTTTTTTTTATTTACGACCCTCTTACACGATGATATTTTATTTTGCCATTACTGCATTTATTTTTTCCCGCGACAACTGACCCACATCGATTTTATGTTTTATAAGATGTTTCGTCCTAAAAATAAATTCTATTTATATGGCTATTAAAGCAAGCAAATCAATTATCTTAAAAGCTGAAAATTTATAAAGATTACATCGATATTTTTAAGATGCTCGTAAAAATACCATAAAAAATCAATTTATGTTTAAAAAAAATGGCACGTCGGTGATGATGATTATTATCGATGTAATAAAATCCAAATTATATATATCTTATTTTTATTGATATTGTTTCAAAAGACCACACAAGATGAACTAACATTCCTGTTGCAAAATGAAAAATTACATTCTGTCATATTATCATTTCTCTGTCATATTATCATTTCTCTTAAATATTGATATGTACTCCTTTAGACTTAAGTTTAGTGAGTAAGTAGTACTTACTGAGTATTCCGATATGTATGTTGTGTTTGGAGAATGCTTAAAAATGAAGTCATAAGCCTATGTGTGCCAATGTTACAGTTACGTTAATATTTGTTTAGTTTGTCTTTATATATTTTTTCTACTCCCACCTTTAAAACACCCTTTATCGTACATGTTTCCATGACACTAAGTGACCTTTTAAATACACATTGACAAGTTGTGGCTTTATGGCGCTTTAGTCACGGGCTGAAGTTAGAAACAGGTTTTTAGTCACGGGCTGAAGTTAGTTGACAGTTGTCAAATGTCATACAATCGTTAAAATAAAGTGCCTTTCTTGTAATATAATACTAAATGTGAAAATTATTTTATTATCTCAAGACAAAAATACAAAAGTATTAAATAGTTTTTCAACGCCAATATTTGAAAAGTATATATGAACATTGTACTGACATATTAATTTCGACGGTAGTAACCTATAACTTAAATTGGGGCACGGACTCCACTGTAAAGTGCTCATAAAACATTTTCTTTACTTTCACTGTAAAAAACTGTCAATTTTCAAGAAATACATTTCGATTTATAACCTTTATAATCTGTGTTTATAAAATACAAAAATGTGACATTTGACGGTGACACACAGATTCCCCTATTGTTTCATAGATGGCGCTCTATACAAATTTTTGACTTAAATCATTTTAAGATAATAATAAGTATTTGTCGTAGAAAAAGTATAGTATGCACCTCGTTTATAAACTTGATACATAATATACTATAATCTATGGTTTTATTAGTACCTGATAGACTCCAGTTTGCTTCTGTAAAGTCTGACGTAAAATAACTAACTTTCTGGGTCACCCTGTACATTCAACTTGTAAAGTTTTATAGGGCTCTGTATTTTTGAAATATTTTGACAGTCCATTGACAAATATTTATAAACATAAAAAGCAAACTTTGGTTATTTTTACTATTTAAATTAATATCCTAGCAACAATGTCGTTGAAGTTCGAAGTTAACTTCTTGGTATTTAATTAGGGAAAACGATAAATTCCTAGAATCGCGGGGTGAGGCGATAAAAACGAAAACTTGGGCTCCCTTAAGACCTGATTTATAATGTCGGAATAATTCTTCTTTATTTTCTCTCGAAATTATGGCCCATATTTCTCGTGGCGCAGTCGACATAAATTATCGAGGAAGTCTATTAAAGTTAGTCCGTGGGGTGGCCGAAAGATGGCGGTTAAGCGATCGAAAAACTCAAAGCGATGTTTTTTCGCAGACATTTCACACTCCAAGTTTTGGGGACGAAGAATTCGACATTCCTGCTATAAATCCGCAGCAGCAGCAGCAGCAACAACAGCAGCAAGCGCAGAATCACTCTGGAGAGCAGCAGCAACAGCAGCAGCATTATCAGCCCCCTATGCAAGGGATGCAGCAGATGTCGCAGCAAATGAATCAACAACAAGGTACGTCAAGTCAATTTTTGTAACTAGTTACACTTCGCTTCAGAAAATGCCAAAATCGTTCTCGAAAAGTACTTAAAGCATTTGGTGTTTTGTTTTGGTGTTGGGGAATATTTCTAATATTTGTTTGACATATCACTAAAGTTTTCCTTTATCAACTATAAGAACAATAGGTAGTGTAACGTTTTAAGATAGTTTTTAGGCAACCAATTTCTCATGTTGTCTTCTTTCAGATGCCATGGGTATGCATGACCCTACAGGAGGCTACCAACAGCCCCTGTACCTATCTGGGCCTGACCACGGCATGGTAAACTCATCGTACCACAGCCCGCAACCCAACTACTCGATGAGCCCTAGCCAGCAGCAACAGCACAACAACCAGCTGCTGATGATACAGCAACAGCAGCAGCAGCAGCAGCAGCAACAACAGCAACAAATGATGATGAGCCACGGTCAGCCTCCCCCTGGCGCAATGGGCCCTTACGGGACGTCCCCCCAACATCCCCAAGGAAGGGGGAACAGCCCCCCTGCTCCAGGACAGGAGCCAACCACCAGCGAAGATAGCGATGACAGTACTCCTCATCCCGCCATAGTAAGTACTCTAGACTTTTGATTGCATCTTCTATACTGTAAAAGTTAGAATGTTGCAATTTGGTACCATTATAAAATGTGTTATTATCCACAATATATCCAAACTTAAAGTCTTTATCATTCTTGGTTATAAAGTTATGAACGATTTTCGCAATCTTGAGGAAAGTACACTTTTGGACTTGTATCTTTTTTATCCGTAGCGTTATAATGTTGAAATTTTAACATTTCGTAAAGAATATATTTGTTAATAGTATGTTTAAATTTTAAATATTTTTTATTTTTATTTCCAAAGTTACGAAGAAATTTCTAAACTTTCTCGAAAAATTGTTGTTATGTCGAAGTTACTAGATAATATAATTTTGATTTTATCAATTAAAACATGATTTCACCATTATTATTTACATTATTAAAAAAGTCTCCACTCAACAGTAAAATACCAAGAACGGGTATTATTATGAATTATATATTATAGTGTGTTGCCATGAATTCGTTAGTATATTTTGTCGTTTGAAATGCAGTTAAATATAAAAATATTCGATTTTAAGGTTATGTTTGTGCAAAAATTATTTTTTATTAATTTCTTAAAAATGTCCAAACTTAAATATAAATTATATTAGGTAAAGTTATCATTAGTTAATTCTGCACCAACAAATGTCCTTACCGAATTGGATCCTTTGGCAAATCATGAAAATGCAACGAAATAGTTCTTGAATTTTATTTACAATTAAAAACACAATAATACACACACTAACGTAACTATACAAGCATATAAGCGTTGAGTTTCTTTATCAATGATATAAGGAATAATAAACCAAAGTTTTTTAGTTTTTACTTGCAACGCAAAACGCAAATAACGTGCGCGATTTAGCTGTGCAATTCAAACTTTGCTTACAAAATTTGTCGAAAAAACTACTTATATTTTTAAAAATTCGTGTGCTTTAAATTCTTGAATTCACACAATGATAGATGCTTCTTTAGCGTAGGTATAACATATTAAAATTTTATATCTGCAGCATTAACTGCTTTAGAGATATTGGACAACATAGATATTCATTCTGGTCGTTAAAAATTTATAACGAGATATAAAACATCAAAGCAACTCTATGAATAAAATAAGCGTGCGAAGTGCATGTATGCAACTTTAATGCAAAAAGAATCTCTTCTATATAAAATTCGGGATTTGATTTGCTAAAAACTATTTAAATATTTATGAGAGTGGAGGTTATTCCTTTACTGATTTTTAGTCTAAAACTATGTAATGCATTGTATCTAATGAAATGCACCTTTTAGGCACAATAGGGCCGTAATTTACCTTTACTTATTCTCGGTGTATTTTATCGACAATTTTATGTAAATATCGCTTGGTTATTTGCAGATTACGGCCATGAAGCGGCCGTCACCTGAGCCTGCCGACCAGACGCTGACAAAGGCCCAAAAAAAGCCGAAAGTGCAGAAAAAGAAAAAGAAGCGGGACCCCAATGAGCCGCAAAAGTAAGTGAATTTGTTTGTTGTTTTGTCTCAGATCGAGATCGGTTCGGTGTAGACTCGCTTCAGTTAATTTATTTAATTCTCCGCTGCTATTTAGCGGGAGATCGTTCGTTTTGTAGATTAGAGAAAACTTCTTGCTAATTAAAGGCAGTTGTGTCAATTAGGACGGCAATGAGATAATAAATTGGTGAATGGGATTTAACTTGCTACCAAGTACCCAAGGTTTTTTCCCTTTTTTAATTTCTCTTCATTTATTAGGGTAATTAATATTAATACCTTAGAAAGTGCAGTTTGTTTTGTTTGGAAATTAAATCTTGTGGCAAATAAAGAAGATACTATATTTATTAGACTGGGCCAAAGAAAAAATTGAAATTTTAAGTTTTTCTTCAATTTTAATCGTGAATAACTTTTGAAGAATTAAATTTAGGCAAAAATGCCAAGAGACCTTTTTTGTAGAACATTAAATTTTCTTTAAGAATCCGACGTAAGCTTTTTTAAATATTCATTGATTCATTAGTTACAAAATTTCAAAGTAAAAAGGGCAAATCGAAAAAACACATCGATTTATTAAGCTCAATTACTCGGAAACGGCTCGTCTGACGAAAATTTTCAATCAGACCTTTTTTGTAGATAATTTAATTTTACATAAAAATAAGTGAAAAGGAATTTTTTTCACTTTAATGTTTTGACAGTTCTAACGTAAAACATCAAATTATGACTAAAAATCAAAAATAGCGATGATAGACCTCTTAAAATTAATATTAAGGGCTCAAATTTTCACGAAATTTTTTTTTGTCATTCTGAATGACATTCTCGATATATTTTTCAAAAAAAAATTTGTTTGGCCCAGTCTAATATGTATAAGAATGTAAAATGTTAAGTTCAACTCAATTTGAAATTTCGAATAGTAGTAATCAAGAAAAATATCAACAAATTATTTATAATTTAATATTTTAAATCAGGTTCAACAAATATGATAAAGTAAAACCCCCTTTGGTTGAATGGGATAAATAAAGTTTGTCGGAATTTTATAATAAGTAGTTTGCAAAGTGACATAAATAATTCAGTAAATTTGCTGGAAAACTTTTATTGGAAAATATAAATCTGCGGAGTTTTGCAGTTTTTAAGCAAAACTTGTTTTCACGTATCCGGCGGATGGAATTCCCCCCCCCCCTCTAATCCTTCAATCGCTTTTTCCTCACATCGATTTTTCTTCTTTTCCTTTTAAATTTTATACACTTTAAGATCGCCCAAATGCAATACAAGCAATTCGAAAACTTTTCGTCGTCTAGCGCGGAAAACAATTTTTATCGAGTTACATTTTTCCATCACCCAGAGGAAAATCTTTACCAAATGCACGTATTAATTTTCATCCACACACGCGCAATAGGAAATTTTCCGGCTCGGGAATTTTTTAATAATGCAATAGTTTGAATTTTCGCGATGCCTTCCATTATATTTTTATTAAAAGTTTGAAATTGGTTTTTCTTTTAGACCACCTGACAATAAAATCCCCTGCTACAGAGCTTCTCTCTCTCTCTAAATTAATTTTACTGCAAAAGTTTTCAGAACAATTTTAATATCGTCCTGAAAAATGTTTTTTGGGTGAAATTTTAAATTTTCAGTGTAATTTAGACAACATATTGCCTACTATATTTTTTAATATATAAATAAGAGTTTACCACTGATTATTTTAATGTATAATGGGTTGCATATTAAATTTCAGAAACATTGCTCTGAATTATAAATTTTAGTCTAACCCTTATAACTACATATTACCTATATAAAATAATTTGAATGAACGTAATATATCAATTTTGTGTTCTTTTTTGACAGACCAGTGTCGGCGTACGCACTTTTCTTCAGGGATACGCAGGCAGCAATAAAAGGGCAAAATCCAAATGCGAGTTTTGGAGAAGTGTCCAAAATAGTGGCGTCTATGTGGGATGCACTGGATTCAGAACATAAAAATGTAAGACAAATCATAATATACCTAATAGTTTTTTTAAACTTTTATTTACAATATTATTTTAATTGTTTAGGTGTATAAAAAGAAAACTGAAGCGGCCAAGAAGGAGTACCTCAAGGCTCTAGCCGCCTACAGGGCAAGTTTGGTGTCCAAAGGCGCCGGTGAAGGAGAGGGGATGTATGGAAACTACGGTAAATATTTTTTTTATTTTACTCTACTGCGACCTTTAAATATTTTTATTCCCATTTTAGTATTTTTCTTGATGTTTAGGATTTTACTTTCAAGTTGTAAAATTTAAAGTGCAGATTTTTATGTTTTTTTTAGGGTCACCTACTTTTTATAATTTTCCTAGTTTATAAAAATCGTTAAGGATATTTCTTACAATTTAATTACTACATTTTAGCTTCTTATATATATATTTTTTTTAAATAATTTGTTTTTGATATTTAGTTTTGTTTTTACATTGCTTTTTATGATTTTTCCTTATAATTATTACTTTTTTCATGTTTTTTTTTACAAATTTAAAGCTTTTTTAATCTTTTAAATACACATTGACAAGTTATATCTTTATGGCCTTTTTAAGGCCGTTTTAATATTTATTAAATAATTTTTTAATTTAAAATTGTATTGGTTTAAAATTTACTAATACAATAATTCTAAAATGCTGTTAAATGACTTGAGAAATTTAAACCAAAAACTTTTAGGGACTATGCTTAAAATTTACCTTTCTAGAAAGAGACACCGTTAATAAATAATACATAACTTTAAAATCTGGTTTACACAATTAATTAATTTAATATATATTTTATTTTTTCAAATGACAATTAATAGGTATATTGATAATTAAAAGTGACAAATAACACAAAATCCCTCATTAAAACTCATGTTTTTTAGGAACTTTGTAGTATTTTTAAGGCACAAACACAAAACACATTAATTATTAGTTATAACCTTAAAAAATGAAGGGAGAAAAATCTTATTTATAATTCAAATTTATTTCATAAAAGTTAAATTTTATGAACTTTCAAGGTTATTAAATAAACACTAAATTTTAAGTTACGTTGTATAAAGTGTTTCATAGCTAACTTTTATGCTTATGCACTAAATTGTGAATTATGAAATAAATTAATGATATAAAGTTGTATAAACCCGCCATTACATTTAAAGGTGTTAAATTTGTATTAATTTAAAATTGTTAAATATAAAAAGTTTTGGTTTGAATTTGTAAAGGGTCATTTAAATTATAGTTGATAAATTTTTAATCCAAAAATTACCTCTTTAAAATTTAAAACATTTAAAACATTTTAGTATTAAAAGTTTATCGACTATTATTTAAATTACCCTTTAAAAATTTAAACGGAAAATTTTGTAGAATAAAATATTTTGAACTACAATTTTTAAAAATCAAATTTTTTGAAGCTGAAAGTTTTACAGTAGTATTTTATATTTAAATTTTTTTTAGTTTAGTTTTAGTTTTCACAATGTTTTCATAATTACCGATTTTTGCAGTACCTACCTATTTATTATTGTTTTAGATTATTTCCAAAAAAACAAAAAAGATTTTTTTAGATATTTTAAAATTTCTCTCTAGATTTTTTAAATATTTCTCTGTGCATAATATTTTATTTTTTTTTATATTTTTTGGATTATTTTTATATTAAGTACTATTTTCTTTTTGTATAATTTTTAAATATATTTTTCGAATTTGAATTTTAAAAATTCGTATTTCTGTTTTCGGGTATAATTTTTTTTTAAATTTCTTTACTTTTAAAAAGTTCTTCATTAATCTATTAAATATTTTTAATTTTTCTTTTTAAAATTGTTTTGGGGTAAAATGATTTTTATGATTTTTTAAACCATCCTAAAATTGTTCTATATTCGCAATTCCCCTTGCAGGTAACTACAGCACTGGGGCGCCGCAGTACGGGGGCTACAATCCGCAGGGCGCGATCCCGTCGCCGCCCATGGCGGGCGCCCAGCCCCCGCAGCAGCAGCCCGGCGGCCCTAACCAGTCCCCGCTCGGCAAAAAACCGCCGATGATGGGAATGCCGTCCCCGCAACAGCAGCAGCAGCAGCAAGGCCCGCCGCACCCCGGCATGATGCAGACGCACATGGGCATGCCGCCTCACATGCAGCCGCCCCCGCAGCACCAGTACATACAACAGGTATGCCGAGTTTAAGAGCGGGTTAGTCGGGCAAAAATTTTAAAAGTTTTAATGTCGTTCGAAGAAGTTTAAGTTGTTTGTACCAAGAAATGCAAGTTTAATTCTAATAGTTTTGAAAAATTTGACAATTTTGGAAATTTGGAAAATTTTGGATATTTTAAAAATTATCGCAACCAACAATTTTATCTTGAAAATGACTTTAAAAATCGATATAATTTTTCGGTAGCGTCACAATGTTATAATATATATATATATATATATGGTATATTGGTAGGTATAATAGTCGTGTCAAGATTTACGAATGTATGCAAAAATATTTTTTTTAACATAACCAAATTCTTTTACTGTTATAAAAATAATTGTATTTGTTATAAACCCTTAACAGCGTATATAAGTACAAAGTCTATACAATTATTTTTTTAAATTGAATACAAATAAGTAAGGTTATTTAGCTGTCAGTTTAACGCTAATTTCGTCCACGTTATATGTATTTTTTTAGGTAATTTAAATTAATTTTTTTTAAATGTGCTATGAGGTAGTACATTTTTTCCAAAAAATAATTTAAATTAGCTAAAAACGTTCAACCTTTTGAAATGCTCTGTAAAATTGTCAAATATTATAATACGTGGAAATAAATGTTGAATTCATTCGTAATTCTTGACACATCTGTTATAACATCGTGACGTCACGTGTTTTTAAAATGCTTCATTTTATTGTTTAAGAAACTTAGGAAGAATAATTGATAACAAACTTGTGTGCATAGATTCGAAATATGCAACAAAAACTGTAGATTTTCAAAAAAGTTGACAGTTTTGTTCAATGTAGGTAACAAATATTGTTTTTTTTGTTGTAATACTATCTAATTTTTAATAGTATTTTATGATTTTTTAAGATTAATTTATCACAGGGACATCCTATTAACTTACATAATTCATGTAAGGTAAGATTTTTTTAAATTTTACAATTTTAGTAGTTTTTGTTGTCTTTTGTAGAGAAAAATTGGAAAAAAGTTTTACTATTTTAAATATTTACAAATTATTTTTATAAAAAAAATGTCAATAGGTACTTGAAGATTTTGTTTTTTATTATTTTGAAGTATATTTTAAACAAACTAATATATATTGATATAATTTTCATTATATCACTATAATTTATTATTTTTTCAATTTTTCTCTTTTTTCAAATCTTTCCAATTGTCCAAAAAACTAAATATACCCGTATTTTTTAACTTGGAACTTTCTAGTCTTTCCATAAATTTTATTAACATTCCTCTATTATTCACTAGACCAATATAATACGATTTTCTTTAGAAAGGGATTTTTAATAAAATTCATACTTAAATTTTACAATAAATAATATAATATTTTATCTTTGGGCTTTTAACTTTATAATGGTAAAGTGATGATTATCGCCTAGGCGATAAATAATTAAGACCGCGAAACGCACAAATTACAAAACTGTTTTTATAAAAAAAATTGTAGATAATTTATTATATAATGGTTTGGCATCAAAATTGTCAAAAAATATTCTTCTTTTATTAGGCTATACATTAAATTTAAAAAAATGCAAGAAATATTTTATAAAAGTACAGATAATTTGAATAATTAAAAGGTGTGGATGGGCTAAAAAAAAGATTAATCTTGTTCCATCCACACCTGTCATATATCTCTACTTTTATAAAATATATCTTGCGTTTTTTTAAATTTATTGTATAGCCTAATAAAAGAAGAATATTTTTGACAATTTTGATGCCAAATTGTTTCATGCAATCCCTTGCGGCCTTGAGTTCACGGTTTATTCACCGTGAATTCACTGTCTGTTTGTGACATTTGTAAACGGTAGTTAGACGGTGAATTCACGCACTTTTCACAGTATTTTAATTGTGAATCCACCGTATTTTGTTAATATCAAAAAATATTTATTTATCATTTAAAATGATTCTAAATTTTCGGTACTTTCACAGTGAATTTGCGGTGATTTTGCTTGAATTCACCGTGAATTTACCGTGAATTAACCATGAAATCACCGTCAATTTATCGCAAAAACAGTGTGATTTCACCGTTTAATTACCGTCTAAAAATGTCACAAATGGACGGTATATATAAACTCAAGGCCGCAAGGGATTTTTAAATAATATATAATAAATTACGTTAAATTCTTTTTATAAAAACAGTTTTGTGATTTGTACCGTCCGTAGTCTTGAAATTTCCGTTCTGTCAGATTTACTTATTATTAAAATTGTACGTTTTGGGTATCATTAACAAATATAATTATGCCTTAAAGATAAAATGTTGTGTTTTGCTTTGCTTAATTGTAAACTTTCTGCTCACTATTATATTAATAAACAAATTATAGATATTTAAAATGAAACAACACTAAACTTGAGACATTTATTGAGAAACTTATTCATAGTTCGTTAACCGCCTGTAAACGAAAAGTACAAATCATTTTTATTTTGAAAAGTGTATTTTTTAAGGTTCCTCAGCCGCAACACATGCCCGTCTCGCCCCAGCAGCAGCAGCAGCAGCAGCCCCAGCAACAGCAACACCCCCAGCAGCAGCACATGGCCGCGCAGCACCAGCAGCAGCAGCAGCAGCACATGTCGCCGCCCGCGATGGTGTCGAGTTCGCCGCCGACGTCGGCGGGCGGCGGCGGCCAGGGTCAGGGCCAAGGCGGTCAAGGTCAGCCGCCGTCCGGGCCGCCCTCGTCGTCGGTGGTGGGGCAGCAGCAGGGCGGCGGCCAGATGAGGCCGAACCCGTGCATACGTCACGGCTGCACCAACCCAGCCATCACCAATCCCGAGTGGGAGGACGAGTACTGCAGCAATGAGTGCGTGGTCAGCCATTGTCGGTGAGTACCTCAAACAAATTATTTAATATGATTTTAACATTCTAAAATTACCTTTAAAACTTTTAGAAAAAATCCCTTATCTACAATATTAAGCATTTTTATTAATAATAGTTATTTACATTTACGTCAAAGCGGCCTAACCTCACTTTTTTAGAATCTCATTTATTTATTAGCTAAAGACTACATTAAATGTACAATAATTATTATTGCTTTTAGAAGCAGTAATAGTTTGACAATGATTTAAGTAGACATGGATTTTTGTAAGAAAATGGTTTACTTACCCTCTTGCTATTACATTGAATTCAATTAATTGTTTAATAAATACGTATCTAATTTCAATTTGTTTGCATTTTTATTAAAAAAATAGGTAGTTTGGAATGTTTACGCTGTGTTTAACATTTAATTTCACTGAAAACTTAAAGCAAATTAAAACTTAAAGATAATTTAATTCGTAGAAAAAGAAAACACAACTGTGAAATCCACAGAAACGTCAAATTACAATGTCATAACCTCACTTTTTGTTTTATTATTCATATTTAATTTTACAATAATTTAATGAAAAATAATAGTAGTAGTAGTTTAGTACGTTAATTTCTTAGAACAATACCCCTAGCGAGAAAAAATCGAACGAATTACTTGCCTCATAATAGTTATTTACGATATAAGTGGGATAAGAGCTTTATTAACGTACGCATGCGAAATTTGCCAAACGAGTGCGTAGCACCAGTTGGGCAATCGCAAAAGTACGTTAATAAAGCGTTATCACACGTATATTGTACAAATTTTTATCTACGCCTCTAAATGAAAAAATAAACGGTAATTATTTTTGTCTAAGACTTAATTTAGGGTTATTTTGACATTTTGACTTTTTTATTTGATTGGTTAAAAGCAGAGAAAAACGTGTGCGTTCATGAACTTCTTATCTCACTCAAAATGAGTGGGATAAGAAGTTCTTATCTCACTAGCGTAGATAAAAAATTTTATCGGCCTAGGCCATAACAAGTTATTTCTTTATCGAATGTTGACAACAATAAAGTTTAAATTATAGACCGCGTGGAGATAAAAACTTTTATTTCATTGTAGGTAGGTAATTTTTAAAACGACAAAATATCATTTTTATTGTTTTTAACAATAAAAATATGTTTTTATTACTAAATATTTTTAAAATTAAGTAAATTTTGTCCTTAATTTTGTTTTAACATTCAAAATTTATTTTTGCCATTGTAAATTTAATATTTATTTATTATTTAATATGATTTTAAAACATTGGGTTTTGGACATTTATGCGGTTTTGTTTTATTCCTTTGAGATTCTAAATTATGAATTTTACATTTTTATATTTTCCCACTTCTGAATTTTTTTATTAGGTAAATTTTAACATTCTAAAAATACTTTTTGACACTTCTATGGTTTTTTGACATTCGAAAATATGCTTTGAACATTATTATAATATTTTTTCTACAAGCGTGCGGAAAGTTGTTACTTTCCGCACGCATAACCGTACGGAAAGTTGCACTTTTTCGCACTAGTGCGGAAAGTTGAACTTTTGTACTTTCCGCACGCTTGTAGAAAAAACATTGTAACTAACACGTGCTGAAAGTGTCATTTCCGCACTCGACTGCAGTCGCGTGCGGAAAAGTATCACTTTCCGCAGTTGTTAGGTAAATAACTATTAATATTATAAAATGGTTAATGTTTTGTTATTTATATTATAAATGATTTTTCTATTTTGTTAAATTAGTTTTGACTTTCTAAATTGTAATTTTTTTAATTACTTTCTTCTGCACACTTTAAATGCATATTTGGAAATTATTATAATATTTTAAAATTCTAAAATGGTTCATGTATTGTTATTTATATGATAAATGATGTTGTTATTAATAGTATACCTACTTGATTTATAAATTATGTCATTCTTAAATATGAATTTTAAAATGAAGTTAATATTATTTTTAAAGATAACATTTTTAAATTTTCCCAAGTGAGCTTTTCACTTTCTTATTTGTTTTTGTTTTGAATAAATTAAAATTTTAAAATTTTTTAAAATTGGTTTTTGACTTGACCCTTATATGGTTTTTATAATTATTCTAAATTTTGATTTTCTTAGTTGTAAATTTTTTAATTCCTAAATATGTTTTTTGACATTCAAAAATATGCCCTGGACTTTCTTATAAAATTTTAAAATTTTAAAATGATTCATTGTTTTGGTATTTATTTTCTTAAATGAGTTGACATTCTAAATTGTAATTTTTTTTAAATTAAGTATACTTAATTTATAAATTTTGTCATTCTTAAAAATGACTTTAACATTCATAAGTAGGTTTGACATTCTAAAATATGTTTAATTAATTTTGACGTGCTTAATAGTATACCTATTAAGATTAAGTTTTATAAACGTTATTTTAGTTTTATTAGGCAAATTAGGCAATTACAATAGTGTTTGCCCTTTATTATTAAAAATGTTACTAAAACGCTTCATCAATACATGTTTAATAATAAAGGGCAAAAAATATTGTTTAATTATTGCAATACCAATCATATTTAAAAATGACTAATTGTATGTAATCTTAAAAATTTATAATGTCAAACACATACCAAATACCAAATTCATAAAACATTTTAAAATGCCAAAATTACTTAATTTCAAAATTTATATATCTAAAATTTTAAAAACTTGTTGGAAAGTTACAATAGGTTTTAGAATGTATTTTTGACATGTTTTATTTTTTGTTGCAGTGACGTGTTTACAACATGGGTGTCCGGTAACAAGAGCCAGCCGCAAAATTTCTCGACAGTAAAATAAGGAACAAATCGCTTGCAGTTGTACGAACTCGAAAGAAACATCAAACAAATAAAAAAATCCACTTGTTGGCGGGGGTGCGACAACAACAAAATATTTAAGCAATACAATACCAACCATTTTTTTGGGTCAGATATATAAAGTCTATTTAAATGTAGGTAAGTTTATAAAAAAATAATAATAATAATAATAACGGGGAGAGAATTTTAAAACGCGAGGGAACTTGAGACGAGCATGTTGGGCATAGTGAGAGGAACTTAGTAAATAAGTGTTGTAAATAAAAATTAAGATAATCATTTCTTAGCCGTGAGTTTGCGCGGTAACCAATAGGACCGCGCAAATTCATCCCATAGGTATACAAGATAAACAATATTATTATTGTAATACTAGTTTATGAATTGTATATTATAAAAAACAGACGGAAAATTGACGTTTCGTTTTGTTAGGTTTTTTTCGTATCTAAGTTGCCCGGAAACTCAAAATATCGTAGTCGGTCTTGATGTGACAGTTGTTAAGTCAAGTCGGCTGTTACCATAGCGACCATCTTGTTTCCAGGGCAACCTAATAATAATCTTGCAATATATACGTAATTTTTTTGATTTTTTGATGAAACGTTTATTTTCCACTATCGTTGTTAAATTTCATGCTATGTAAATGCATGTATTCTTAAAATTTTCGTAGTTAGGTATGTCCAAAGTACATAAGATAAAATAAAAAATCTGTTTTTAGTTGATACTGATAGTTGTTACATTGATTCGGAGATGTGAGTTCATTTTTTGCAAGTCAGCCATAAAATAAAAATAATTTTCGCGAATTTGAAAATTATTTTTTATTTTTTCGGCGGTGTTTTCCGTTTTTTGTACTGATTTTAAGGACTGACATAAAATTTTAAAAGCAATTATTGGACACCATTCTTTTCAGTTTGGATTGTATGTACATAAGCCGTTTAATTATTTTATTCGCAAATCTTGATTTTTAAGACTTGTACAGTTTTATCGACGTCCTTATTATTTAGGGTCGCGGATTTGACGATTGTTTATCGATTATTTTTCGATTTTCGGGGGTTTCCGCGATGATCCCGAAAAAATAGTTATAGTGTAATTATTTTTATATATCATTGACCAATCAGAATTACGCTTTTTCGTCGATGTATATAAAACTTGCAATTGTTACTTTACTGTACAGGTGTTTTCATTTTGTTTTGAAAAATGCATTTTTTTGTAAATCAAACGTTGGTTTATTTCGTCAAACACCTGTACAATTGTTATACATATATGTAGATGTGACATTTTTTGGTAAACATCCCTATAGTATTAAATACATGGTGAAGGATGTACATAATTTGTGAATATGTTGAGACCTGTGTAAAGATATGAACTGTTTTAAACAGTGACTGTTATAAATTGCCATTATTTTTTACATTTCACTTGAAACGTGGTGATTTATAAGTATTCTTGTTTTTATTCTTTTTTTGAGGCTGTTTAAAACAATTTGATCTGACGAATTGTACATGAAAATAGATAAATACATATGATAATTATGTGAAAAATTGTTTTTATTTTGTTTGATTGATTTTTTTAATGTTTATTTTAATGAAAAGAAGAACGTGTTTGGATTAAAACAATGTACCCAAACAATCAACTCGATAAAGTATTAAGAAATATTAATTAAATATCGAATATATTTCATTATCTCTAAATGAGCTTTAAAGTATTTAAGTACAACTTACGTTCCACTATTACATACATTGTATATATCATATTTTATCCTGACAAGCACACAACCTATACTATGTAATCCATTAATATTTAAAAATAAATAGATTCTACTGAACATTATGGCATTTTATTTTTATACCTTTTTAATCCAAATATTCCCTTTCTTTAAATTCCACACAATTTATTTTTATACGCGTCATAATGAGGTAAGTTTTTTATATTGTGATAAGTTCCAGAGGTAAAAAAATAAAAACAAAAATTTGTATAGAGCGCCATCTACGAAACAATAGGGGAATCTGTGTGTCACCGTCAAATGTCAAATTTTTACATTTTATAAACACAATCATAAAGGTTATAATCGAAAATTATTTCTTGAAAATTGACAGTTTTTTACAGTAAAAGTAAAGAAAATGTTTTATGAGCACTTTACAGTGGAGTCCGTGCCCGAATTTAAGTTATAGTTTACTGCCGGCGAAATTAAAAGGTCAGTACAATGTTCATATAAACTTTTCAAATATTTGCTATTTAATACTTTTGTATTTTTGTATTGAGATAATAAAATAATTTTCACATTTAGTATTATTTTACAAGAAAGGCAATTTATTTTAACGATTGTATGACATTTGACAACTGTCAAAACTTGAAATCGAAAATTGCCCAACATGTTTTCTTTACTAATTTGACCACGCTGATTTCAAAAAATCAAACCGCAGTTTTGTTTTATGAGCACTTTACAGTGGAGTCCGTGCCCGAATTTAAGTTATAGTTTACTGCCGGCGAAATTAAAAGGTCAGTACAATGTTCATATAAACTTTTCAAATATTTGCTATTTAATACTTTTGTATTTTTGTATTGAGATAATAAAATAATTTTCACATTTAGTATTATTTTACAAGAAAGGCAATTTATTTTAACGATTGTATGACATTTGACAACTGTCAAAACTTGAAATCGAAAATTGCCCAACATGTTTTCTTTACTAATTTGACCACGCTGATTTCAAAAAATCAAACCGCAGTTTTGTTTTCGTTTCTTGAAACCAGAAACCAGAAAATTCAGCTAAATTGTTTATATCCCAATAATTTTTAGATGTTTAATATATCAGTTATTAAAAAAACACATTTTACCAAAAACTCATTTTATTGCTTAACTATAAAAAATATAAACCTGCATTTCTAGTCCATCAGTAATCTGCAATTGTTCTTCTAATATGCCAATTCTTCATAACCTTGGTAGAAAGGGTATTGATTTTGGTAATCTATAAGAAAAAAATTGATTTAAATTAATTAAATAATATGCCTACTTACATTTTTCTTGTTGGTAACCTCCATATTGTTGAGGTTGGTATTGGTAATCTCTCCAGAATCCAGGGAAGTACCTAAGAAAAGTAAACATATATATACAAAAAAAAATAAGTTTTACTATATATACCTTTGTGGTCCTACTTGCCCATAACCTTGGTATTGAGTTGGGTAGCTGTTATAACCTTCAATTTTTTGGTAGTATGGGTAGAATGGGTATTGTTGGTATTGACTTCTGTAAGCTTGATATTGAGTTGGGTAACTGTTGTAACCATCAAATTGTTGGTAGTTTGGGTATTGTTGACTTTTGTAAGCTGAAATTTAAAAATTTACCAAAATGGTTTAAGTATTTAAAAAACAATCTAACGATAAGTTTTATAGTACTGTTCTCCATAGAATGGTTTTTGGACTTGGGTTAAACCTTGTTGACCTTGAACAACCTCTCTTTGACCTTGGTATTGTTGTTGAGCAACAAAATCTAAAAAACCAAAAGTGTCAAAATGCATTTTTTTGTTTATTTAAGATCTTACCTCCTTGAAATTGCTTGAGGATTTCGTAGATGCTAGGGTTAAGTTCTCCCTTTTGAACTGCTTTGTTGATTTTTGAAAGCAATTTCTCGTATGTGACGTCATCATTTACACCTTCGAAATTTTTGAGAATTTCACCAAGAACGTCAGTTTGAGTTTTAAGAGGGTATTTTGACTTCTCAGATTTGGACCTTTTAGTTCTAGAGCATACAAATTTTTGCATTCTGATTTAAAGCATAAATTAGTGTTTTTACCTGGTTTGTTCATCGGCATAATCAACGTTGTTCAAATCATTGACATTGACATCGTTTATGGTGACTTCCTTTTGTTTGTCATCGAGGTGTATTCTCTTGGTTGGAATTGAAGGTCCACTAACTGTGACATCAATGCTCTTAGGTCCGAACGGTCCAATTTGCTTGTTGATGGTGATTTGTTTTCCAGAAGCGTCGGTGATCACAAAACCATTTTCAGTGAATTCGATGTTTTTCTCTCCACTTTTAAGTGATTGAGAAACACCAGCTAAAGCCACAACCAGCAATAAGAACTTCATGTTAACTATGAATAATTAACTGAAACTAACTTCTTTGCGAAGGTTTTTATATGATTTTTTTATCAGTAGCATATTCTTCTGGTCACCTTGTTATCTTTATAGTTTAGTTCTCGACTAATTAAGATATAAAAAGTGTTTTGCAGAGTCTTAATTGAATAATATTTCATAATTGTTATCTGGGTGGAAAAAAAACAATAATTATGCAATTTATTATTAGAAAATCACTTTGTTGTTTAAATTTAGTAATTGCACTAATGCAAGAATTTTCAAGAAAACATACATTTTGAATATTAGAGCTTCACGGAAGATAGCTTCACGGAGGATAGGATTTCGTATGTTTCTTTTAAACATCCCTTTATTTATTGTATCTTTTGACACCTTAATATTTTTAAAAATACAATTGTACATTCATAAAATATTTATAAAAAAATGTACCTACTTACTGAGATATTACACTTACTGGATAGGTTTTAGATTTTTAAAACATTGTAAAAAATAATTAATGCGGTTAAAAATCTGGGACCTGAGCTGTAATATCTACTTAATTATGAAACACAATAAAACTCAAATCTAATATTTACTTTACACTGACACAAAACATATTAAATGCACAAATTTATAACTTTTTAACCTATATCTAACTATTATCAATAATAACAAAACCACAACCTTCAATATCTATCTAAAGTAACTATTAGATTATATTGGATCGATGCAAAATATATCAGTGTTCCACGAAATTTCAAACAAACACAATGAATTTATTTGTGTGTTTGTTCTTGGTTGCATATTTTGTGTTGTGCTTCGGGGGTGAAGTAAATTACTGCAAGTTATCCTGCGGAAGGGTCAAAAACACAATATGCAGGAGGAGAGATTGCAAGCCTGTTAAAGGTTGCCAAGCCAAACCAATGGATGATGAAACTAGAAAGTTTCTGGTTGATGTTCACAATGAATATAGAAACAAAATTGCTTTGGGTGGGTTGTGTGGTGAAATTGATCACGAGATAATAATTGTTTGTTATAGGAAAAGAACCTCAGTTCAATGGAACGATATCGAACATGCAAATGATGAGTTACGATTTAGAATTGGAAAGAATGGCGCAATGTCACGCAAACGAATGCAAAACAAGCAAGAAAAACGGCCACGATAAGTGTAGAAAAACATCTAAATTCACATCTGTGGGTCAAAATATTCACAAAGTTTCTGGAATCGAGCTATTTGACCATTGGTTATACCCAAACTACACCGAAAACTTCAAAAATTGGTACAACGAAATTAAGTTCACTGACGCATCAAACTACAAAAAGTATACCAAAAAACGCAAATCCGGTTTTGAGAAGAAACAAATCGGCCATTTTACACAATTTATATGGGCGAAATCGTACAAAATCGGTTGCGCAAGGGCCATCAAAGAAACCAACGAAAAAAAATTAAAATACGTCATGTTATTCGTTTGTAATTATGGACCTGGGGGCAACACGAACAATAAACCGGTTTTTATTGAAGGACCTACGTGTTCCAACTGTCCAGAAGACACCAAGCGGAGCGAAAAATATTCGGGATTATGCCAAGAAAAAAATAACCAATAGCTTTTAAAACCCAAAGGTTTTATATTTAATTTAATAAATTTATAATTAAAATGTATTATTATAATGGTTTATGCAACATAAACCATATGGTGAATATATTGAGATGTCCCCCAAGTGAAAATGATTATTTTTTATTTTTGGTTGTTTCACTGTTAGTCTAGAATGGGGTTTTTGGGAAGCCACCAGGTCTAGTAATAACATAACATAAGTGGTTCTGCACTAATGCAAAAATTTTAAGAAATCATACATTTTGAATATTACACCTTCACGGAGGTTAGGATTTCGTATGTTTTTTTAAACATCCCTTTGTATATTTGAAATAAGTTATTGTATCTTTTGACACCTTAATATTTTTTAAAAATACAATTGTAGGTACATACATAAAATATTTATAAAAAAAATCTACTTAATAGCAAATTAATGAACTTAAACTTTTGAATTATAAAACAGCAACACTCTCATCTGCATATAAATTCTAACTGACCTTCAGGAATCACATTAATATTTTTTAAAAATACAATTGTACCTACATACATAAAATATTTATAAAAAAAATCTACTTACTGAGATATTAAACTTCACGGTGGATAGGTTTTTAAATAGCAAATTAATGAACTTAAACTTTTGAATTATAAAACAGCAACACTCTCATCTGCATATAAATTCTAACTGACCTTCAGGAATCACATTAATATTTTTTAAAAATACAATTGTACCTACATACATAAAATATTTATAAAAAAAATCTACTTACTGAGATATTAAACTTCACGGTGGATAGGTTTTTAAATAGCAAATTAATGAACTTAAACTTTTGAATTATAAAACAGCAACACTCTCATCTGCATATAAATTCTAACTGACCTTCAGGAATCACATGCATCTATAATGTCGTAAACAGAGGTTTTTGCTTGTTTAAAATGATTAAAGCGCCATCCGTTGCATAAAATTTAAAGCAAAAACAGATTCACGGAGGATAGAATCAATTTTTGTAACACCTACATAAATGGTTATAAAAATTATTTCTTTTAATTTTTAATAATATTTTATATCTGATTCGATTGCTTTGGATGTGTTTAATTTACTTAGTGAACTGATATTTTTAGTATGCTTTTAGTACCTTAGATATTTGAAGTCATATAGAAAGAGTAACAGTCACGGAGGATAGGTTTTAGACTATTAAAACCTTGTAAAAAATGCAATAAATAATTTTATTAAATAAATCTTAAAATTTTTCATATTTCGTTATTCTGTATTTCGTCGACTGTATATTTACTCAAACTTTCATGTATCCAATTTATGCAAGAAGTCAATCTATCTGTATGCGTAATGGTGTATGGTGGTTTGGTGTAAAAATATGCCATTGCTAAAAATACACAGTAACAACAATGTTACAGATTTATAAATATTTCAATATGTTACTTACGAAGTAGTTTTGTATTGTTCATCGAGCTTTGTACATAATTTACATATTTCTAAAAAATAAATAAATAAATGTTTATTTAACAATAGTATGACAAAAGTACTCACTTCAAATTTCTTGGCTGCATCTTTATCGTAAAGTTCGAGAAATTTTGTATCCAACAAAAAGTTCAAGAGTTTTCGATTTTCCTTTTTAATTTTTCCAAACAGCAAAGCTGGAATGGAGCAGTTTTCCCAATCAGTGGAGTACATCAGGTCTGCCTCACGGGTAACAGATTTTTGTTCTTCAACTTTCATAGACTAAAACAAGGTTTTTTATTTATTTATACGTTACTTTTATTTATTATTATTTACCCCGGCGTTTTCAATAATTGTATTCCAAAGATTTTCATCGTAGTTGTATCTATATAAGCCCATCAAATTTGGGTTTAAAACGATATATTTTGTATCGTTTACAGGTATTTTTACTTAAACAAATATTTTTGTATTATTTTTTATTTTAAATCGACCGTTTAATATACTTGAATGAATTTGTGGAAAAAGTGCACTCTCTAAAAATGAATTAGTCAAAAATGACTAATTTAATAGTTATTAGTGGCTGCTTTTTCACTTGTACCATGATTAACCATGGAATACCATGGTATCCCAAAATTTAACAGCCAATTCTTATGTAAAATTGTCCCCTGAATCCGAAAATACCGTCAAAAATTATGAAAGTGGAGCAGTTTTTGAGATATAGTAATTTCCATATTAAATGGAAAATTGACAGCCAATTCTTATGTAAAATTGTCCCCTGAATCCGAAAATACCGTCAAAAATTATGAAAGTGGAGCAGTTTTTGAGATATAGTAATTTCCATATTAAATGGAAAATTGACTATATCTCAAAAACTGTTCTACTTTTTTAACTTTTGACGGTATTTTCGGATTTTGGGGACAATTATAGATAAGAATTGGCTGTTAAATTTTGAGATACCATGGTATTTCATGGTTAACCATGGTACAAGTGAAAAAGCAGCCACTAATAACTATTAAATTAGTCATTTTTGACTAATTCATTTTTAGAGAGCAAATGTGATAAAAATATAAATTTTTTGGATTATGCAAAGCTTTACTTACATTCTTTTAAATCTCTGCTAAACCAAACCAAAGTAGTTTCCTTGGTTTTATCCGTGGAAAATTTTATTGGAATGGTCCAATTGGATCTAAAAAAATAATTAGAAATTGTTGTATTCGTTTTATTTCGTTACTTACTCCTTATATAAGTTGCATTGTTTTTTATGGCACCAAACTGACTGAGTTAATACGTAATAATCGCCATCTTTTTTAATGTTGATGAAAGGGTAACTTATTTGATAAATATAACTTTCAATGAAATCTTGCCAATATTCTCCGGGATTTTCAGATTTAACAAGGTCTATGAAGTCCTGTGCATCTGCAGATTTATACTGGTATGCCTTAAAATATTTTCTTATAACTTTTTGGAAAACCTCTGGACCCATAGCGTCTTCCATAGACCTAAATATATCCGAACCCTAAATATTACAATCATTAAACACATTTATATATGAGTACACATTTTATTACCCACTTTTAAATATGTAATATCATCGAACATTTCATGCTGAAGAATTTGTTTGGAGGTGAGTTTTTTTACAACAACTGTATGACTATTAGGGCCTTCCAGGTCATCATCGAAATCATAGTCGTAATAATTGCAATACTTGAAACTCGCATAAATAAATTTTTTAGCAAAATATGTAACCAATCCTTCTTGTAACCACAGATCGCCCCACCAATTATTTGTCACTAAGATAGTTTTCATGAAAAATATTTTGTAGAATAAAAAATGTTTATTTACCTACCCAAATTTCCAAACCAAGAATGTCCAACTTCGTGACCTATAATTGTGTTAATTTGATATTCGTCCAAAAAATGTAACCCCAAGTGCTCTGCTTTTACTGTTATCATTCCCCAGTTTTCTGTAGCTACCGATTTGTTTTTGAGATATTCTATGAAATCTAAAAAAATGCAAAATTAAAAAAAAACACTATAATAAAATAGATAAATATTGGGTAGGTACTGCAGCTGGTAAAAAATTAGTATCTACATTAAGTCTTTTAGTCTTTTTAGTCTTTTTAGTATTTTTAGTCTTTTTTAGTCTTTTTTAGTCTTTTAGTCTTTTTAGTCTTTTTAGTCTTTTTAGTCTTTTTAGTTTTTTTAGTCTTTTTAGTCTTTTTAGTCTTTTTAGTCTTTTTAGTCTTTTTAGACTTTTTAGTCTTTTTAGTCTTTTTAGTCTTTTTAGTCTTTTTAGTCTTTTTAGTCTTTTTAGACTTTTTAGTCTTTTTAGTCTTTTTAGTCTTTTTAGTCTTTCTTATTTTTTTGACAAACTGAAATAAAAAAGGCGCCAAAATTTATTAAAAAAACGAACAAAGATATAATTATGAAATTTAAATTCCATTATTTTGTAAACTAAAATTTTAACACGGGTAGATATATTAAAAGGACTAAAAACCTGTTGCTAACTTCAGCCCGTGACTAAAGCGCCATAAAGCCACAACTTGTCAATGCGTATTTAAAAGGTCAACCAATTAAACTAGTAGAGGATTAAGATTTATACCACAAAAAAAATATGGTGTTAAAATTTCATAATGATATCTTCATTAGTTTCTATTTTAATGAATTTTGGCCCCTTTTTGCCAAAAGGTTTTTAAATCTTAAGCATTCAGGACTGCAGTAGCATTAAAATAGGTTTATATATTTTTTGTATTTACATCTGGATTATTAATAATAAGGGTGTAGAGTACTTACAAAGCTTTTTCAAGGAATATTCAAAACCTGTGTAGTTGGTGTAATATTCCAAAGTTGACTGGGTGATATTTAAAGCTATGCTGTTGTCCAAATCTTTGGAGTATGTTCTTAGGTTTATCTCTTTTCCATTTATGGTGACATTTTTTTCAAGGTATGATAAATCTGTAAACACCATACAAACTAAATATGGTGACATGGGTACACTTTTCTCAAATTCGTAACGTGTACCTTCCTGGGAAGAAACTTCTTTCTAACAAAATATTATCTACATTAATAAGTTTTCATACAATTTAGTTTTGTTGGTACTTACAATAAGCTCCATGTTGGATAAAGCTTTATATGAACTATTTGGGCTAACCAAGGAGACTTTGAATGTTGCTTTAAAGGAAGGTTCATCAAAACATGGAAATGCTCTTCTAGCTCCACTTGGTTCGAAGTCAGTGACATATACTATACTAAAAACATAATAATTAATAATATATTGGTTGATTTGAATATTTAAAGAAATACCTATCGTCATTATTTCTATCGTACTTCTCTTTCCTGAAGCCCTCCATTGATGGACTTAAATTCCAACTTATAAACTCCCCGGTATAATTTATTTTTACGTTGTAATTTCCTTCAGGGAAAACCTTGTTTTCTTCATCCGGAAAAATGGTAAGCAAATCTTCCTTGCTTTCATACTGCGCCTTATTACCATCGAATACTATGTCTTTTATGGTTATGGAACTATGAAGTGTTATGTTGGGCTTGGCACTTTTTAAGCTCAAGTCAATACTGATGTAACCCGTAAATGTATCATCCAGGAAATTTGGCGTTATTTCCAAATCGTAATGATGTGGTCTCACTGATTCATCTAAACGGAAAATTTCACCTAGAATTTGTAAATATTAAAACACCAGATTTTATTTACTTATTAAAGTTTATTGAGTGATTAATTGTATTTCAAAAAGTATATAACCTGTTTTGTTTAACCACTAATCATTAATTTTTTATTTTATTTATTAATTTTTGTTGTTAATACCAAGAAGTTTTTTAATACGTAGATGGAATTCCCAATATCTCAACTAAATGCATTGAATAACAAGTTGTATACTACAGGGTGTCTCAAAATATACCATATCTTAACCAATTATATATTAATAAAAATGGCAAAGTAATAAATAATATTTTATTCATCACCCCCCTGATAGCACAGTTTATTCTAAGAATGTTTTTTAAAGCTTCCAGTGGGAATATTCTTAGGATCATGCTATATTTCTTCTAGTCATGTTCTAAGAATGTTTTTTAAACCTTCCAGTGAGAATATTCTTAGGATCATATTCTTCTAAAGAACATGCTTAAAAGAAATATGGCATAATCCTAAAAATATTCTCACTGGCCTATAGGCAGGTTCTTAGAAGGTGGTAAAAATTAATCAACTCTAAACATATGCTTAGAATGTTGAGAAAGTAATTGCTATAGAGAGTTCATTTAGGAATATTCCTGGAACATTCTGTTAAGCATATTCAGTTCAGTTAGGTACCTATATAATAGTAAAATATACCATAATCTACGTATAAAGGTACCTATACTTAGTTTTAAATACTAAGTAAAAAACACAACCCAAAATATTTTTTTATAGTTATTTGTCAAATTAAAACAATATTCGATAACAAAAATACTTTTACTATAGGTATCCGGCTTTTACATAAAATCTTCTATCCAACTTAAATACAATGAAAAATGTTTTTTTTTTATGAAGAACTATTTGGTTTTTTCTTTTATGAAGAATTATTTTATAAGGAAATATTTTGTTTTTTTATATTTTATTTTATGTTAAAAATAAATATTTATTAATTTGTATACCGATTTTTTATTTCTGAATTAACATTTTTATATATATATATGTATGTATCCCACAAACTTTTCCAATTTTATTTTTTATGAAACTTATGGTTTAGAGGTCAAATTGTTTATTTAATATTTTTAAATAAATATATATTAATATGTCGCAAAAATTTTTAAGGGGACGACAAATACATTTCACTGTCATATTATGACAGTGAGGCGTATTTGTCGCCTCCTGAAGAATTTTACGAATGTAGAATCCAAAATATTAAAACGTGGGTATCTGACATATTTGGGAATATTCTCAAAAGCTTCCTAGAAGCTCCATAAGAAACCTTCTAAGAACATTCCAAAAACGTATTCTTAAAATGTAATGGGATGCTTTTCAAGAAGCTTTTAAGAACGTAATTGCATCATTAAAAGGGTATCTATTGAATGTTTTAAAAGTCCCTAAGAATGCATTCTTAGCAATAAGGGAAGCTTCTTCAGTTCTTAGAAGATTCTTAAAATCAAATTTTGCTAATTTGAAAAAATGGGAAAGGAAATTTCGTCTTGGATTTTTGCAAGGATTATGTTTGGTACACTGAAAGAAATATATACTAAAGTTAAATAAAAAAATAATTAGGGCAAATATATTTTATGTTTCATATTCGGACTACCACATACATTGCTAAAACAAATATATTCGTTTGGTTAGCAGCCTATTGCTGCCCTAGCAATATAAATGTGTTTCTAGCAATATTTTTTTGCTGTAATTCACTTATAGTTTACATTTTATAGTAAGGGTAAGTTTATTTTTATTTAGATCTAACATATCTTCTTTACAATAAATGTATTACAAAATTTAACATACATTCATAATAAACAGTAGTATAAATGTGTAAAGCACTAGTATAAAATTTTTAGTATAAATTTGTGTTTACTTTTAGCAACAAATTTCTTTCAGTGTACGGCGATTTTTTGAACACCCTGTATAAAAAGTATTTAAATTTAATTTATTTATAGCTTCCGGGTTTAACTTAAGAATGTAATAAATTCATATTTAATAAGTTTTTTATTGACAATAATAAGCTATAATGTGCATTTACAACATTTTTAGCAAGAAAATCATACAATAAGAATTTAAAAACATAAAATGCAAAATCATAAAATCTATCGAGTTATTATTAATATTATTAATAAATATAATATTAATAAATAAATAAGACGTAAACAATCTTATTGTTGGACTTTTATAATTAGTATAAAAACATGCAAGTAAAATTATAGTTGTTTCTTCTTTAAAACACCAGAGGTCATAGTTCGGAAATAAAAAATAGATAACACTCTAATTAACTACATCATTTACTTACTACAATAAATATATTGAACTAAAACGGACACAACAGCGAATTTTGTAAACATTTTCGCAAAACAACACAACCGCACTAAGTACTACTTGCCAGTTTCAAATTTTAAGCGGTTATGAAACGAGAAGTTTATGTTCAAAACTAAATGTATTAACGCAAATATTTAACTTAACGAGAAATGGTTGACATATACGGGAAAGTTTAGTCACAATGTTTTGGGAATCGACTGTATATTTTTGTTCGTGGTTATGGGTCAAGATCGTAGATTGGACTTTTTGAGATAAGTGGAATTCTTTCAACAAAAAAATGGTTTCTTACAAGACGCAGTTTTTAAAAATACACATAAGCTCTATATCAGTTGATACAATTAAGTCAAAGTTCAATTTCAGTTTAAAATATTTAAGTATACAAATTTATTAACAATTGTTAACTCTTGTATTTATTGGAACAACGTGACGGGTAAATAAGTAAATAAAAAAGTGTGTAGATTTAAAAAATAAAGTTTTATTGTTTTAGGAACTTGAAAATGAAATAGGTAATCCCACTACATATATTGTAAAAATGTGGGTTTTATTTTAAATAAATGACATAACATTGTGTTTTTATTATTACAATTCTAGGTAAATAATTCAAGATACTTTTATATCTGCAACTTTAACATAAGTAAAATCAACAAGATAATCCCAAGCAAATACTCAAGTAATTCCGTAAACTTATCTCCACATACAGACGGAAATCTATACAAACTTAAAAATCATTAACATTATCAAATTACACTGCCTCAGTTTTGTTCGCTATGCATAGCATGCTTGACAGTCGACTATAGTCTATAGAGTGCCATGGTAGTTTTTTGTGGCTTCTCGAGCATTCATTTGTTTTTGTGTTGCGTCAATGGCTGACCCGACAATCCAAACGTTCTGCTGTCATCATGGAAACGGAACGGACATGGCCATCACCATCATGGAAGAGTTCAACACCGACCTCTACAACGGGATATGTCTGTTTTCGTCCGTGCTAGGAATGCTAGGAGCCGTCTATCAGGTCATAGAGATCGTGTTTTGTTATCTATTCGGGTTACGTAAGGGTTTTGTTTTGGTGCTTGTGTCAATGTCATGATAAGGAATGTAAACATTGGGACAGATGGTTTGTTCGAAATTGCGTACTAAAATTTTTGATCAAAAACTTAAGAGGCAAAATAACTTGGAAACAACAAACTACAAACTTATAATTCAATGTTTTTTTAAGAAAAAAATGACTAGACTTCAACAGCAGTTTTAGATTTAAATTGTTTTATAAAAAAATAATTCAATAACTTAGATTTTTGTACTTTAGATCTTACCAAGAGAAGAATTCTCAACCCAACACCGATGGTTTTCTTTTTCTGCGACAAGGGGTAGAAAAATTATAACATGGCTTGCCGTAGCAGACTTAATGGCTTCTTTAGGTAAAAATATGAAACGTAGTTTACCTTTTATTAGATTTTTTAAATTTAACTAAAAATTTTAGTTTTACATTTATAAATTTAAAATATTTTCAACTAGGTATCATCATAGAGTCTCTGGGTATCATGTATTGAAAGACAACATTTACTAACTAACAGTTCACTAAACGCTGCTTTAGCTGACTGCAGACATTTCACCGTCTGCTAAAGCTACGTTTACACTTTGTAAATTTATTCAAACTATTATCTAATGCCATATAAAAAATTAACATTAAAAAACAGTCAAAATTCAAAATGATAAAAATTGAGTTTTAGGTGTTTTTCTTAGATCTGCAATATGGTTGAACTACAAAAACATTATGCCATCCAAAGATGACGACACCAGCGTGGTCTTTTGTGCTGTTTCATCGGTAATTATCTAAATTTTTTTAATTATAAATCATAAAAATTATTTTTTGTAGGCTTTGACTCAATATTTCTACACAGCCACCTGGGTTTGGACTCTATGCTACGCAATCGACATGCGTTTAGTTTTATCTCAAAAAGATTCCAGACTCAACCACTACCATCTAGCAGCCTGGTTGATACCAGCCTTCTTGACTTTCGTAGGGCTGTCACTTTTGTACATCCCCGATGCAAAGTAATAAATAAGTACACAGGTCAACAAAACATCTGAATGTTATTTTTTTTTTAGTTGTCACACGTCATCATCCCTGCAAGCTGCGATATATAGGATTCTTCCGAACTATATAGCAACGTATGCTCCCATAGCAACGGTGATGATAGCCAATCCGGTACTTTACAAGTATTCTGTCAAGGATATGAGGCAGATTATTACCAGTACTTCCGGGCAATTTACCAGTAAAGAAAGGGATGTTATTGATGCTGTGAAGATTAAATTTTCTGTGATAAATATCGCATTTTACGTGTGTTGGGTGCCTAATTTGATTAATGGCGTTTTACTTTGGACTTTGTGGTTCCATCTACCGGCCACATGTGTCATTTCTATATGGTATCTTATGGTGAGTGGTGGTTTTCGTGAAAATGTTTTTTTTGACAAGAACAGATTTACAGCAATGATGCCAGATGGAAAATTGTTAAGCTCATTTACGGAATTTAATAAGAAACCCATTATACATTTTAATATTATACAGAGTTACTCAAAACTAATCTTAATGAAACTTACAAATCGCTCATATACAGTGTTGTTCAAGGAAAATACAGTGCGAAATAAGTGCAAAGTTTTACTACCTGTGCAGTAAAAATCAGTGAGTACTTGTTTTCCAAAGTCTAAACATTAAATTACTGCCTTAAAAAGCAATTTCTCAACAAGTGAATACAATGAATAAACTCTATACGGACACGGAAGTAATTAAGTGATAAGTATACCTGGCGGACTAACCACAGGTCAATGAATCGCCTTATAATACTGGGGTTCAGGATTGTACCTAGTTTTGGGGCAGTCTAATGGCCCCCAAAAATAAAAATGTTTTCTCTTCTTGTCCCGCACTAGCCTAAATCGGGCGTATGGCCCGGCGTATGCCGATGCCTGATTTATAGATTGCCTTCCTTCCTCCCGGAAAAGATGAACAATACGAAAATCGTAGTGCCTTTTATAGATTTCCGTACGGGACAGCACAACGGTTTTTGTATTGTTCATCTTCTACGGGAGGAAGGAAGGAAGGCAATCTATAAATCTTATACTCACACTCATACAGTCACTCAAAACTATTCCTATAGGATATTAGATATTTAATTTAAAAATTTAACGACAATTTGTCAATGAACACTGACAGTTTTAAAAGTTGAAGCAGTTTGATGATAATTATTTAACGCTGTAATGGGGAGCAAAAAATCAAAAAATATTGGCACGGTGGTGCTAGACAGGGGGGACAACACTTCTTGCAAGATTAATCTGCACGGGGCGACTGTTATATCCTGGCGGGTTAATAGCCAGGAGCAATTATTCGTGAGTCAGCGCGCTGTGTTCGATGGTAAAAAAGCAATCAGAGGTGGCATTCAATTTGTATTTCCGCAATATGGCCCATGGACTGTCGGTCCCCAGCACGGCTTTGCAAGAATTATACCTTGGAACCTGGAGAAGTCACCTGAAAGACTACCCAATGGAGACGTGGAAGCGACTTTTTTTATTATGGACACAGATTTCACACGTTCAATGTGGAACTACCAATTCCGACTAACATATAAGCTGGTATTAAGAGAGAGAGAGCTGCAATTCAACGTAACCGTTTTTAACCCAAACAAAGAAAAAAAGATCAACTTTACCATTTCACTGAATACCTATTTAAATGTTCCTGACATTCGGCGTTGCCAAATAACTGGATTTCAAGGCTGTACTTTTGTGGATAAGACCAAAGATAATGCTGTGTCCCAGGAAGCTAGAGCCGTTGTCGAAATTGAAGAATGGACCGACAGGGTTTATCAAAACACTCCTCAAGAGCACACCATCAGCAATATGGCATCGGGACGGAGGATCAGAATAGAGAAGAACAATTTTCCGGATACGGGGCTCTGGAATCCTTGGACAGATCTGGCCAAAGGGTTGCTAGATTTTAAGGATAACGAATACTCAAACATGGTTTCCGTAGGATCAGGCCATTTAACCAACCCTGTGGTGCTCATACCGGGCGCCAAATTCGAAGCCAGTCAAACGTTTGAATTAATCTGAACCCTACCTACTTAAATAAGTGATATATATTAAGTAACATATTTATATAAATGAATGTGAGTGGTTCTACATTCCTCTACCATTAAACTAGCCTTATGCTTAAGGCTACGACTGTAGTATTTATAGTAACAACTGTTGTCTTCTTGTGCAATCGTTGTGGATTTATTTTTTCACAGCTAAATTAGGTATTGCTTATAAGTTTAAATAAATTGTTACAAAATATATTTTAGCAAAAGTTTAGTTTTTCTGCACACCTTAAATAGTTATTTTCCTAGTTAGGAATTGCTACTGCGCCAAGTGTTTATTTCATTGGAGTTTCATTTGCAACGTCGAGCGTGGGGAAAAGTGCAAATTTCCGCACGGGTGAAATAGTTTGCATAACCGCATTTATATTATATAGTGTTATTTTAATAACTACATATAGTTAAATTTTCTGGGTCTTCAAAAATTTCAAAAAAAGTCGAACATATTTTTATTTTTTAGGCCCTGTTAAACCCCCTCCAAGCCCTTCTAAACTGCCTAGTTTACAGACGATGGAGTAGCGGCACGGAAAGAGTTATTCTTCCATGGAGAAAAGTAGAAGAATATTTTCCTGTCGAAGCAGAATCGGAATCGGAATCTTCAAGCACAATAGACTCGAACAGTACCACTGTGCGGGAAGAAATCTACCCGTTACTACAAAGTGCTCCCGTTAATAGTATTAACGAGTATAAAAGCATTTCTCAGTAGATCAATTTTAGATTATTAGCATTTTTTGGCATTATATTGTCAAGTTTATACCTAAATATTAGATTTTATACGTTGTTGTAAATATAAAGTTTTATTTATAGTGTTTTCTTATTAAATAAATCCCAAAATTCTATTTATTCTTTTTACTGTTGGAACAAACCCAAAACACACTTTTGTATTAAAACTTGTAATTGGCAGTACTGTTTTCCACGTTGCCAGATTTATCTTCTACCATAAGTGACAATTTCAATTATTGGTTTCACGGGATGACGGTATAATTTAAAGTAAAGTGATTTTGATTCTTCGTTTAGAAATACTATTTTCATTGATTATTTAAATAATATTTCTGGTAAATTTTGAATAATAACTTGAAACAGTTTAAATTTGCCGCCCACCGGAACTTGCTGTCAAATGTCAAAAGTGAAATGGTTCTTCAAGTTTCCCGTGGCCATTTTTAAGGTGAATTTGTGGAATTGTTGTGACATTCTGCAATAATTCTCACCTTTAAAGGCTCCAAATAGGCTTTAACCTGTGTTAAATGTGAAGTAGACAAAATCAGCGAATAACTGAAAATGGCTCGCTACGGGCAAAGGCCTGAAAATGCGCTAAAACGCGCCAACGGTAAGTCACCGGCTATACATATGGCATGCATGTTATGGCTAAATTTTTTGTCGAAAAATTTTGATTTTTATTATATGAAGTTAGCATATAACAATTTGTTTTTGTAGAATTCATTGAGGTGGGTAAGCCTGCCAGAGCTTTGGACACCCTGCAAGAAGTGTTTCGAAACAAGAAATGGGCTTACAACTGGTCGGAATCGGTCTTGGAACCGATAATGTTCAGATACTTGGACCTTTGCGTGGAACTGAAGAGATCCCACATTGCCAAGGAGGGTCTGTTTCAGTACAGGAACATGTTTCAGTCGGTGAATGTGGGATCGCTGGAAAATGTCATCAGAGGGTATCTACGAATGGCAGAGGAGAAAACCGAGAATGCCAGAGAACAGTCTGCCCAAGCCGTCATTGATATCGACGATCTTGATAATTTGGCTACACCTGAAAGCATTTTGTTGAGGTTAGTGCACGATTTTGTTATAAATAAGTAAATTGATGTTTACTATCACTTAGCATAGGTTTTATTTTTAGAAATATTAGAGATATAAATTGCAAGGTATTTAAATGTTAATATGAAACTGTTGTAAGAACTAAATTGGAATACACATGTTTCATTTGGGTCTAAAACTATCTCTGTTTTTATTTATAAAATACTTAATTACCTTTTAGATAGTCCTGAGATTTTAAAACTTATTTATATAAAAATAGAATAGAAATACTAATACTAAATTCAACTCAAATGTTGTAGAATTATAAAACAAATAAACTATGATATTTTTATTAATTATTTATATAAATTTAAAACAAATTTAAAAGAATTGTTGTTAAGTATTTATTATTAATATTACTTAAAAGAAATAAGTAAATAAAAATAAATAAATAAATCTTACAAAACAATATTAACATGTATTTTATATACATTAGTACAGTCCCTAGTTTGTTAAATGACTTAATAATAATAATAAAATTAAATATATTTTACATTTTTAATACTTGATTGTTAAACTAATTAAATGGTTGCCAGTTTTTTTGAAAAAATCAACCACAGATTATAAGCAAAGAATAATGTATTGTACTTATACATTAAAAAATTGTTTTGGTTATAAAAAACAAATTTCCTATCCAATATTTTAATGCATTAAAATATAAATTTTATTTAAAATAAAATCTTAAATGTCAGAACTTGTCTTAAAAATATGTTCCAGTTTTAATTTTATTACTACAACATTCCAATTTTGCATTAAAAAAATTGTTCTATCAGCTAATTAGCCAATAATTTTACTAAAAAGCATTTTTTTTTTAAATAAAACATAAATTGTACCTTAAAAAAAATAATTACCATAATAATTATAATTATTTGAAAATCATTCAAATTTAAAATTGTCTGGTTTAGCAGTACCCTGAATTTTCATTAAAAAAGGACATTTTAAATAGCAAAAAAAAATGTAAAGTTGTTTTTTTGTAGTAGTTTTTGTAAAAATTAAGTTTATAAATGCAGTTTTTGACACATTTTTTTTAGAAAACTTTCAGATTTAGAGCAATTTTGCCAAATCTTAAATATTTATGCTCATTTACAAAATTTAATAACAAAACATTACACATTCAAAAAATTCATTTAAGTATTATTTAGAATGACACAAAACTATTTCATATTTTCTATTAGATATTTTTAATTTAATAATAGCAATTTTAAAAAAAGTTTTTTCTACATAAAAATAATAACTTACTGAAGATTTGAACTCTTAACTTTCATTGTAATGGTTTTTCGAATTTTGACAATATTTTTTTAAAAACTTTGTCACGAAATAAGAAAGTAGATTTACGTGGAAATTTATTGTGAGAATTGCAATCTTGCAATAATCTGAAACTTTCCTGTTGCTTTTATGTGGGAAAATAATTATTATATTAAAATAAAGTAAAATTAATAAATCGATAAATAATATTTTCTTATTTTGTGACACTATTTTTTTAATGTAAATAATGTTTTATAAAAATACAAACTACTGGTTTTTTTTGTAAAAAATTCTTCAGTACTGTTTGTATTTTTATGAAACAATATTTAGATCCAAAGAAAAAATCTTTAGATGTGAGAAAAATGCCACAGATAGTTCATTTATTGTATACCGAATTTAAATTAGATAAAAACTTTTAATCTTTAAAATGCTCTGTAAAATTGTTAAATATGAGATACGCATTTATGTGATAATTGGTTATGAAAATTATACAAAATGAAATCATTTTTGATGTGTTTCAACACAATAAAAAATATTATAGTGCTGTTTCTGGAGAGGACGCCCAAGATCGTTCCGACCGTACCATCTTGACGCCATGGGTGAAATTTTTATGGGAATCGTACTGCCAATGTTTAGAGTTGCTGCGTACCAATGCCCACGTCGAGAATTTGTACCACGACATCGCCAGAATGGCGTTCCAGTTTTGTTTGAAGTACAACCGCAAAACCGAGTTCAGGAAACTTTGCGACAAACTGCGAAAACATTTGGACGACATCTGCAAACTACCGACGCAAGTTGCCAACGTTTCCATGTCCAAGCCGGAGACGCAACAACTGAATCTGGAAACCAGGTTGCATCAACTTGACTTTGCTATCCAGATGGAGCTCTGGCAAGTATGTGACTGAAACTGCACCTTTTAAGGGTTATTTTACCAGCCGTGCTGTTTCAGGAAGCTTACAAGGCAATTGAAGACATCCACAACTTGATGAACCTTTCCAAGAGGCCTCCAGTGCCCAAAACTATGGCCAATTACTACCAAAAATTGGCCATGGTTTTCTGGAAAGCCGGGAACTATTTGTTCCATGCCGCCGCTCTGTTCAAGCTTTTCCAGCTCTCTAAAGAAATGAAGAAGAACATCACCCAGGAAGAATTGCAACGGTAAGTTTTGTTTTTTTTTGTTAAATTACTATTTTTTGTTTATCTACACTTGCTTGCATTTTTTTGATCATTTGGAAGATTTTGAAAGGTACAGCTTCTTTCAATAATTATTATCTCTTTGGTTTTTAATTTCGTTCATAATCTTTATGAATAAAGTTTCTTGAACAAACTCTGACATTCTTATGGTACGTCGTTTTAATATTTATTTAATAATTTATAAATTTAAAATTTTATGAAACTAAAAGTTTTAGGTTTACATTTAAAAAATACAAACAATATTATTTCCAATCAATTTTTGCAAAAAAATTTAAATCTTAAATAAATATTTTATAAAATTATTTAGATTATTTTTTTAGTATTTAAAAACAGAGTTGAGACATTTAAACTAAAAGCATTTTTTACCAAAACAGTTTAAAAAGTTAAATTTTTTTAAACTCAAAACCATTGAAAATCAAAAAATATTTTAAATTTAAAAGTTTAAAAATTGTAGTAAAATATTTTATTTTACAAAATTATTGGTTTAAATTTGTAAAGTCATTTAAATGATTAAATTTTATAGAGGTAATTTTTGGATTAAAAATTTATTAACCATCATTTAAATTACTCTTGAGACCAAGGTGGTGGTCATTAATAACATCAATTAATTTTGGAAGACATCTTTGGGTATATATTGTAACGTTTTTACTGTTCGTAGTGTGAATTAAAACACGCACGGGTTTATTAACGAAATAAACTATTTATTTTATAACTTAATTACACTTAAAACACTAAGAAACTATAAAACTAATTAAACACCTAACTACTAATTATTTATGTATCACCACTGTTCAAGAATCTATTTATTTGCACGTAAATTTATTTATTTCGTCGCGAGTACCAAAACTTGACTGACTGCTCCATGCTGCGCTGTTTCTTATATATTCAGTGCCTACGTGACACTACGTCACCCTAATATAACAAGGTTGTATGTTAAAAAACCGAAAATTTTGAGTTGATGCTTCTAAAAGGTTTTATGTAATCCACCCTTGACATACAACTTGAAAATAACTCTATATATATGTATACATAGAATATACATTGTATAGAATTGTTTTTAAATGGTATGTGAAGCGTAGGCCGCGTATAATCCTGTAGAAACATAAATTTAAATTTTTCGTTTTTTTAACATACAACCTTGTTATATTAGGGTGACGACTAGTCACGCAAGCGCCTTCTCGAACATTCCAACGAGCTCCACACCACTCTCGATTGTTCCGAGATTCAGAGGGGTACTCGCTACAATATATTAGCATCAACTGCTTTCCTTCTTACCCGCCCAACATACGGTTTATCTAAAATGGTAGCCCAAACTAAAACTTGTTTTGCCTTTGTGGCAAGTCATTAAGACACTCTTCAATGTTACCAGTGTAAAAACCGTCATTTCCGACTTGAAAAGAGTGAAATATTTTTCTTCATTCAAAATGATGCTTATTGTTCTCGAAATGGATTCGTCGTAGTGTTCTGTAGCAAATCGGATGTCTCTGTAGTTGTTTCTTCGTGTATTTTAGGCATTTTCGTCTTTTTCGATATTTTAAGTTTTTTTTTAAGTGTTATTTGTATAGTGGCACTTGATGTCTTGCGCTTTCAACCACTCTGTTTTCACCGACCTCACTTAAAACTTTGGGTCGTCTACTTTTTTATTAAGATAAAACAAGGTATTCATTGATTGCATTTAGCATTTGGAGGTATTTTCGTTTCGTAAAATATTTACAATTTCACGTCTCGATAGCCGTCCAACAAGGTTGTAGATACTTTTTCGAATTTGACATGTTTTTGAGAAATTTGAAACTAATGTTTTCTGACATATCAAGGTTGCTTAGTAAGGAATGATTGTGAACTTGTTTGGTGCTCATCATAAAGCTGTATTTCATGTATGTTTCCATCATAAAACAAATATGATTTGGAGGTAATGTTGACGTTTGCGTTGCAGGATGGCCTGCCGCGTGTTAATCGCCACTCTCGCCATCCCTCTGCCGTCCGCTCACCCGGAATTCGACCGTTTCATCGAAACCGACAAGTCTCCTTTAGAAAAGGCGCAACGTCTCGCCGTGCTGCTCGGTCTCTACCAACCTCCGACCAGACAGAGCCTCCTCAAGGAGCTCGTGCGCGTGAACGTCGTCAACTTGGCGACGCCGCAGCTCAAGGAGCTCTACAACTGGCTGGAGGTGGAGTTCCACCCGCTGCTGCTGTGCAACAGAGTGCACACCGTGATCCACTCGTTGGAGGCCGAGGACAACTCCCTGCAGCAGTACGTGAACGCGTTGCAAGACGTGACTCTGGTGCGCCTCGTGCGGCAGATAGCGCAGGTCTACCGGACCATCGAGTTCGCGCGTCTGATCCAGCTGGCCGAGTTCGCGACTGCGTTCCACTTGGAACGGCTGCTGGTCGACTGCGTCAGGCACAACGACATGCAGATCAGGATCGACCACGGCAAGCAGTGCATCCACTTCGGCATGGATCTGAGCGAGAGCCAGCGCGAAGACAAGCCGGAAGGGCCCACTTTGCAGGTGATGCCCAGCGAGCAGATCCGCAATCAGTTGGTCAACATGTCGACCGTGCTGAACCAGGCCATCGCCGTTATCAATCCCGACAAGAAGAAGGTGGAGCGCGAGAAGTTAAGGCAGAACATGGTGCAGAACTATCACGAGACTAAGGTGAGGGAGCACCAGAAGATTTTGCAGCGTCACAAGATCATCGAGGACAGGAAGGAGTACATCGAGCGGTTGAACACCGTGCGCGAGGAGGAAGAGCAGAGGAAGATCGAGGAGATGCAGAGGCAGCACGTGATGGCGGAGCAGAAACGTTTGGAGCACGAACGCGAGGAGCGCGAGAGGAAACGCGCTCTAAACGAGATACAGCAGATCAAGGATCGCCAGCTGAAGGAGAAACTGATCCAGATCTCGCAGACCGGTCACGGGCAGAAGATGCTGAACAAGCTGAACGAGGAGGAGATCAAGAAGCTGGACGCGGATCAGATCGCCGCCAAGGAGAGCGAGGAGCTGCAGAAGGAGCGTCGCGAGCTGCAGGCTAAGCTCAAGTCGCAGGAGAAGAAGGTGGACTACTTCGAGCGCGCCAAGCGCCTGGAGGAGATCCCGCTGGTGCAGGTGAGCATGAAGGAGCGCGAGCTGCAGGATAGGGCGTTCTGGGAGCAGCAGGAGAGGGAGCTGATCGCCGCCAAGGTGGAGGAGCGCAAGCTGGCGGTGACGACGCGCGACCGCCTGGCCAGGATGAAGCCCGATAAAGATGAATTCCTGAATAAGTTGAAGAAGGAGAGGAATATTGTTTTCGAGGATAAGCTGAAGGAGTACGAGGATTTGTACGCGGAAGAGAAGCGCAAACGGTTGGCGGAGAGGAAGGCGAAGAGGAAGGAGGATAGGCGCGTTCGCTACTACAGGGAGAAGAACGAGGAGGAGGAGAGGAAGCGCGTGGAGAGGCAGCAACGCGAGGAGGAGGAGAGGAGGCGGGCGGAGGAGGAGGCGAGAGCCGCTAGGGACGAGAAGGAGAGGGCGGAACGCGAGGAGAGCGAGAGGACCCAGAGGGAGATGCTGGAGAGGTCGGCGGCCAAGCAGCGGCAGAGGGAGGAGGAGATCGAGAGGAAGTTGCTGGAGGAGAGGGAGTCGGGCAAGGCGCCGCCGAAAAGCGGCAGGGACGATATGTGGCGGAAGGGAGGCGACAAGGAGGTGGAGAGAGATTCGTCGTGGAGGAAGGACAAACCCGGCGGCGGCGAGGAACCTCCGAAGAAACCCGAAGCCTGGAAGCCGAGAATAGCGCGCCCAGCCGACGATGCGCCGGCCAAATCTGCTGCAGGAGGCGGCAGCAGCTGGAGGCGCGGCGGCGACGACAGGGAAGATGGTGGCAAGGAAGACCGCAGAGAAGATCGTAGAGGAGAAGATCGTAGAGATGATCGCAGAGATGATCGAAGAGGAGATGACCGAAGAGGAGATGATCGAAGGGGAGAAGACCGAAGGGGAGAAGATCGCAGAGGAGAGGACCGCAGAGAGATGACTCGCGGCGGGGGCGGCGGCTTCGACAGGGACCGCGGCGACCGTTTCGGGGACCGGTTCAGGAGGGACGGGCCCAGGAGAGAGGACCGCGACGACGACAGGGAATCTAAGGAGGGCGGAGGTGGGGGCGGCATGTGGCGCAGGAGCGACGACGCGCCGAAACGCGGGCCGCCTCCGTCGAGGGGACCGCCGAGGGAAGGGGGCGGCGATCCGTGGAGGTCGCGCGGAGAACCGAAACGCGACGAGCCGATGCGAAGGGGACCACCTGCCGAAGAAAGAAAACCGGCTCCTCCGAAAGAAAAACGTAAGTTTTATTTATTAGTTTATTTAATTTTTCAACAGGGTTGACAGCAGAGCTGGAAGAATCTTGAAAAAAAGATCTAAGATGCATTAGATACTTTAAAGTAACTAAGATAATTATGAAAGTAATTGGGGGAATTCCAGATTGATTCAAAGTAATTACCTAACTACAACTTGTTGAATTTTCATAATTTTATACCTTCACTCCTTTAATTTATAGAAATTTGATCAACATTCAATCTAAAGCCTTTTGTTGCAATTTAACACAATTTACGAAAAATTGTAGCAAGAAAAATTCAGCAAGAACAATAAAAATTGGTTGGAAGAAATCTTCTTTTCAACTCGCGTGCGCAAAACAATACTTGTTGTACTTTACAACAAGTACTTGTGCCTTTAATAGTATTTTCAATTAAAAACAAAATATTGCCGAAATATTGTTAGGAAAATAGCTATTTTGGTTAAATAATGATTAAAAAAAAAGATTATTTTATACATGAGACGTTCTTATTTTTTTCCGACATGGCGATTAATTATTATATGTTATGCAACATTATATACAGGGTGCACCAAGTATCCTTCTATGTATAGGAAGGGTTTTAAAAGATCGAAAATAACTCAAAAATTTGGAAAAACTGTTTTTTTTGGAAATACATCAACAACTTAAATTTATTTTAATTAAAAAAAATCTTTTATTACAGAAAAAAATAAAACATAACTAAATATACTGTTGGTTGGGTCTTTTTGCAAAAAGGATTCCATTGAAAATATCCAATTACAAAATAATGAATGATTTATAAAGTTAAATTTTCAAAATTATAATTTTATAAATCAAAGTGTCAAATAAAATAAAGTTATGTTAATACAGCACCAAAAATGTTTTTTTGCGGCCCGGTAAAATATTGTTACTGAATTAAATTAAAACAAATAATTATTTTCATTCACTTTTTTTAAGTGTACGGATATCATCGTAAAAATTTGTAAATTTTTAGAAAAATTGACTTGCATTTTTTTTGTATTACCCTTTTAATAAAATGATAAAAAAATGCAAAAGTAAATTTTTCTGAAAAAATTTCAATTTTTCCGGTTTTTTTCCCCGGAAATTTTAAAAACCCATCTTTTTTATTTGAAGAGCTACTAGGTCGGTTAAATTATACAAAAGTTTAATAAAATTGAATTTAAAAATTGAATAAAAAATCTGCGGATCTCAAATAATGTAAAAAAAACTGAAGAAAACCTGTCATAACCAAAAATCGTTTATTTACATTTTCATCCAATTTCGCCTACTGGATTTTGAGATACCACCACCACCTTTTGTTTTTCCTATGGCTGTCATATTCATAGATAAAAAATCAAGCAATGACTCAAAACTCAAAACATAGTGGCAAAGAAATTGGATGAAAATGTAGATTAATGTGTACGTTTACATGTAAAACTTACTTTTTTCCAAAATTCCCAGGAATAACGAAGTTTTAACGATTTTTGTTTTTGAAAGGCTTTTAGTTTTTTTTAAATATTTTGAGAAACGCTGGCTGTTTTTCCAATTTATAAATTTTATGTAAATATGCTCGTAATAACGCAACTTTTTTGTAATACAACCGACCTTGTAGCTGTTCAAATAAAAAAAATACCCATACAAGGATACTTGGTTTACCCTGTATATTGGATATATTGTATGTGACGCATTTCGAGAAAACGAAATTTTACATGAAAGGCGATTGAATTTCGACGAAATTTATATTATTTAGAAAAAAACGTAAAATGAATACTGATTTATTTTTTCGACGAGATGTAAATGTCAATAAAAAAACTAGCCGGTTCTATATAAAAATAACGGACCTTTAGATGCAAAAAACCACGTTGCTTCGCTGCTTGCAAATAAATATTAGTTGTAAATGATTTTATTTGGCCTCTGTGTTACTTGAATATTTACCTTAATTAATATCTGAGCGTCTAAAGAGGCCCACATTGAACTACTTTGTTCCACATGCTTATATGAATGAATCATACACGGCATACTAACTAGAGTAAACAATTATTAAATAAAATAAAAGCAAAAAAAATATTTTGGTTTCAATGTTTTATCTTTTAGCTCGCGAATCACAACAACCAGCCCCAGACGCTGAAGACGGTTGGTCAATTGCTAAAGGACGCCGCTAGATGCACATTTTATAGACAACTGCCTTGCAACTGCTTTTTAATTTTCATCGATTTGTTTAGATTTTTTTATTTACAGGTTTTTATAGGAATTGGGTATATATCCTTGATTTTAACGCAGTTGTTTTTAAAACGTATTATTAAAGTTTCTCCTTGTATATTTATGAGAATTAAGTATGTATGGTTACATGTTAACAATTTTATTTTAATCAATAAAATTCAGGTATGAACCATGAGATTTTTTTATTGCAATGAAACCCTCGGAATCGTATTTTTTATTTATTTATAAGAATAAAAAATATTTTGATAATAAATAAATCTTCACAGGTAAGAGGCAAATATGTACAGCCGAATTAAATGATAACTCAATACAACATGATGGCTCCATTGGTTTTTTCTTCTAATACAGGTATTACAGTCTCAACTTCTTTATCGCTATTTGCAATGAATACTATTATTATATTTACAAGCATTGCTGCGGCTGCGCCTACGGCAAACCTGAAAAATTAAAATATAAGTAATTTTTTTTTTCTTCGTAATAAATAAAATAAATACCAGAAGGAATATCCTAATTCCGCCATTCCCTCTGAAGTCCATTCGTTGTCCTTATCCTCTCTAGATAAAACATTGTAATGGATCCTAAAGAAAAATTGGGCCACCCAAAATCCAATAGCACACAAGTCGGCAAGAACTAAAAATAAAAAAAAATATTTTTTATTTGACGTTATTGCGTATTGTGTAGATATTCTTTTAACATTGCGGAAACAGTTTCTTTTAATATTATTTTTATGTAAAAATGCCCATAAAAGAACAAGTTTTTTAAAACACCGTTCTAAGTAACTACTGTATAAATAAATATTAATGTACAATTATGTGCAAAGTATACTTTGAATTATACAGAATTAATTCACAAAAGTAATAACTACTCTATTACAATAAGTACCTAATAATTTCTCATCAGTTCAATGAATATATTATTTTAAATTATATTAATTTTTAAAAAGGGAACTTTCTGGATTTGGGTGAATCTCACGAAATGTCCCCCGTGAAATGAGTTTGACCTACAATTTTATTGTGTTTTCATATGAGGTAGTAAAAGCATACTAAAAATATCAGTTCACTAAGTAAATTAAACACATCCAAAGCAAACGAATCAAATATAAAATATTATTAAAAATTAAAAGAAATAATTTTTATAACCATTTATGTAGGTGTTACAAAAATTGATTATATCCTCCGTGAATCTGTTTTTGCTTTACATTTTATGCAACGGCGCTTTAATAATTTTAAATAAGCAAAAACCTCTATTTACGACTTTAGATGCATGTGATTCCTGAAGGTCAGTTAGAATTTATATGCAGATGAGAGTGTTGCTGTTTTATAATTCAAAAGTCTAAGTTTATTAATTTGCTATTTAAAAACCTATCCATCGTGAAGTGTAATATCTCAGTAAGTAGATTTTTTTATAAATATTTTATGTATTTTTAAAAAATATATAACTTATTTCAAATATACAAAGGGATGTTTTTAAAAAAACATACGAAATCCTAACCTCCGTGAAGCTCTAATATTCAAAATTCTTTACTTACATGCTAAAAAGTTCCAAAAATACAATCCAGACACTCCCGTAAGAAATCTGTATGTATTTGTTGCAGTATTAACTGCTGCAAATATTGAACTGAAAACTGAAAACAGCAATGCTGCGCTAATGGACGTTACAGTTCCAATCCAAAGTCCATACATCAAAAATTCTGGTTCATACCGGAGCAAATGTACGACTGAAACAAAAAAATTAATGTTATAAACATTATTTTAACATTAATTCTAATTAATATGACTGTCACATAACAGAGACATGGTTTATAAATTATAATAAGTTATATAAGTAGGCACCTAAGTGATGTCGTGAATTAAAACAATTGACTCTCGTTTTCTTGGTATCACGGTACCCATAATTATATAATGGAACACTAAACCTGGATTTCTTTTGCGACAAATTAACAATTAAACTATACCCAATTAAAAATTGACTCATGCAGTTATATTTGAAGGATTATGTTTTCTAATATTTGTTATATAAATTTGAAGGGAAATATTGAATTACCCAACAATTCTATAGTTCATTCGTTATTGCCCAATAATATTGTAATTACGTTTGCCACGTAAATGAAATATTATTTACTATGAGTAAATTCCAGCGAATAGGCGTATATATGAATAAAATATTGCTTATTACATAAATTATGAATACAATTTTGGTTAGTTAGTTGATTTATAAGGTATATAAGTCACTGACAATGGTAATAAAGTTTATTTACATGTGCAATGTGCAGTACATCTAAAATTTACCATACAAGTTACATTTTAACAATTTTTAATGGAAATATATTTACAATTACATATTACAGTTGTATGATATCAGATAAAGTGTCAAATAAAATTCACTCCTTATAAAAGTTAAATAAACTAATTTGTTCTTTGTAGGAAACAATAAAGAACTGTTTATAAAAATGGAATTTATTTTTCACTTTGCACCTGCATGTTTAAAATATACTGTTAGTTTAATAAGTTTTATTATTTGCAGTAACGATCGTGCTCTTGTTTTAGTGAAAGTTACAAGTGGCATAGCGTTAAATAAATTTGTGATTTACTTATTTAACATTTAACAAATTAGTTTTTGCCAACAATTTATAGCTTGATTGTTTTGCATTTTAGTTGCAAGTAATTATGTAAACAAATTTTTTTATCAAATTTAATACCGCAAATTTTTTTGTTTCATTTTTAAATGCAATTTTATGGACCTAAATTAAAGAAAAGTTACGTAGGTAATTACAATTTTAATACACGGTTTTTTTTATCTGGACTTTTTTAGGTTGGTGGCTTATGCCAGTTTTAGTATTTAAAAATGGTACTTCTGCTAAAGAATTTAATTAAATACTTTGACACTGTCAAATTGACAATAATATTTATTATTGATAATTTACTTGTCAATTATAAATAAAAAGATAATTATGCCATAAATAATAGCAACGAATTCGAATGTAAAAGCCCTTTTGAGGGCAAAACCTCATTTTGATGAAATTATGCCAAATGCCACAATGGAAGAAAAAGTACATCGCCTTATGGACATTTTTGGAGTAAAAAAGTAACGAATTTGGTTTTATAAATCATCACACATTATTTACCATTGGACAACATTTACGTTCACGAAAAATTTTAATTACTTTTATATAAATTCTTTTCAAAGAGCAGATTATTATCCGCTAGGAATACTTTCTCTTCTGGGCCGTAAAGCAACCTATATTTAACTACTTTTTTTATATGATTTTACTCATCCAAGCACCACCAAAGCCAAATTATAATTGCATTTTTAACTACGAATTTCGACAACTCAACTTGACAACTGCACAATGTAACCTACAATAATTTATACATAACCACACTTAGATTTATAACTACCTAGCTTAGTTTGTTTTAATCAATGCGACCAACTTGACAACTGTATTTACCAATAAGGTGAGTGAACATTAACAAAAATTTGTTACCTGATATTTTTGACATTAACTAAAGAAGTAACTTGTCAGTAAATAGTCAAAAACTAATAAGTAATTGGAAAATTTTTATAACAGAAAATAATGAAATAATTAATGATTTTATAACAAAACAATTTTAATAATTACTACTACTCTTAAACTGGATTCCCACCATCTTTAGAATTTTCACTTTAATTAATAGTGTAAGCTATTAAGCCTGATTTATAGATTGCCTTCCTTCCTTCCTTCCTCCCGTAGAAGATGAACAATACGAAAATCGTAGTGCCATTTATAGATTCCCGTACGGTAATCTTTAAACAGCACAACAGTTTTTGTATTGTTCCTCTTTACGGGAGGAAGGAAGGAAGGCAATCTATAATCAGGCTCTAAGGTGTGAACATTATGATTTTTTTCAATATCCTTTCTACTTTTCGAGAAATCTTCCGTTTGGTTAAAAATTTCATTCATCGTTTCGATCATAAACTAACGACACATAATGAATAAGTTAAGAAGCTACAGGTCTATTTATATTTAAGCTGGATGCATTGTCACATCTTTTTAACTACGATTTCCAGATGTCCCTTACGTCTTCTAAATGCTACTAAAGCAAGGTTCCGGTGATTGAACGGTGCCTTGAACTTATTTCTTCAATGTGGTTCTTTGTGCAATATTTTGTCGTGGTTAGTTTCTCCTGATTTATTGGTCTGCCTTTTTTAAGTGTTATTCCTGGATGCTCCAGTGCATCTGACTCAAATATAAATATTAATAGACCTGTAGCTACTTAACTTATTTAATTTTTACGTAAAGATGACTGGAGTGATTAAAAATACCAGTTTATTTTTGGTTATTAGGTACAATGTTATTCTTATTTTTTAAAACCTATTGACCACATTTGTACTACTTTCACAGTGTGATATGACATTGAAAGATGAATAATACTTAACCTTAACAGGTTATACAAACTATGCATCGGTTAATTTAATTATTATTAGATGCTTACCGTCTATGTCGTACGTCCTCCACCCATAAGCCACGTTTAATTCCTTTTTACCATCAAAGAGGCCGAAATTGATTTTCCCGTCGCTTTCCATTGGATTTTTCAGGCGTTTAGCCTTGGCGTTCACCCAGTGTTTGGTCCCTAAGCTGGCAACCAAAAGAGCCATGGCTATGCAAGACACGAAGAAGGTCATAAATATCATCCCGCGTTTGAACAAATTCATTTTCGTTGCGGGTATCGGTCAAAAAAGCATAATTTGGAGTGAAGAAAGTGGTGTGTTTGTTCATTTAATAAAAACGTTGGTTAGAACAACGGTCAGTTCAAAAATTACTGAACCTTACATCCTTACTAAAGTCTTTGGAATGCATTATTTTAAAATCATCCTCGGGCAGTTTTAATGTCCTACATAAGTCGAACACACCAATTCACTACACAAACAATTTACACAATGATATTTCCTCGATTAATAACTAAATCGTTCACCTTAAACACTAAAAACTTTCTACTGACATTTTCCGCGATTTCCTCGATGAAAACACACAAGGTACGGTTTGGTTTGCGTTCGTGTCTGTCTGCCGCAGACCTCGATTCCTCTCTGTCCACGGGGACAGCAAAGAAGTAGCAAAATCGAGCGTTTTCGTCGAATCTCGTTCCCACGTAACGTGTTTTAAATTATGAGTAATTTTACCTTTATTTTACCTGAACTCGCGAGCTATGGCGAGCTTGTCAGCCGTGCACTCGTTAAGTTTGGGTGATTACTGTGTTTTTGTCGGGTGTTGTTTTACCGGAATTATACACACAACCAATATTACATGGAATCACCAGTAATTACGAGAACAGTATTTTACTTAAAAAAAATTAATTGAAAATACAAAAAAAAGATCAAAATATTAAAATTGAACAAACAACAAAAAATGTCACTTTCTCTAACAATAAACTTTACGGTAAATTAGAATTTATTTATTCTCATTTTTTTTAATCTGTTCACTAGAAATGTTGTTTTAATAAATTTTACTTTAAATATTTTTGTAATAAAATTGGTTCAGATAATTTAAGAAATCACACATTTTGAATATTAGAGCTTCACGGAAGATAGCTTCACGGAGGTTAGGATTTCGTAGTAATAACATAACATACGTGGTTCTGCACTAATACAAGAGTTTTAAGAAATCATACATTTTGAACATTAGAGCTTCACGGAAGATAGCTTCACGGAGGTTAGGATTTCGTATGTTTCTTATATATTGTATCTTTTGACACCTTAATATTTTTAAAAATACAATTGTACATTCATAAAATATTTATAAAAAAATCTACTTACACTTCACGGTGGATAGGTTTTTAAATAGCAAATTAATTAACTTAAACTTAAATTATAAAACAGCAACACTCTCACCTCTGCCATCCGTTGCATAAAATTTAAAGCAAAAACAGATTCACGGAGGATAGAATCAATTTTTGTAACACCTACATAAATGGTTATACAAATTATTTCTTTTAATTTTTAATACTATTTTATATTTGATTTGATTGCTTTGGATGTGTTTAATTTACTTAGTGAACTGATATTTTTAGTATGCTTTTACTACCTCAGATATTTGAAAACATATAGGTTAACCTAGAAAGAGTAACAGTCACGGAGGATAGGTTTTAACATTGTAAAAAATAATTAATAAATAAATAAATAACAATTAAAAGAGTTATTTCAAATACTGTTTATTTTCTTAGACATATTTATTTTAAGTGTCATCGTGTAAAAATAAACATGTAGCTATTTTTATTTTTTTCTAATAAATAATGTTGTTAAAAATGTAATACAAAATAAATGTTGTTCTCTATCTATATTTGGTTTTAAATTAGTCATTAAAATAAATATATATCCGCATCTCTAGTCTCCATATCCTTTTCCAATTTTACAGCCGGATCTCTGGAAATTAACATTTGTCTTGTAAAAAGTAAGCCGACACTTAAAGCATATAGCAGCATTGATGCCAAGTTTATCCTGAAAATATTAAATAACTAAAAAGGTCTTCAAACTTGTTAAATTCGAATGTAGGTCGAATTAGAATTTAACATTTAAAAAAGAAGAAATTATGGTCTCACCAATAAGAATAGCCCAATAGAGCCCTTCCTTCGCTGGTAGCTTGCTTATTCAAAGTGTCCATCGTGACGATGTCCCTGCACAAAGTGACTGCGTACATGATGCCCCAAATTGTTACGTAAAATATGGTGAAAGCGCAGGCCAAACCGTTGTAAACAAACAGCCCAGTTACGCTCATCCACACGTGAATGGGATTGTAGATTGTGTTCCACACTGCAAGAGCTGCCGCCATCGCCCCAAAAACACAAGACAAAACCAAAAATATCAGGGTAGACATTTGGGCACCGGCGTTTATAAATAATCGATCTATAAAGTATTTGGAAAAAAGTTAAACAACATTGATTTTTTCTTGCATTTTGCTTACCTTTATAAACTCCACTCCGAAATCTCCAAAAATTTGTAACCTGTAGTTCATTTTTTATAGATACGCAATTTTCTCTTTCAGAGTAACTGTAGTCCGGGTTGATATAAAAATTTTCCAAAACATTTTTTCTGTGCTCCTCATCAGCATCGCAGAGCATACCGCAAACATTTTTGTCATATAAACAAGTCACTATAACAAAAAAGAAAAATCAGAAAAATATACTAACTGAAGTAGGTATTAAACTGAATATTTTTTGTTATATTTTATTAAATTAATAATAAAATATAACAAAACATACCCTTGTGGAAATTTTTCTCTGAAAAGGTTTTAATAAGTAAAAGAGTTTCAAAAGTCTTACTTTCTCTTAAAAAGTCTGAATAAGTCTGAAAAACTCAGAATAAGAGTAAGTCAGAATGATAGCAAGATTTGGGACTCTTACAGAAGAGTTAATAAGACAGATGTCAAAATTGACATGTCAAAAATGACATGTCAAAAATGACATGTCAAAAATGGCATCTGTCAAAAATGGCATCTGTCAAAAATGGCATCTGTCAAAAATGGCATCTGTCAAAAATGGCATCTGTCAAAAATGGCATCTGTCAAAAATGACATCTGTCAAAAATGACATCTGTCAAAAATGACATCTGTTAAAAATGGCATCTGTCAAAAATGACATCTGTCAAAAATGACATCTGTCAAAAATGGCATCTATCAAAATGACATATATCAACAATGGCAGATGTCAAAATGACATCTGTCAAAAATGACATCTGTCATAATTGACAGATGTCAAAAATGACGGATGTCAACAATGGCAGATGTCAAAATGACAAATGTCAAAAATGACAGATGTCAAAAAATTTTGGCATCTGGTATTTTTTACGTATTACCAAAATACACTGTCCAAATTTATCTGCTTATCATTGCTACCAATAGAAAATTGGTGAGATTTTTTCTTTTGATAAAAATGGTAAAAAAAAGAAAAATAATTGAACATCCGGTTTCCGCTAATAATTATAATATTATTTTTTCCTATAATTAAAATACAATTTTTTTTGCGGAAGTTATTGCCCTATCGGGCAACTGAACATATTCAGTTTAATACTTCAGATAGTATATTTTTCTGATTTTTATTTTTTTTTGTCTTAAAAATAATAGGTACATTAACAAAAATTATAAAGAAATTTTTTAATCATACCACCTTAATCAATGGTCTTAATACTATAGTATATGTATTATTTATTTCAGACACAACTGCTGGCATATTTAAATATTAAATCTGATTGATAAATGTGTTTTAAATCTTACTGTATATTTCATAAGTGCCTGTACGTCCAAATCGAATGTTTTCATACCCCTTAAAAAGTCCATAATTAACTGAGCTATCACTATCAGTATCACTATCAAAATGTATGGTCGCATCAACCCAATGATCTGTCCCCAGAGCCAAAAGGGCTAAAGCTAGGGCCAAACCTGATGTCAAGCTAGTGGCCAAAATATATAATTTTAATGTAGTAGCCATTATATTTTCACACAACACTACTACCTACCAAATATTTAGGTAGTTATCTCTTTCATTATCTTTTATTTCAGAATAATCTTATCTTAAATTTAGTGAATTATTCAGGTCGGAATATCAGCAGTGTATATCGTCAAACAGATTACAATGATATAAATATTTTTGTTATAGTAATAATTAAATTTACTTAACACACAATGTGGATTGTGACTTAACATAGCTTTTTAAATATTTTTGTTCAACAAACAATATATTTTGTATATGTACTTATACCTACTCAATATGAAAATCGTTTCTAATTACCTATTTATATATATGTATATAAGTACCTATACAATTTTGACAATAAAATATAAATAAATAAAATAAAAAAGTTTTCATGTAATCTGGGCTGCCTAACCATACGCCAAACATTTATTTCTTTACGTTGGCAGTGCTTGTTGTCAACTATGCATTAACTGTCAATTGTCAAAAAGTTACAAAACAAAACATCCTATTTCTCTAATTTGATTAAAGCATCGTACCACGAGTTTTTTAGTTGCAATGGAAGTGGTTAGAAATAGTTTTATGCCTGGCGATCCTAGATTGATAGACCAAATAGTTTACGAGCTGAAATCGCAAGGTATTTTCGATCAGTTTCGTAAAGAGTGCATTTCGGATGTCGATACAAAACCAGCTTACCAAAATTTAAGGCAAAGAGTGGAGGGTAGCGTTTCCAGTTTTCTGAAGCAGCAGAAGTGGAGGCCTGACATGAACAAGAATCAAGTCAGAGAAATGTTGCGAAAAAGCATACACGAGTAAGTCATACAAGTAGAGGTTACCTTTTTACTCGAATCTATATCTAAATTACTATTTTAATGGTTAATAAAATAAGGGATTGGTTTTGCAAAGATCTTTTACTGAAATGTGTTACTATCAGGGTTCAAAAAAATCATTATTTAAAAAAAAATCAAATATCGATGATTTTTATTAAAAAAATAATTTTTTTTTTTTAAATTATAAGCTTTTTTAATAAATTGCACTATTAAAAAAATACTAAAAGTAACTTGACTATAATAATATTATATTTGCACTACTTTATAAACCAACAAAACCACCCTCTTAACTGTCATATATTTTTTTGTATATTCCTTTATTATTTAATTAACAAAATAAGGAGTTTTTTATGCATATAAATTTATTTAAATAGTGTCAAGATATTATTGTGCTTTAGTTTTTGATCTTCAAGTGTTTTTTTCAGGGCTGGCAAATATAATATTTATATAAATATCCAAATATCTGATATATATCGATACATATCAAAATTTGGATATTTATTTTTTTTTTCATTTTAATTGAATATAATTTTAAAATTTTATAAACTTGTAAATTTGTATTTTAATTCTATTCTATTCAATGAAACTTGCAACACAATAACAAGTTTTTTAGTACTAGTATGTATAAAAATGTAAAATGTAGGTAAAAACTACAAGTTTATGAATATAAACACTAGACTGGGCCAAAAAAATCAACTATTTTTTTCGAAAATATGGTTTGGGGTGAAAAAAAATATTGTGAAAGTTTGAGTCCATAATATTAATATTAAGAGGTCTATCATCGCAATTTTAACTTTTTTTTCCTCAGCAAGTTTTAGGCTCAGAACTCCCAAACCATTCAGTTTAACAAAATTGACTTGAAAATATTTTTTTAAGAAAATTAAATGATCTACAAAAAAGGTTAAAGTGAAATTTTCCGTCAGATGAACCGTTTCCTTAAAATCATGCCTTAAAAATTGGTATAGTTTTACAATTTGATCTTTTAACTTTGGAATTTTGTAATTCGTGTAAAAATCAGTATCCATAAAAAACCGATAAATATTCTTATGGGAAATCAAATGCTTTACAAAAAAAGCCTCTTAACATTTTTGGCTAAATTCACTCAATCAAAAGTTATTCAAGGTTAAAATTTCGTTTTGACTTCAAATTTAACCTTGAATAACTTTTGATGAAGTGAATTTAGCCAAAAATGATAAGACTTTTTTGTAGAGCATTTGATTTCCCATAAGAATATTTATCGGTTTTTATGGGTACTGATTTTTACATGAATTACAAAATTTCAATTTAAAAGATCAAAATGTAAAACTGAGACAAAAACTCGCTCAGGAAAAAAAAATCTAAAATAATATTAATATTATGGACTCAAACTTTCACCATATTTTTTTTTGTTACCCCAAACAATATTTTTGTATACTTTCAAAAAAAAAATAGTCGATTTTTTTGGCCCAGTCTAATAAACACATCATATATTTCAGCTATTGCAACTAAAAACAAAAAATTAAAAAACTACAACAGCCAATAGAAAACAACAACTAAAATAATATTTTTATTAAAAAAAACAAAAATTAAATTTAGGATAAAATCAAGATCAAATTTCTTTAAATGGCCTCTGTTTTCCATACATTTAAACTTAGGAATAGAATTTTAGAAAAAAAAAATTGATATAGGTATATCAGAATAAGTATCGTCGCATACATATCATAATATTTATCAAGATATATATCAGGATATTTATTACTGATATATATCTTGTTTTTTTAGATTTTAGAAACTTTTTTAAAAACTGATTTAAATCATTGAATAAAATAAAAAAATCACTTGATTTAAATCAAATTCAAATTCAAGGTCTGGATATCTGGAAACTGGTGTGGAACGTATAGTTGACCAGGTAGTTAACCCCAAAATCAATTCGGTGTTCCTACCGCAAGTGGAAGACGTGGTGTACAGATTTTTGGGTATCGAACGGCCCGACAAGGATAACAAAAAAGGCCCGCTAAAAATAATCACGCAAAACGATCTGCTTCCAACCGATTTGGAAGCCGTATCGCCCGAATCCACGCATAACGATAAAAAGGACGATTCGAATCTGGATGATTCCATAAATTTGGACGAAAGTAAGGTGGAGGAGGACGAAAGTCCTCCGTTCGAGCCTTTAGACGAGCAAAGTTCTTACGTGCCGCAAGAAGAGAATTCTGTGGATTCTCACATGTCGGGATTCTCCGGTTTGGCCAGTCACGATTCCAATAACAGCGTGGAAATGAAAAACACGGAATGCTCGAATCAAGACTCGCACATTTCGCATAACAGCTCGGAAAGTCGGTTGTCCATAGTGACGTCGGAAGACAACACTAAGATGGAGATTTGCGAGGAAACCAACCAATCGAAATCCGCGACCATAGCGGAATCAAACCCCAGTGTGACTGAGGCAGATTCCAACAATGACAGAAAGTTGGATGAGAAATCCAGTAAGCATCGTTCCGATGATAAAAAACGCAGTTCTGAGAAGTATAGCTCCAGGGATAAAGATAAGGAAAGGAAGCATAGCACCAGTAGTGGCAGTAATAAGGATAAACCGCGTCATTCAAGCTCGAGTTCTTCAAGAGACAAAGATAAGGACAAAAAAGACTATAAGAGCAGTAGTTCCAAAAGTGCTAGCAAGGATAAGGATAAAGATAAAAGCAGAAGTAGTTCAAGTGGTAACAGGCATGGTAGTAGCAAGGATAAAAGCACCTCAAAGTCGTCTTCCAGTTCATCCAATAAAGACAAAGACTCCAGCAGAGACAAAGATAAGTCGAAGTCCTCCAGTAGCACTCACAGATCGAAATCGTCGAGTTCTTCCGATAAATACAAGAAACACAGTAGCAGCAGCAGCAGCAAGAAAGATAAGGACAAGGATCGCAAAAAGGAAACGAAAAAAGACGACCACTACAGCTCGCGCGAGAAAAAATCTGACCGCCGGTCCACGGATCGCGATTCAAACGACGGTCAGTCGAGTAAGCAAGGGAACAACAGCTGCGGCGAGCAGCAGTCTTCGCAGAGTCAAAAATCCAGCCAGGAGTCGTCGAAATCCACCAACGGTAACGGTTCCGGGGAGTCTGGAAATTCCGACGGTTTGGAATCGAAAACCGTGAACTTGTCCGAGATCGTTGTACCGCCGAAAGTGAAGCTTTACAAGCCGAAATTCGCCTCGAACTTTCAAGAGGCGAGACGTCTGATGAAAATCAGGAAGAAGCTGGCCAAGTTGGAAAAGCAACAGCAACTCGGCTTGGCCAGTTTTGAAGCGATTGAAATTAAAACAAAACCTTCACCCGAGAAAGTGGAATTGGAAGAAGAAGTCTTGAAGAGTTCCACCATAAGCCAGGAGAGTTTTGAAGCTCTAGAAGCCAGATTACTACAGGAAATGTCCAATATTGATTACAACACCTACGAATCGCCCGATGATGACGACTATGAGAGGTTTTCCCTTAAAGACACCAACATAGTTGAAGACACTATTGTCAGAGAAGTTATTATCAAAGAACCTGAAGTAATACAATCAGAAGAAACTCTTAAAATAGATGAACCGGAATTACAAACTCCTGCAGAACCTGAAACTCCAAAAATAAACGATGTCCCAGAAGTCGAAGCTCCTACTGTACCAGAAACTCCAAATAGAGAAGAAACTCTTACAGATGATCTACCCATTGAAGAATCCGAAAAAGCAACCCCCTTAAAAACCTTGACAGTACCTTTGAGCGACTGCCTACTTCTCAAAAACAAAAACATCCAATCGCAAGATGAATGCCTGTATTTGGAGCCGCCAACGCAGTCGGAACTGAGCGCCATAGACTTATTGCACAAGCGAATCCAACGAATTGAGGACGATATTCTTAGAAGAAGTTCGAAGGTCGATAAAACTGTCGATGCGATGAATAGGAAGAGAAAAATTCCGGCTAAAAATCAACAGAAGAAAATGAATGAAAGTATGTTGGTTGTTTCGTAAAAAAACACTTGATTATTGTGGTTGTTTTAGGTTTACAGAAGAGAATGGCGTGCTCTAAAGTTAACAACAACAAAGTCAAAAGTACAGGTAAATTTTGCTCTATGACTATTTTTTTACCTTTAATAAAAATGTGTTTATCGTTTTAATTATAAATTTAACAGAGATAGATGGCATAACGAGGCTGATTCTAAATCAGCCTCTATATTGAGTTTTTTTTCAGAAATTCCTACAAACAATAACTTCCCTTTACCATTAAGCCCATCGGACAGCGAATCAAACGAAAAGAAAGAAGAGTTATCTGAGGTGCCCTTAAAACGAAGAAGAAGAAGTGGACAAAAAAGTATGTACTGATTAGAAGCAACTCTGATCAAAAAAGCATTATTCAAAAACGTTTTTCGTTCTTGCAGGCAATCAGAGGTACTCTAGTGACGATTTATACAAACCCAGGCCAATATTCGCCAGTACCCGACGCAGGGGGGCTCAACCTAAAGGCGAATGATTCAGGGGGTTCTATAGGTTCAACTATATTTGAACCTATAGACCCAAACAATCAAGGTTCCCTACTTATTATATAGTAGTCGTTTTTTACTTGTAATACTTCAATCAATAATTAACTTAGATTTTTTAATGCTGTGACTGAATACCAGCAAATAAATACTGTATTTTTACATAGACTTCATATTCGTACATAGTAATATATTTTTACTAACTTGTAATGTTTTTTTTATTTACCCATTAAGTAATTGTGTTGTAAAAGGGATTATGCCAATGACCACTAATTCGTTTTTCATTGTATATTAACTATGGAACTTTCTTGTCAGCTTTACCTGATATTTTAGTGTTTAGTTGGGAGTTGAGAAGAATATCTTATTCAGGAATACCGAATTAAAATGGTGAAGTTTTGTGTTTTTGTTTTGTTGTGTGCTCAAGTTTTCTCAAATCCAACCCCAAAAGTTTTCTATGGTAAGTAAATGAAATATTTATTTTACCTTTATGTACCAAAGTACTCCTAATTGTTTCAAAGAACAGTTTTTTGAACCACACCAAGAATACTTGGATTGAATAAACAGGAGTTAAATCTAGCTTAAATTGATCTAGATAGCTTAAGAGCACGGTTGACTGGAATGGCAAAAAATAATTCCTGTGTAATTTTTAATTTAATTGGCCCCGTCAGGGGAGGCAGGTGAGGCAGTGCCTCATTATAGAGAATTAAAAAATTAAGTATAATTTAAATGTTTTACTTTCTATAATATACTATAAATTTTTAATATTTGGAATACATGAATTGTGAAATAGTCAATACAATTGATTGATTTTATTCGTGGAATACCCAGCAACATTTAAATTATTTGAATTTGAAACGACCGCAATTTAAACTAATATTTATAGCTAGATGATTGGCTCAGAAGCATGCCTGAACTATAGTTATAATTTAGACTCACGATTGGCGTTAGCCTTGTTGTCTCGTTCTATTACAATGCGATATCATAGTTGTCTCCTTCTCTCGTATTAGCATACGCGAGGCAGTCACGCCTACATCCAAGTAAATAAGCAGGTGTTGTGGCAACACCGTTGTGGAATTTTAGATAAATTATACTTCACACGTTTTTCAAAATTCAATAATAATATTTTTCTTATAATAAATCGATTTAATCGAAATTATATTTCTATTCTAAAATAAACATATTTTAACACTATCGCCATCTTATAGCCATCACAGTAACCAATAAAATAAATACAGATTCCTTCTTAAGGTTTGTTTTGGTTATAAAATTCTGAACTGTTTAAAGAACAAATCTGTGGTTATTTACGCAATCTAAAAACAATGATATTATTCATCCAAGAAAAATTTTAAACTTATTCAAAACTGGTTAGTAGGTACTTTGTTATCATTGATTGTGTACTTGTCAATATTTTATTCGTATTTTTTAGGTCAGCCAAATATGTTTAATGAAAAAATCGAAAACACCTCAGTATTACAGGCTTGTAAGTTGAAATATTAAAAAAAAAAACAGCAATTTTAAATACTAATTTTTACTAATTTTCAGTTTGTGATGGCGGAGCAATAGTAACTTCCAAAGATGTCAACAAATGTAGAGACGTTTTCCATGAAATCTGGAGTTGGAATAGTAGAGTCCAAAATTGCACGAAACTCCCTATAGCTGGGTGTAAATTTGAGGGAAATGCCTTTTTGAGTTACGAGGATTGCAAAAGAACAGCTGAACCAATGTGCAAGGAACAAGAACTGGAGTTTTACATTAAAAATCTTGCTCAGTAGTATAATAACTTTATTAAAACTATACTAGTACAATTTTTGGTGCTTTATTTAAAAAATAAATACTATCTACATAAATTTCTACTCCTAAAACAAACTACCTCTAAAATTATCGTTTTTTCTTCATCAAATAAACGCTGAGGACTCCAAACAGTAAGGTCCAAAAAATGCCCACTAAAATTCCATCGTAAACTTTAAAGTCTGTTATTTCCCAGCCTTTCTTCATCACGTTTCTCACAGATTCAATGGCTATTGTGAATGGAAGGCATCTTGACACAATTCTTAGGTAATATGACATGCCCTCTAAAGGCCAAACCATACCTAAAAATATATTAACACTAAAGTTTTAAACAAACATGTTTTTATCATAGACTTACCACAAATAATAATCATTGGCACAAAAGTCCCAGTTGTCAAAATATTTGCCATAGAATGATTGTAACTTATAACAGATATCCAAAAACCTATAAAAAACATTATATTCAATAACTCCACACTTAATTAAAACTTCTTACCATAACTCATTCCACACAGTCCCTGGGTGTACAAAATAATACCCATAACCCACATGTGGCCAATATAGTCCATTCTAAATATGTTGAATGTTAAAACCAGCAGTTCCACCGTGTGCAAAACAACTATACAGGCTTGTAGCGCAAAGTGCGTAAGGGTAATTTCTATTGAAGACACCCCGGCCACTATGGATCTATCCCACACGCCCTCGCATCTATCTGTGATGATTATTTGAGATGTTATAATGGCGCCCATAAAGAAAATTAAACTAAAAAATTGGAAAAAGTGAGGTTAAAACCGTTTGACAGATTGTTAAATAATAAACGTTCACTTGTTGAACCGACTTACGTCACTAAGGTTCCAGGCGTCATGAAAACGGTGAACGTCTCTGTACTTTTTCCATAGATTCCGTCAAAGAAATGTAAGGGCATATCTGCCAGTTTTTTATTCAGTTTACAATCCTCCAGAACGTCTTTCTGGAAATCCAAATACAACGTCAATAATTTGTACTTCATTGTTTGGCCAATTTGACGATCTAAAATATAGTAAAATAGTATTTTGCGACTAGGTGCGATGGAGAATGATATAAAAAGATTTGTTCGTAGATGCTACAATAAAATGCACTGGTGTGTACTTTTTGATCAACCAACATACATGTATATCAGTGGAGATAGTGCTTTACATCCCTGAGTTGTTACGGTTAATAAAAATTAGACAAAGGAACCAAAGAAAGGAATTGTTTTCAACAAAATCATATGCAGAAATGAGAATATTCAAAATACTTGCATCCATCAAAAGATCAAAACTTCTTGCAATATTGAATTACACCCTCTTTTTATGCTCTCAGAAATATTGACTAGAACAGTATTAGAAAGACTCCAGTTTCTATAACTTGGTAGAGTAAAGAGAAGTCGAAACCGTTGCGATATTGCATTGCGCTGTTTTTTTATAATTCTCGTGGACATTAACAAAAATCATTGTCAGTAAAATTCACCATTGGACTGCCCCCTTTTTCAATCATTTCTAGTAACAGGGTCGAGTTTCTACCTCTCTGTTGAATATAGAAAATCAAAAGTCATCCTATACGCTTCTATATTTTTTCGTTTGCTATGTTGGTAGTTTTAAATAATTTAAAATTTAAGTAGGTACTCACTTGACATATCCATCCATACTTTAATCTCGCTAAAGTCTAGCACGTCATCCTCAGAATCTTTTCCCAAATTCGTTCTGTTTTCCAAAGCCATTGTGAAATTATGTGCCATGTAGACTACGCCTGTTGCCTCTCCATTTTGCACACCTTGTATAGCATCGTCGATTGTGTCGTATTTGACCTGAAACAGTAAATAAACTCAACAACGTTGCTGAGAGATAATTTGGTAAAATTAGTTTACCATGTTGATCATCGGATTTTCCAGATAAGTCAAAAATCGGCAGCTTAGGTTGTCGAAATGGCACGAGGAAAAATCGTACGGAACTGCGGTTCCATTTTTGCTGAAATTTTCGCATTTAATCGTCATCGTTTCGTCGTTTACTACAGCCAAGTTTATGTCCTTTATGTCGCCTCCCACTGCCAGCAAAAAGCACATGCATTGTATCAGCGGAAATCCTACTATGAAGCAAAGTCCACTAAAAAATTTAATTTCAGATTTGATTGGCCACCTAGGAGTTCCGATTTTGTAGAACTTAATATACTCACGTTATGTTTCTGTAAAATTGCTTCCAATTCTTATCCAGCAAAGCCTTAACTCTATTTTTGCTTATGGTGCCCAAAGTTTTGACAATTTTTGCTGGCTTCTTTGTTGTAATTGCCTAAAATGTTTTCTGAATATACTACCTACTCTTCTTCAAAATCCTTTTTAAATTTCTTCAATATCCTTTCCCTGCTTCTATAAATCGTCAGTTGAAACTTATGATTTCTAGAAGAGGAGGATATTGGAAAAGTTTTGAAAGGAAATCTAAGAGCAAGAGTACTATTAGATGGTGTAACAAGTCAATTGACTTAACATGTTTAATAAAATGGTGAAGGTATGGATAAACATAAAAATTCTTACATCTGTGGATCCATGACTGATATCAAAAGTGGCCACCGTTGATGTAGAGCCGGTGTAAGGCAACACAGAGTTGTTTTGTTCGTCAGCCACGCTGTCTAGATTTAGTTCGTCAAGTCTGCCCTCCTCCTGTCTCCTGCTCAAAACCAGGAAAACCTCTTCCAACGAATCCGTTTGGAATAACGTCAATAGTCTTGCTGGGGATTCTTCTGCCAATAGTTTACCTTCCCTCATCAAACCAATCTAGAAGGAGAAGGAAAATGGTCATCGATCAGTATTTTTAAATCACTTTGTATGGTTTTAGTGAATTTTAGATATCAACAAAACCATCTAAGAAAGTTCAAATACAGTTATATATACAAAATATAAAAATTTAAGATCTGGAAATAACTTTTACTTACTTTGTGTGCTTGCCTACATTCTTCGATGTAATGTGTTGTTATTATCACAGCTATATTTTCTTTTTGCGTTATTTCTACTAAATAATTCCATATCCTAAAAATCATAAATCATTCTGGTAATTGATAAAAATATTTTTTCTTTTTCAAATATGGCGAATGCGCCGGGATTAGCCAAGTTTAGTACAATTGCAGTAATGATAAGTTACCTATCTCTTAATACTGGGTCCACCCCAACTGTAGGCTCATCTAGAATCAAAAGTTCGGGCATATGAACCATCGCACAAGCAAAAGAAACCCTTCTTTGCTGCCCACCACTGCAGTTTTTGATATACCTTATAAAAAAGAAAAATAAGTATTGTGTTCAACTAAATTCTTTCTTATTGCTTACCTATCTTCTGGAGGTAGCTCCAATAGTTTACTCAAGTGATAAAACCTTTGCTCAATAAGCTCATCTTCCATCTCCAAAATTCTCCCAAAATAGAAAATCGCATCTTTCACTGTAAATTCTCCAACAAGTGCGATATCCTAGATATGATTTGTTATGTAATTAATTAATTTATTTTCATGGTTAAAGTTAGTGTCAATGTTAAGTCTTAATTTCTACCTCTCTTTTTGTGAAAGAGTTTCCCGGAATATATTATAAATATAAAATATGTAAAAGTCATTTATTAATATGGTATAACTGGTACAAACTGTAACATTTAGACCGTAGACTTAACTACATAAATGTTAAAAACTGTAATTTAAAAAAAATATTATATTGACTGCATAATTTTATTTGTTTAAAAAACCGCTTAGCAATATGTTTACTTTTAAATATCTGTTTTTTATACTTTCAACATTAAAAAGTATTTTAACACCTTACATACTTTTTTCTAAAATTTATGCACTTTTAAAATTCAAATGATATTTTTAAATACATTTAGTACGTTTTTAATTTTGTTGTTATAACGTGTATAACTTTTAACAGGTATTTAAATTTTATGAAAAAAAAAATTAGCATTTTTATTACAAATATGTTTTTATTTATTAGTTTTAATACCTTGATGTGCCATTGTAAATTAATAATTACACTGTGCGACAAAATTCGATAAAAAAATGTATTCAGTATTTCAAAAAAATGAATAATATTTCATAAAACTCCATAACCACAAAATTATTTTTTTCATCGGTTTGTTCTTTTTGTTTACTCAGATGAAATTAGGACAAGTTCACAGGTTTAACTTTAAACATGCAATTTGTGTAAATAAATCCAAAAGCACTTGCCCTAGTTAAGATATTTATGATTTGAGCACATAACCTCAAATTTAAAAGAAATCGACTAGATTCTGTCATAAAATGACATAATCAACTTTTTTTGACAGGTTGTTACCAACCATAACATAATAAATTAAATTATGCAACCAGATTAGCCTAAAGATCCTAGTAGATCAGCGTACTATTAGGTAGGATAAAGGTTATTATAAATTATTTTTAGTCTTTAGAATTTAGAAAAAAAAGTTTCAGGTTCTTGGATATTGATTTAAAACTTTTTTTTTTTAAATTTGAACAAAATGCCTCTTCCGAAAAAAATTTATAAAAACCAAAAATATAATATCTTAAAATCTAACGCCAATATAAAAAAAACGAAACTATAATATTCTTTTTTTTTGCAATACGTATACATTTTTCCTGATCCCAATCCAGCTATTTTTTTGTTGCGCAGTGTTATTATTTTTTCATTAATTCCTAATTTTAATTATTATTCTATAGTACCTATTAAAACCTGTATCTTTTTTTGGGTTTAATATTTGTGTGGCAATTTTTAATATCTGCAAAAAATAATTAATTACACTGGTTGACATCAATCCAATTTTGCCACATCGTGGCCAACAACTTTTTTGTGTGCGCATATTTCAAAAATAAAATTTTTGTCCTTGATTTCAGCATATGCAAAAAAAATTTCGACATGTGAACATTTGAATTCGTATATTTATTGTTAATTAAATGCTTTAACCAAAAATTATTGGTAATTAAACTAATAAAAAAAATAGTGCTGTAACTTCTATAACAGTGATAAACGGTTTTTTTTGCAATATCTTGAAAACAAGATCTTTTTAGCTCGAGCTAAATGAGCAAAATTAGGAATGTTTCTTAAAAAATTGTCAAAAGGGCCTGAAAAAAAGAACTGTAACTCCATTTAAAAATTACCTGTGGCATGTAGCCGACTAGCGGTCCAGGAACACCACTACCTTTTGCTCCAGGGGTACCACCCAACACCCATATTTCCCCAGAATCTATAGATTTTCTTCCAACGATACTACTTAACAAAGTAGTTTTTCCACAACCACTTGCTCCCAATAATCCATATCTAAAAGAAAAAATATTGTATGAAAAAAAAATCCAAAAAACCTGTATTCAAATAGAAGATGATCATTAGAGCTTCACGGAAGATAGCTTCACGGAGGTTATTGTATCTTTTGACACCTTAATATTAAAAAAAATACAATTGTACATACATACAATATTACTGAGATATTACACTTCACGGTGGATAAGTTTTAAAAAAACAAATTAATGAACTTAAACTTTTGAATTATAAAACAGCAACCCTCTCATCTGCATATAAATTCTAACTGACCTGCATGAATCAAATGCATCTATAATATCGTAAACAGAGGTTTTTGCTTATTTAAAATGATTAAAGCGCCATCCGTTGCATAAAATGTAAAGCAAAAACAGATTCACGGAGGATAGAATCAATTTTTTTAACACCTACATAAATGGTTATACAAATTATTTATTTTAATTTTCAATAATATTTTATATTTGATTCGATTGCTTTGGATGTGTTTAATTTACTTAGTGCATATTTTAATATTGTAATATACTTCTAATAAACATAAATCATTGACATTTAGGATATGAAGAGAACCTTAAACCATCGATTTATTAAACAGGTATGAAATTTCACCATGACATTAAATGAAAGATTAAGACGCATATTAAATCTTAATGTTGACCTCGAATATTATACTCAAAATACGCCTTTGGTAAAAAGTGATTTATACTTGTACTTACATGATGCCCCTGTTGACTTTCATGCATAATTTTCTCAAGACCTCCTTGCTCCCATAGTTTTTGCAGCAATCTTTAACGTGGACTGCCAGATCGTCCTGCATCTCTAAAAAAAAAAATTAAATCCAAGTTACTAATACCACATTCTTACAATTTTTATAATAATTTTTTGTGTGAATATTGGTTCTCAAACTTTTTTTTAAAGCTCTAGCTATAGCATACTTAGGGTTTGTCTCTATGGTCACTTTTCTCTCTCCAAAAATGTTGCTTAAAAATATTTAAAAAAATATAAAACCAACAAAATCTTGTGGCTATACGAGGTGTGTTCAGAAAATAACGGGAATTGTTAAATTTCGCGGGTTCGGAGGGTCCGGTTGTCATAAAATTTTCTTTTTTATGTAGGTATACATGCCCCCGAAGTATGATAAAAACTTTAGCTGTTTTCATTGTTAACTTTGTTTGTGGCAGCCGCTAAGGTTAGACGTGTTTTATGAGCTCGGCGATTTTTCGTTTGTTAAAAGAAATGGATCAAAGAATTTGTATCCAATTTTGGTTAAAAAATGAAATAAATTATGTGAAATGTTAACAAAGGCCTATAGTGAGTCTGCTATAAGTAAAACAAGAGTTTACAAGTGGTATAAGAGTTTCTAAGATGGCCGTGAAGACGTTGAGGATGACGAACGCCCCGAACGCACAAGCACATTAACAACCGATAAAAACATGGAAAAAGTGGAAGAAATGGTTATAAACCATCAGGGAAGTCGCTGATGATGTTGGTATATCGATTGGCTCATCCCATGAAATTTTTTCAAATGTTTTGGGTATGAAACGCGTGGCAGCAAAATTTGTTAAATTTTGAACAAGATTTTTGGCCAAAAACAATAATGTAATGATGCCCCAGCCTCCATATTCGCCAGACATGCCTCTGTCTGACTTTTTCCTATTCCCAAAAATAAAGAGAACCTTAAAGGGCCGTCGTTTTGCAAGCATAGATGACATTAAAAGCGCATCGCTGAAAGAACTAAAGGCTATCCCAAAGATCGAGTTTTAGAAGTGTTTCGAGTATTGGATGAAGAGCTGGCACATGTGCATAATATCCAATGGGGACTATTTTGAAGGCGACAACATTAATGTAGACGAATAAATAAATAATATTTATTTATTTATTCGTTTCAAAAAACGAAAATTCCCGATATTTTCTGAACACACCTCGTATGTCTACATAAAAACTGATTCTACGAAATTCGTATTTTAATAATTACATACTAAAAGAAATTTAAAATTGCACACGAGGTTTATATAAAAAATGTGTTATTGATTTTTAAACGTTTTCGTGCATTCCAAATGTGTTTTGTAAGTCATAATTTTAGCAATATTGCATAGGTAATGAAAGTAATATTTATTATTGATAATTTACTTTTTAATTAATATATAATATCGATATAAAAAGATAACTATGCGAAAAATAATATCAGATTCTAAAGTAAAAGAACTTTTAAGGGCAAAACTTCATTTTGATGAAGTTATGCCAAATGCCTCAATGGCAAAAAAAGTACATCGCCTTATGGACATTTTTGGAGTAAAAAAGTAACGTTTTTGTTTTACAAATATTAAAAGAATATTTTTTTTCTCGTCTCTTGTAAAAATATGTTAGTTTATCATGCTGTAAGAGCCCTGTCAAAATATCAGCTCGATTAAAAATTTTTTAGGGGTCGCTCAAGAATTTTCAAAATTTTTAAAATCGTCAAAAATTCTATTTTTGTTTTATTTTAATTTTTTTTCTCGTCTTGAGCAATATTATTTTTTAGGCTAAAATAATAAAAATTCTGTAAATTTCAAATCAATATTTTGATTTCTAGGTCGCTAAAAGTTCGTTGATATTTATTTTCAAAGGTCGCTCGAAAACATTCAAAATACTCTACTTTGAAAGTTAAAAAAATCTTGAGCGACCTTTATAAATCAAAATATCGATTTGAAATTTTCAGAATCATTTTTATTTTCAAATTAAAAAATAATATCGGAACGAGAAAAAAAATTAAAAAAAACATAATAATAATAATTCAAAGAAAAAATATGTTTCCAGTTTTAATTTTAAAAATTACCAAAAACTTATTGTGAAAATTTACGTAATTATATTATAATTATTGTAATGGTTTTCAAAACTGCTCGTAATTTCCCCTAAATTACAAATACCAAATAAATTACCAATGGTGGATATGAATGTATGACTCATAAACACTCTGTCTAATCGCTGTTGCAAAATTATTTTGTCTTACTGTATATTACTATTACTATATATTATAATATGCAGAAATCTTTTGATATTCGTTAGATATCCTTTAAATAGCTAAACCTAACAATTATTTAGATATAATTCAAGGTGATTCCCTTTCTAGCGGCATAATTTAATGCAAATACATTAATAATTATTGATATAATTATTACACAGCACTTTTAACAGGCATCTTGCAGCTTTACGTATAGAAATTATGCTCGGTCTGAATCATTTATTGTTTCCACAATATAATACAACCACAAGATAATTAACCAGTATTAATTATTTATTTACATCTTATTCCAGATATTGCGTTTTATTTTTTTTTAATTGGTTCGAAATTAGATTTTATATTATATGAAAATGTATATTGAATTGCGGTAGGATGTGTTAAATATATAAATAATATATTATTCTATTTTTTAATCCCGGCGCATTCGCCATTTTTTAAAAACGTAAAAATTTCATAGAAAAAAAATCTCTCGATTACCAAGTTTTTTAAAAAGTTATTATATTAGCATTTAAAAAAATAATTTTGGTTGCGTAAAAAATTTGAATAAACTACAAATATACAGTGTTGACCACTTTTCAGCAAAATAATCAAAAAGGGGCCATTTTTACCGACTTTGAAGCGCTGTATCTTCGTTACTGTTCGTTTGATTTGTACAAAATTTTCACGGTATACTAACAAAAATACGGTCTTTAACAGCATATTTTTTATTTACTTAAAAAAATTACCCTAAAAGTAATTTTTCGAACGTTTTTACATTATTAAATAAAAGGGCTTTAAAAATATTTTCTCGAAAAAACCTCGAACAAGTAAACTGAGATATTTTTATGCAAAATTTCATAAAGAATAATAAAGGCGTTTTAGAGTTAGATTTTTTTTACAGTGGTTGCAAAAATTATGGCCAACACTGTATAATTAATAAAAATTACGATTTAGTTACAAAAATTATATTTTTAAGATTTTTTTTTTTATTTTTATTAATATTTAATAACATATAATCTTAATATTTGCAAATTTTTTTTTTAATTCGGAATTACCTTTACCCACCTATACTTTTTTACAGTGTATTTGTGCCATTACAAACAATTAAAATATTAATTTTTTATCTTGAATAACATTCACTAATGCTTCAAACATTTTTTATTCAAATAACTTTAATTACTCATACAATCATTGTTTTTTCATATTTCCTACCTCGATGTATTGATTTAATTTTTATTGAAAGGATTACAGGTAACCTTGATTTTTCTGTCAACGTAAATTTTATAAGAAAGGGCATTCTCACGTGTTGCAGGTTAACGTTAAAAATAAGAAACCATCAGTCATGTTTGCAAGTCAATTATTATGGTCTGTTTGACAAATACAATATGTTCGTTTTGTGCCCAGTAAATGCTCTTGCTAATGTTGTACTTTTTTTTGACCGTCACAAAAAATATTGAATATTTAACAATACACATCCACAAATAATTTTAGATTTTTGTTTACTTCAAAAAGAGATCCAATTTTTAAGTTAAACATTGTACTTTATTCACAAAATTCCTCACAGACCATGAAATTCCTTACAAATGTAATTAGAAACCATAAACATATGAAAAATATATTTTTTCTACTCCCACCTTTAAAACGCCCTTTATCGTACATGTTTCCATGACCTTTTAAATACACATTGACAAGTTGTGGCTTTATGGCGCTTTAGTCACGGGCTGAAGTTACCAACAGGTTTTTAGTCACGGGCTGAAGTTAGTTTTAAGTTAGTTGACAGTTGTCAAATGTCATACAATCGTTAAAATAAAGTGCCTTTCTTGTAAAATAATACTAAATGTGAAAATTATTTTATTATCTCAATACAAAAATACAAAAGTATTAAATAGTTTCTCAACGCTAATATTTTAAAAGTTTATATGAACATTGTACTGACCTTTAAATTTCGCTGGCAGTAAACTATAACTTAAATTCGGGTACGAACTCCACTGTAAAGTGCTTATGAATCATTTTCTTTACTTTCACTGTGAAAAACTGTCAATTTTCAAGAAATACATTTCGATTTATAACCCTTATAATATGTGTTTATAAAATATAAAAATTTTACATTTGACGGTGACACACAGATTCCCCTATTGTTTCATAGATGGCGCTCTATAGAAATTTTTTATTTAAATCATTTTAAGATAATAATAAGTATTTTTTGTAGAAAAAGTATAGTATGCACCTCGTTTATAAACTTTTCTATACACTCATTAATTAAATTCGTGTATAAAATGGCTTTTATCAAACTTGATACATAATATACAAAAGAAAACAACGTATTTATAAAATATTTATACATTTTTTTCTTAATGGAAAACAGCAAATTTAAAATGTTTTTTTTTATATCATTGGTATGTTAAAAGCTTCATTACTTTTCAATTTATCTGAAAAAGCAATTGCATTAATACATTTTTAATATCCTATTTATTGCGCAGACAAAATGCTGTAGGTATAATAATTAACCCTTGATTTGTTCCTTTAGACCAATAAAAAAAGAGAAAAGTTTTAATTATACAGGGTGCCCCATAAGGAATGGTAAATAAATGTAGGCCAAATTCTTAAAAAAAAAATTGTAGTTCAAAAGTTGATTCTATTTTTTTTTTAATTTTGATCATAAATTTTGCAATTATTTACCATTACTTATGGCCCCTAACCTATGGATACATGACAATTTGTAAAACTTTGTCAAATTTTTTTACAATAATTATATTTTATACATTTTTACTTAAATAAGCAATGTGAAGCAATGTTATAGTTAATTAATTATTAAATTGCCAGAGGTTGACAATTTATCAATACCAATTGTATATTTTAGTACAATAGTTTTTAAATTACGAAAATATCCAAACTATTATTTCCATAGTCTTTTGCTTGAATATATACATATTTAATTTGTTTTCTACGTAGACCTATTTTTGTTATAATAAAAGTATTATAAATATTTTATTAAATTTTTTTTCTTTTATTTAATTAGGCACTACCAAAATAATTATGGCTACAAAATTGCTTGAAATGAAATATAATTAACAACAATTAGTTAAATAGGAAAAGCCGCCATGTCAATGGCCTATTGATTGTTTATAGACTACAAGGCTGAATTAAAACTTATTTTGGACAATGAAATTAAATTGGAGTTTTTTTATTTAAAATTTAAAATTTTGAGGTTTTAAAAATTTTATTTATTTTATTTACTAATACTATTTTCATCAGTATATACAAGGTGATTAACCCAACTGATTTTTTAGAGGTAAGTTTTTTATTCCCATCTTAAATTGTATTAATTTTTTTTTTTGACATTTGGAGTGAATAACTAAAATGTCTGTATTATCAACAATTGTGATGTTAAAAAGTTCATTCTTGGTTTACACGTTAACAAAGGAGTATCCTATCAGGAGCCATTAAGAGAATTCCAAAATGTTAGACAAGATGTTTGGTAATTTCGTTTAGATTTTTGCCACTCTAAACATTATTGGCATTTGCCAATAACTGATGGACTATTTTTACGTAAACATCACAAATTCATAAAAATAAAAAAATATATGTCCAATGGTGAACAGTATTAATAATGCCTTACTCAGTTTTTGATATATCAATGTGCAGTTTTCAATTACCCAAAAAATGCTGCGCAAAATACAATTCAACAAAAAATCGTTTAAAAATGTAAAACAAAACGGTTTTGTCCTTTAAAGCAATAATACCTCATTCGTATTATTTTCACGAAGCCATTACATTTTGGTAGTCTAACCTTAGACCATTACCTAGCTGTTCAAAAATATACGCATTTGCAATTTAAATAGGGTCAACTTTATACAAATCGCCTAATTTTATTTAATTAGTTATATTATGTTTACCATTTTTTTTATTTATTGTTATTTAACAAATATTTTCTCAGCATTTAAAATGTTGTGCAGGTGTCTAAATATAATAAATCTGTTGTATTTTTTCTTTAAGATTTTACTGCTTGACAATATTTTTTCTTAAACTTTCTGGTGTAAAATTTAATTTTTCTTAATAAATTTAGATATAAAAAGTTAAATTAATTTTTTGCGATTTGTTAATAATTTATTAAAAAAACAGCAATTTTTTAAAGTAAATATATTTTTTACATATTAACTTTATTCTTAAATTGTGCTTAGTTTGAAATGTGTTACAAAATAAGTATACTATTAAATTACAAATAATTATATATTTAGCTGATTCTGTCAAAATGTTTTTATTATTTTAAAAAGTTACTAAATAGTTTAAATAATGTTCAAAATATTTGTCGAAACAGTAAAAAGTAAAAAAAACTACATAGAAATATAAATGGACAATGTGTAATATCTAAAAAACAAAAACAAATGGACTTACTGGAAGCTTCTCTTAGGTACTCATAAAATCACAATCAAGTAAAAAAGTACTTCAAACAAATTCACAACAATCGTATTGGTCGCACCTGCTTGCAGTGGTGTTAGACGCCATGGACTGGGGGATACATTTCACTTGCGATCTTTCAGCAGCGCACCTTCTCGTAGATTACAACCTTGGTGTACTTGAATTTGATTTTTATGGAAAAGCCGCTGATTATGCATTCATGTGTACCTGCTTACTGCTGTAAATGACTGTAAAATTATCGATTTAGGAACAATTTTAAGACCCGAAATTTAATAAACTGTTTGTGTTTTTTTGTCTTAAACATCATTTATTTTTATAATCGGATGTATTTTTTTGTGAAAGTCATGCATAAAATACCGCTTGGTCTTTAAGGTCCTAAGAATTTTTACCTGAACCATATCAAGGTTATTTTTTAAGATTTAGGGTTCAACAAACAGGAAATTTAGTATGTAGGGTAGGGTGGTGTAAGTATACTCATCACTGCGCATTCGCCATTTCTCTTTCTAAACATAAAACACCACGAAAGGAAGAAAAATTGCAAATTTAATGGTACTTTTTACTTTAGTGAATAATGCGTATTTATCGAGTGTAAAACTATACTTTATCTACTCCAATTAGTAGATAACCATTTTATTTATCTATTTTATTATTTTATATTTTTAAGTTTCGTTTTTTGAAAAATTTCTCCAAATCGACTTTTATCCAGTGGAAATTTTCTCCAATGAGATTTTTATCCAATGGGAATTTTAACCAATGCATTTTTTCTCCAGCGGGAATTTTATCCAATGGGATTTTATACAATGAGAATTTTATCCAATGCAAATTTTATTCAATGAAAATTTTATCCAGCCTTTTAAAAAAGGCGTTTTAATTATTGAGAGAATAATGTCATGAACAGGATTCATTTAACTAAAGAAAACTTACCGGTATTTTGAAAACCTAACCTTAATTGAAACTCAATGCACCACAATAATAAAATAATAAATTTTACTAATCGAGACTATAAAAGATTAGACAATAGTTTTAAATAACTTAATCTGAATCAAAACAAAAACACCCGTCCTACACACACTGCAACACAAACTACCACCCACCACATCTTCAGTCCTATTTTTTTAATCTTGTGACTCAAAAACATTTTTTTTACTTTTAACACGCGTTAAAACATTTAAAAATATATAAAATTAGTTGAAGTCAAAACGAAATTCTTGTCAAATTTAACCTTGAATTACTTTTGATGGAGTGAATTTATCCAAAAATGTTAAGAGGCTTTTTTTGTAAAGCATTTGATTTCACATAAGAATATTTATCGGTTTTTTAAGGGGTACTGATTTTTACATGAGTTTTAAAATTCCAAAGTTAAAAGATCAAAATATAAAACTATACCAATGTTTAGGGCATGATTTTAAGGAAACTGTTCATCTGACGAAAAATTTCATTTAACCTTTTTTGTAGAGCATTTAATTTTGTTAAACTCAATGGTTTGGGAGTTCTGTATGAGGCGCCGTTTGGGCCAATATATAAATTTTCATCTTTGATTAAAAATATTCTTGATATATAAAAAATTTTAATTGTGTGAAATAAGTTACTAGATTCTGTGAAGCAGCATCAAGATTGCACATTTAACCATTGCAGTGTTGTCAGCTTGTGCTTTGTGACGTCACACACTGTAAATCGGTACTATTTTTCGAGAGATAGGATTTCTACAACAAGCTCGGTAGCTCGATGGAAGGGCGCCTGCTTTGCATGCGAGAGATACGGGGTTCGATACTTGGCGCCTCTACAACTTTTTTAATTTTTTTTTTAAACACTGTAAATGTTGAATGTGCAATCTTGATGCTGCTACACAGAATCTAGTAAATAAGTTTGCTTGTGATTGATTTATTTTAAAGCCTCCACAATATACCGTGTGCAGTGAGGGCGCCACTTCTATAGACGTAAACATTTTCATCTTTGATTGAAAAAATTATTGATATATAAAATATTTTAATTGTGTGATATAATAAGTTGGCTTGTGATTGATTTATTTTCAACCTTTCACAATATACCGTGTGCAGTGAGGGAGCCACTTTGATGTTTGTAAACATTTTTGAAATAATTGTCATTTAACATTGCCCGTTATTTATTTTATTAAATTTAACATTTATTGATACTTTAAAATGTTAAAATAGCTTTAAAATATGATTTTGTTCAGAAAATATTTTATCCTTTAATTTTTGTATTACTATAATTGCAAGATATTATTACAAAGTAATAAAAAATCCTACACGGGAAATGATAAAGGTATAAAAAGTGACAGTTGTGTTTACCTTTAGCGCAATCAAAACTTTTCCCGCGCTTACTAAACTCTATGCTATGCACTATGTTTTCCAATAAAGTGTTAAAAATAAAACAATGATTCTCTAGTACATGCAGACTTTCTTCCGCTACCCTTGGATCAAAATTAAATTGTTGTCGGTGGCAGTAATCGTAATCTCGAACTAATTCTTCAAAATATTCAGGAAAGTCCAGACCAAGACTTTAGTAACAGAAGTGCCGGAAAAGTTTTGATTGCGGTAAAGTCAAACACAAGTGTCACTTTTTGTACCTTTAACATTTTTTTTACTTTTTAATTTTGCAATTATAGGAATAAAAAAACAAAATATTTTCTTAACATAATAATAATTTAAAGCTATTTTAATATTTTAAAGTATCAATGAATGTTAAGTTTAATAAAATAAATAACGGGCAATGTTAAATAACTCACGAACATTTAAGTGGCGCCCTCATTGTACACGGTATATTGTTAAAGCTTTAAAATAAATCAATCACAGGCCAACTTATATCACACTGTTAAAATCTTTTATATCAAGAATATTTTCAATCAAAGATGAAAATGCTTATGACCATCGAAGTGGCGCCCTCACTGCACACGGTATATTGTGGAGGCTTTAAAATAAATCAATCACAAGAGAACTTATATCACCCAATTAAAATCTTTTATATATCAAGAATATTTTCAATCAAAGATGAAAATTTATATATAAACACCTAATTTTATATTGGCCCAAACGGCGCCTCATAGTTCTGAGACAAAAACTTGATGAGGGAAAAAAATTAAAATTGCGATGATAGACCTCTTAATATTAATATTATGGACTCAAACTTTCACAATAATTTTTTTTTGTCGCCCCAAACCATATATTCGATATACTTTTCAAAAAAAAAAATATAGTTGATTTTTTTGGCCCACTCTAATATATATAAAAACCTAATATATATATATATTATATATTATATTATATATTATATTATATATTATATTATATATTATAATAATTAAATTTAAATTATTCAAACTAAATATGTATATAAATAAAACAGCAAAAATGTCCGTGTTCTCAATGTCCAAAAATATTTTCCATGTAATTATATTTTCATAAATAAATCAAATTACCTTTCTTGTTTGCAATTTGACCACAAAATACATTAAAATTATGTTTTTGTAGAACAAAATTAAAAACCATAATATGTTACCTACTAACATTAATTTTGGCAGGCTAATAATAAGTAAATTAAAAAACAATAAAACTGCATAAATTATACTTTCTTTCTTTGATTCTCAACTAGTTATAAGGTCATGAATTATTATTACATAATGAAAAATTAAATTTCTTAAGCATTATGATTATAGAGGGTACAATATACCCTCCTGGACAAATATTCTAAATTTTTGTCTGATAATACTTAATTAATTATTTTATTATTATTGTCTTAAAGATTGCTTTTTTTGTTACATGTAATTTGAAATCATTATATATTTATTACTAATTAACGATATAAAAAAATTATTAGATTGGTAAACTTTTTTTAAACTTGGCCTCGAGTAGCTCGCAATGTTTTGCATTTTAATGTTAATAGTCTTAGAGAACTGTTAACTTTTTTTTATTTTAATACGTACACTTATAAAAATTTTACTTTTAAATATATTTAAATAAATACCCATACGGTATTAAGAAAATACATTTATTACAAAAAAAATTGACAAAATAAACTTAAACGTTAAATATAATGTCTGTTGGGTCCTTTGAAAATATCCATTTACAAAATAATGAATGATTTATAATGTTAAATCAAATAAAACGAAAGTTATGTTATACAGCACCGAATTTTTTTTTTTGCGACCCATAGAAGATTCTTACTGAATTATAATAATAGGAATAATTATTATAATAATGTATTATGATATAATCAGATTCGAAAATTCACTTTTTTCTTGATATCGGTTTATATTTGAATAAAAATATAGGCGTTGAGAAACTATAATTAGTGTCATAAAAATATGTACGATAATGGGTGTTTTATAGTGTTTTATAAGTAGAAAAAATATTTTTATATTGTTTTTATGCATTTTTTTTTATTAATTTTTCATCAAGTTTTGATTAAAGAAGAATTTTCTTGGGACCTTTAAAAAATATACAGTAAAATTGTTAATAAAACCGTTAATGAAAAGTTATAATTTTTATACTAAAATGTGTAAATTATATATTTTTTAAATATCCCATTTTTTCAAATATCTTACAAAAAAAGTTTCATTTTGTTTTTTTAATAATACTTCAACCATTAATTATTGCTTAAAGTTTTTATAATTATTTTATTATTTATTAATGAGCAATTAATAATTACACATTGAAATCTGTTTACCTACTACCTATTATATTATTATATGATTTAAAAATTAAATGGATACAAAAGCCGGTTCTGTATTTTATACTACATCGAACTTAACGTATGCAACCCAGTTAACACATCCATTTGTTGATGTTATTTGACAGATAGACAGTAGTTAAAACTTCTGTTCCAATTTGTACACAACTCCTCCACCATGGCCGGTGTAGTACCAAAAAAGAATGCATCTGGAAGAAAACAATGGACAGTCCATGGTAAATATACGTAATAATAAGGTTATAGCCTGAACATTGTTTTATTTTTAGAAAAAAACATTTGTTTGTACAATTTTGTTTTCGAAGTGATTAAATTTGAATATTGTTGTGTTATTGTGCAATTCACTTGTAGGTGGACCTCGTAGCTCTTTGAAAAGGTTAAGAAATCAATTGGCATCCGATGGGTGCCCTGAATCACAAGTAGTGTTAGCTAAACAACTGTTAGATGAAGATTGTGGTAAGAAATCAACAAATTAATTAATATATTATACATAGATATAATAATCTCTAGGTAGTGAATTAAAAAACATCTTTTTAGAGTTTGAATCGGAGAAAAAAGAGAATGCAAGATTAGGAGTGTTTTGGTTAATCAAAGCATCCGAACAAGGTAACATTGAGGCGACAAAATTATTACAAACATGTCTGCAAACTGGAAAAGGTATAACAGAACACAATTATATGGATGTAAAGTCCTGTATAACTATGACACAGGATGAAAAATTAGCTAGAAAAGCAGCTAGAGAAATGTTTGTCAGGTAAGCATGAAATTTATCAGTAAAAAATTTGCATTATTTTTCACTTAAGTTGCTTTTAATACAACATTAAAACTACAGTATTTAAGTAAGAAAACAAAAAATAAATGAATTTAAATATAAGTATTAACTTAAATTGCTTAGTTATATATTCTGTTAAACATAAAAATATTCTAAATTCAAATAACACTGTATATCAGACTTTTGAATGTCTTGTAAAAAGATTATTTTTATATTATTTACACGGGGTGGAACCGGAAGCTCCCCCCTTTCAAGATAAATTTAAAAAAAAAGAAAAAACTTCAAGTAATCATATTACCATGATTTTAACCATGGCACCCCCTGCTTAAATATAAATAAATATACAAAACATCGGTGAGATTAAACGTGGCGTCATCTTTTAGATCTTGTTTTAACGAAATATATAGATTTAGTGGCGCCATCTAGATGTTGCATCATATAATAACAAAATTAAAAGATTTCTGTAACGGCAAACTTACCAAACAACAAAATTTTTCTATTTTAATTTCAAATATTTTCTATTTAGTTTAAGGATTTTTTATTTATTTAAATATTATGTTTTGTTACAACATATTGCTTTGTATTTTTTCTAGTAAATTTATGAATGTTTTAGAATTACATTTCACGATAATATATTAATTAATGTAATAGATAAGTAAAGTATTTATTATGCTGGATTAAATGTGGTTTGTTTATTATATTTATTGGGTCGAATATTTTACGAAAATCGGAAATTTTTATCCCCTGTCAAAAATTATTTTGATTATACGCTAAAAAAGTATAGATTTCGCAACGCGCGCGAAAGAATTGTCAACAATACATTTAAAGCGCAGATTATACATCATTTTTAAATAAATAGGTAGTTTTTTTTACAAAAGAGAGGAAGGACAAATTTTGTTCAATTGCACAGCTAAATCGCGCACGTTATTTGTGTTTTACGTTGCAAGGAAAAAATTAAAAAACTTTTTTAGTACTAGATTTCGATTGATTATTCCTTACTTATATCATTGATTAAGAAACTCAACGCTTAAATGCTTATATAGTTACGTTAGTGTGTGTATTTTATCAAAGGGATCATAGTGAATTATTGTGTTTTTAATTGTAAATAAAATTCAAGAACTAAATCGTTGCATTTTCATGTTTTGACAAAGGACTCAATTCAATAAGTACATTTGTTGGTGCAGAATTAACTAAAGATAACTTTACCTAATATAACTTATATTTAAGTTTGGACATTTTAAAGAAATTAGTAAAAAATAATTTTTGCACAAACATAACCTTAAAATCAACCATTTTTAGGTTTAAGTTTTCTAAAAAACGCTGACAACTGCATTTTAAACAACAAAATTTTGTTGTATTAATATACCTACGAATTCATGGCAACATAATAGGTACAATTTATATTTATTTATAGAGACTGTATGCAATTAATTTCTTCATTTAGATTAACACTGTTTATTGGAAAACGATATTTTTAACATTTTCCGGCTTTATTCTCAAAAACACTCGTTTGTAACATAAGCGTTTGACAGCTGATTATTAAAAGTTATACTTCTTTAGGGTATCCTTATCTAATAAATATATAGCTCCCACATTTAATCCACCATAATAGACACTTCACTTATCCATTAAAAATTATTTAGTTAGCCTTTATAGGGCCTTCAGTTCATTGATTATAAAGAACCTTTACGGTTGTGTTTGCTGGGTTGTTATAATATCTTTTTTCTAGAACAAAGTTTTACTTTGTTCTAGTTTATCAAATGGCGGAGATTACATAACATCGGAGCAGCTACAAAAGAAGATGTTAGCCATTGATAGAGGAGAAGTATTTCCGAAGAACCTCGAAGCCAGCAAGGAGAATTACGAATGCGATGACGTAAACGGCGAACTGATGAACCACTACGATGAAAGCGATTCGGACGAAGAAGATTGGTCGCAGAGGTCCGACGTTAGCAACGAAAAGTTGACCGAGGACTGCATAGTCTCAGCGGCTGTGCACTATTCGCACGGCCATCTCCCATTGGTCAACAGGATTTTATCTTTGACGCACCCCAACCTGAACAGTTTGGATCACGTACCGTTCATACACTGGTCCGTTCTGCATCCTTGGTTGGCCCTGAAAATACTATACTTTAAGTTGATTCGGTTTCTGGGCCAAAAGACGCTTCCATTTTTGTTCCCACTGGCCAAAAACGAAGTACAGTTGGTGATACTAATGGTTGCGTACTGTATGCTGAGTTCGGAGAACGTTATTTATTTCTTCCCTTTGCTGATTTACTACGGTTCTTTGATGGTGATGTTCTTTAGCACGTTTCAAATGCTGCAGAACAAACGGGAGTTCGGGGAGTTCCGATTGTGGTCGGGTTTGTTTATTTGCTATTCCGGGGGTTCCCTGAACGCCGATCAGGCTGAATACCAATACATACGCAACAATTTGAAGCCCTACGGGAATTTTTTTTTGAGTTTGCTGTTTAATTTGTCGGTTTACCCTCTGATTGTGGAACAGTGGATACCGCAGTCGGAATTAAGCGTAATGGCGTTCTGTCTGACTTTTATCACCCTGTTCGGTTTTATGCCGCATAAAAGATCCAAAACTCTCTTTGACGGTTTGGTTTTGCTCAGTTTTGCCGTCTCGGTTTTGGCCAAATATCCCTACGACACTGATCCTGTCGTAGCGCAGGGTTGGAGATTTTTGGAGTTGGAGGTGCCGAATTTCCCATCGTACGTAATCGGCAACGGCATAGAATTCTGCATAAACTTCAAGCTAGTCTTATACCTATTCATAGTGCTTTTGTTCGTTAAAATAGCCTCGAGGCAGGACTGGAGGGGTACCTACAAATCCCTCATACCTCATTGCGTGACCCTATCGTGGCTGCAAATATTCATAATCTCATCCCAAGGCGCCACAATGTTCGGCATATTGCGGGGCACCCTGGCACTATCAGGCGTCGTGTTATTTTTACCTTTAGTCGGCCTAACCAGCATTATTCTACCTGTGATCGCGGTTACCAAGTGCATTTTCACCACTAATTTTATTTACAGTATGTGTTTGTTCGTTATTCTAAGCGTTGTCAGTTTTTCCGTGTGCTATGTTTTGGCTAAAACCCAGTATAAACAGTATACAGCCATCATACAAGTTGTTATGATGATTGTGGCGTTTTTCGCCCTATTCAATGTGTATTTCCACGATAGACCCGATGAGTATTATTCGGAGAAAAAGGAAGTGCGGTACCTCCCCTGGGAAGTCTACCAAAGATTTTGCTATCAGCCTGTATGGCGCGAAGAAAACGTCGCCATACAACAGCTAAATTGCGCCCAATTAGAAAACTCGCAAGTCCACTGGAACGGTTTCATAAACGAAATAAAAATAAAAACCATCCAGAATCCGTACAAAAAAATCATCGATAAATTCCCCAAATCATTCTCCGATTATTTGTATTGCTTATACGGCGAGGAAGTCACCGACGATTGCCAAATAGACTCCATAAAAGACGAGTGCAATATATTTTTCGACACAATAAAGTCAGAAAATAAATGCACCCTCAAAAAATTCAATAAATATTCGTTCGAGTTGAACATCCGCATGCAAGCCGGTATATGGGCTAAAAACACCCAAGTGAAAGTCATAGTCGAGGACTACTTCAAAAATTTCACCCTCAAACTCAAACCAAACGACCACATTTGGTTTAAAGGCAAATTATTCAATAACGAAGTATTAGGCGCCGATGGCATTTTAGGCGGAAATCTACCATTTATTGACACACACGAAATCGGTTGCTTGGATTGCCAAAACAAAGACTTGTCCGAATATAAAATAAACGATGAAAGCAGCTTTAAAATCAACATTTTGTATATGAGTGTTAAGTTTTTGTTAAATGTTTTACTGAATCCAATAATCGTACTAAAATAGATTATTTTGTACTGTTATAAAAAATAAATGTATTCTAATAAGCTTTCTTAAGAAATTTTATTACACCCTCAAAATAGTTATTTGTTTTACAAGTGTTGAAAAGCGACTTCTAGAATTGCCAGATTCTGTCAAAAAAATGAAGTACTTACATTTTGGGAGAATTTACAAAAATAATACAGTAAAACAATTCAAATTTTGAATTTGACGTTACCTAAGTATTGTTGAATGTGTCATTTTTGTAATTAAGGTAAATTGTCACAAAATTTCCTTTATTTTTTTACAGAATCTGGCAACCCTAGCGACTTATTCAAATACAAAAGAAAATAACCTAAAAACGTGTTTGACAGCTGTTAAAATTACTTTTATCTCATTCTTTTAATTTTTAAGCTTAACTAGTTACTTAAAATCAATAAACTTACCTTCTCAATTTAAATAAAGGCACTAAAAATTGTAATTTAGTATGCAAACACAATTAATTTTCTTCTAAATGATATTTAGAAATACATAACAAATACAATACAAATTTTGAAACGAATGTCAAACGATGCTGTCAATTTATTTCACACAGACCTGTCACTTTTCGCACATAAATGTCACTTTACATTCGGGTTTTGCCTTGCCAATGAAAAGATTCATTTTCTAAGCAACGATGCCATTACATTATAGTGGTCGTAGAAAAAATGAATTAATCTTACTTAAAACAATAAAATAAAATTTAAAATGTCATATTTTCGCGCCATTAGTTGGCTGTGATTGATGTTGCCAAATGTACGTTGACACGTATGCGTACGCAGAATAAAGAAACCGTATTTCACCCGCTGATTAAATAAATTCATTCGTGCAGTATTTTAATTTATATACAAAGGTTTTTTGTTGATTTTGTTTTAAAAATAATGATTTAATAAAATATATTCATTGGGAACGAGGTCATCGTAAATCTGTCAACGTGGCTCTTCAGCGCCACCGCACGTGGATCGCAACGCTAGTGTTATATTTTGTGTTTTATGTAAAAAATAGTAAAAATGGTGAGTAATAAACCCCTATTTTACGTAATAAAAACCTCTTAATCAACGACAAAAAAGTAACCCCGATTTTCGTGATTGTTTGTAAACATAACCCAACTTTTGCAGCATGTCCACATGCTTCATGCAGCTTTTCTTTGCATTTTCAGACGAAGTTGTACATTTTGTACGAACACGCCGCGGGCTATGGCATCTTCAAAGTCGAGGAGTTCGAGGAAATCGCCATGTTGCTGCCCCAACTCGAATCCGCCGTGCATGATTTGGCTCGTTTCAACAGCATTGTGAAACTGGTCGGTTTTTCGCCCTTCAAAAATGCCATCACGGCTTTGGAGAACATAAACGCCATTTCAGAGGGCATCGTTACCGAAGTTTTGCAAAACTTCGTCGATATTTCCATTCCCAAGGGCAGCAAACGGGACAAAATTACCCTTGGTGTGAGCGATGCCAAGCTCTCGGCTGCCATCACTGAAGCTCTGGGAATCACCTGCAGCCATATTGGGGCTGTTCCTGAAGTTATCAGAGGTTAGTTTTATTGATTTTATGTTTATTTGCAAAAACACCTACCTTTTGGTATTCAGGAACAAAAAAGCATTATACAGATTCAACCATATTAAAATAAACTTAAAATACGCTTTTAAGATTAAAAACAAAAAATTGACAATATTTGTATTCTTTTTTTAACGACTTTTGCGGCAATTTTGTTACAAAATTGTATGCTGAGGAAAAAACTTTGTTTTAAATATTTTCTTTTATTTTGGTGATACTTTTGAAAACAGGTTGCTTTTTCTACCTAAATCTTTTTCTTATAAACCATAGACATATTAGAATGGACGCGTTGAAAAGCTAAAAAAAACAAACAAAACAAAGTTGTTTTTAGGTTTTAAAAATGACATTTTTTGAAGGGAATTAAATTTGTTTTTTAATGCATAATTATGGCACGCCGTTTTAACATTTATTAAATAATTTTTTAATTTAAAATTTTGTTGGTTTAAATTTTCCCAACTAAAAAATTTAGGTTTACATTTATAAATTTAAAATATTTTTAATTATCATTTCTAACCATAATTTTTTAATAAAAATAATTTATTTGTGCAGAATTTTGTAAATTTTTTATAAAATTATTTAGATTGGTTAAATTAAATTTTTTAGTATTTATAAATAGTGTTCAGACATTTAAAATTAAAACACATAAAACATTTTCTACCAAACCTAATTTTTTTAAATCTCAAAGTAATAGATAATCAAAAAATATTTTAAATATAAAAGGCAAATGTAAAAGTTTAAGTTTAAAATTCTACCAAATTTTTGGGTTAAATTTGTAAAGTCATTTAAATGATGGTCAATACATTTTTATACAAAAATTCTCACATTACATTTAAATGTTGTTTTTAAATTTTAATGTAGTAATTTTTGAATTCAAAATTTATCAACTAAGTATCATTTAAATGACTTTAAAAATTTGAACCAAAAACTTTTATTTTTAACAAATTTAAATTGATAGGTACATTTTTAACACAAACATTTCACATTACATTTAAATGTAAGTAGATAATTTTTAATTCACAAAGTGTAAACGCTGCTTTAGCTTCAGACTTCGCGCTTTGTACGTCTGCTAAAGCTACGTTTACATTTTGTAAATTAAAAATTATCAACATATAAATGCCAATTTAAAATTGTTAAAAATAAAAAGTTTTGGTTTGAACTTTTTAAGAGTCATTTAAATGATAGTTGATAAATTTTTAATCCAAAAATTAGATAATTTATCGATTACCGACTATATTTTAAATATAAAATGAAAAAGTTTAAAATATTGGTTTTTAAAAATTGTAGTTTTATTATTTTATTATTTCTACAAAAAAAGTCATTTAAATGATAGTGGATAAATTTTTAATACAAAAATTCTCACATTACATTTAAATGTTAGTTTTAAATTTTAATGTGGTAATTTTTGAATTCAAAATTTATCGACTATCATTTAAATCACTCTTGAGAAATTTAAACCAGAACTTTTATTTTTAAAAAATTTAAACTAATACATTTTTAATTCACAAAGTGTAAACGCTGCTTTAGCTTCAGACTTCGCGCTTTGTACGTCTGTAAAAGCTACGTTTACACTTTGTAAATTAAAAATTATCGACATTATAGTTATAAATTTTGTTTTAAAAACGGATCAATTTAAAATTTTTAAAAATAAAGTTTTGGTTTGAATTTGTAAATTTTGAATCCAAAGTTTAGACAATTTTTGTAATAAAAATTTATCGACTATCATCTAAATGACAATTTTGTAGAATAAAATATTTGAACTAAAATTTTTAAAAATCTATTTTTCTGTTAAAACATCATTTAAGTACTAAACTATTACCTAATGCAAAATAGTATATTGTTTATTGTTTTATAAACGCCATTTTAGTTTTTTAGGCACGAGCGAGTGTTTAATAAAAACAAGTTTATAAATAAGAATATGAATTCAAATGCAATTATTTTTTGATTAGGTATTAGGCATCACCACCACAACCTTATCAAAGGTTTCACCGACAAATCTTCGGGAGTAGCTCAACTAGGTCTCGGTCACTCTTACTCCAGAGCTAAGATAAAGTTCAATGTACACAGAGTGGATAACATGATTATCCAGTCGATAGCGTTGCTAGATCAATTAGACAAAGATGTTAACACGTTTTCTATGCGGATAAGAGAGTGGTACTCGTACCACTTCCCAGAGTTGGTCAAAATCGTGCCTGAAAATTATACTTTCGCGAGATTGGCCAAGTTTATTAAAAACCGTAAGGATTTAAGCGATGATTCGCTTGAGGGTTTGGAGGAGATTACCATGGATTCTGGTAAGGCGCAGGCCATTTTGGATGCTTCTAGATCCAGTATGGGGATGGATATTAGTATTGTGGACCTTTTGAATATAGAGATGTTCGCTACGCGCGTTATTTCGTTGGCGGACTACCGCAAACAGCTAGCGGAGTACTTGAAGAGCAAAATGACTGACGTGGCGCCCAATTTGCAAACCTTGATAGGAGATCAAGTGGGCGCCCGTCTCATTGCCCACGCTGGTTCGCTGACGAATTTGGCGAAATACCCTGCCTCGACCATACAGATTTTGGGTGCCGAAAAGGCTTTGTTCAGAGCGTTGAAGACCAAAGGCAACACGCCGAAGTACGGTCTTCTTTTTCACTCCACCTTCATCGGGCGAGCAGGTACAAAAAACAAGGGGCGCATATCTAGATACCTGGCTAATAAGTGCTCCATAGCGTCGAGAATCGACTGCTTCTCCGAAACCCCTTCACAAGTCTTCGGGGAAAAACTCCGTCAACAGGTGGAAGACAGATTAAAGTTCTACGAAACCGGCGACATTCCCAAAAAGAACATAGAGGTGATGAAGGAGGCCATGGAAGAGCTCGAGCAGCAGGTTAAATCCGAGAAGAAGAAGAAAAAGAAGAGGAAAGCTGAAGATCTGGACGAAACTAGCGAGCTAAACGCCACCAACGGCGAAGCGAATGGCGAGCCGCCGAAAAAGAAGAAGAAGAAGAAGTCGATATCGCTAAATGAAACTATCGAAGCTGAAGTTTCCATGGACACTACCGAAAATGGCGACGGCTCTGCGAAGAAGAAGAAAAAAAAGAAGAAAAACAAGGAACAAGCTGAGTAATTTGGTATAAATTTTATTTTACCAAGATGTTTTCAAAAATATATAAGTTTAGATTAATATAATATAGTAATAAATTTGTTTATTGTTTAACTTTTATTAGAAATTTGTATTTGTCTCAAAACTATGACTTGGTGAATTTTATTTTTTTTAATGTTAGATACTTTATATAAGACGCTACTTTCTATGTTTTTGAATATATATTTTATTCAATATAGGTTTAAAGACAATTTAGTTTTTTATTTTAGTTATACAAGGCTAATCTAAAGCTAAATTACAAAAATGACAAAATCAACAATGCAAATTGTCAATTTGGCGTTTTTATTAATTGTTGATTATATCATTTTTGTAATGAAGGTAAATTCAAACAAAATCTGGCAACTTTTATGACAGAATCTAGTGCATTTGCAATTTTAGGTTATGGGCCCAAATTGTAAATATCTTAACTAAGGGATTTATTTACACAAATTGAATGTTTAAAGTTTAACCTGTAAACTTGTCCTAATTTCATCTGAGTAAACAAAGAAAAAAACGATGAAAAAATTAATTTTGTGGTTATGGAGTTTTTAAAATGGGTACTAAATTTTCTAATCATTGCTTAAGCTAATAGCTGGATGATTAAATAAATACAGAAGGGTAGTAGAGCTTTAAGGGCATAAAACTTTTGTATTTATTGAGTTTTTATTTATTTTTTGTAACAAGAAAATATTTAAATTTTATATGTTAATGTTTATTTGAACATTTAATTGCAAAATAACAAGAAGTCTATAATGTTATACCAACATACATATAATATTAAAATATTACAAAAACAATGTTTCTTTAATTTTACATAGTTGTTTTTGCATTAATTAAACAAGAAAATACCAAAGCAAAAATTAAATTTTCACGATGTAAACATGAATTACACTTTCTAATGATAAAACATATATTTTTTCAAAACGAGCCCAACGTTTTAAATCAACTTAAAATACAATTGTTATTATAATTTTCCTGACATCCTGTACAAAAATATTACCTAACGATTCGTCAAATTGTGAAAGCCGCATAATGGCATCAGAAGTCACAGGGTGTTGTAAAAATATTACTCCTCTTGGATTTTCCTTGAACAATCTAAACAAATGAAGATGTAGCCATCTTCTGTTTGCACTGTGTAATTTTCGTACTTTCCCTTGCCTAAACGTCCATCAATTATATCATGCTTAAATAATTTATAAGATGAAGCAAATTGATAAAATTATATAATAATTTTTTTTACGATATTTGAAAATAAATCAGTAGTAATAATTTGATGATAGGGATAGTAAATTGTAGCCTTGCTATGTTTTGAAGACGTTGTTCCATTTTCCTTCTACTTTTGCCAATTGTAATAAAAAAAATGTCAAAAAACTTCACCAGCGAACATATTTCATATTTTTTTATCTGGACTGCGGCAACATTGTAATTAATTTTTGTGCAACGTTGCCAAATTTTCAAAGAAATTCCCAGAATCTGCGATTTTTAATTTTAGTTTTTTGTGGCATTTTGTTAAATCTTCAACGTTGCCAAATTTTCAAAAATTCCCAGAATCCGGGATTTTTTAAATCCTCAGGATACCTTTAGTGATTCATCTTGCACTATTTAATGGTGTTGCCAAATTTACAAAAATTCCCAGGATCTGAGAATTTTATTTTTTTTACAAAATTTATAGAACCCGGAAATTTTTGTGCAACGTTGACAAATTTTCAAAGAAATTCCCAGAACCTGCGATTTTTAATTTTAGTTTTTTGTGCCATTTTTTTAAATCTTCAACGTTGCCAAATTTTCAAAAATTCCCAGAATCCGGGATTTTTTTAAATCCTCAGGATACCTTTAGTGATTTATCTTGCACTATTTAATGGTGTTGCCAAATTTACAAAAAATCCCAGGATATGAGAATTTTATTTTTTTTTACAAAATTTATAGAACCCAGAAATTTTTGTGCAACGTTGCCAAATTTTCAAAGAAATTCCCAGAATCTGCGATTTGTAATTTTAGTTTTTGTGGCATTTTTTTAAATCTTCAACGTTGCAAAATTTTCAAATATTCCCAGAATCCGGGATTTTTTAAAATCCTCAGGAAACCTTTAGTGATTCATCTTGCACTATTTAATGGTGTTGCCAAATTTACAAAAAATCCCAGGATCTGAGAATTTTATTTTTTCTCCAAAATTTATAGAATTTTTGTGCGACGTTTCCAAATTTTCAAAAAAATTCCCAGAACCAGTGATTTTTAATTTTTAGTATTTTTTATCCTGACATACATATTTTGCAAAGTGTTCTTTTTCTTAAAACCATGCGAGCTTAGCTGCGAATTTCCGGCAAGTTTTTATATAAATACACCACAATTTCACATTGTTTATTAATCTTTGTTCATTGTAAAATAGTTTTTTTGTTTTTGTATGTTTTTACTATTATTCCACCCACTGATTTAAGTAATTTTTTATAATAACATCAATTATATTACAAAATTGTCTTTATTAAGTTTATAATATACTTATATGCTAATTTATATCTATCTTTTCCAAAATAATAGTCGATATGGCTTAAACCAGTCAATTGGTGACGACCATATATTTTGGTGGCATTTGGCAGTCTTTTGTACAGTATATCTCCATCCTAAAAATGACAATATTTAAAAAAAAAATTAATTAAATTCAAGCTAAGAAAAATAAATCTTATCAAACAATTTTTTTTTTAATTAACTTACTTTTGCAGTGGCCAAGGAATCTGAAGTACTAGTGATTAAATACGTGGGAATGTCTACATTTTCCAAAGGGTAATCTGGCGGCACTTTGGAATTATAACGTTTAAAATTTTCAAATTTCCCGTAATCAAACAACCTAAATTCTCCGCCGTTATTGAATATTTGCGAGTAATGATAGACGACCTTTAAAGGGGTGCCTCTTGGAATTTCCGAAAACCCTAGATTATAAAGTTTCTAAAAAATATAAAAAATGTTATTTTTAATGTTATGTAATATGGTAAATACCTATTACCGGGTCAAATTGCTTGGGGGTCCACCCGGCTATAATATTCATTCCAATTACAAAAAACAGTTTGTATGGGAAATAAACGGTTTTTCTGACCAGAGACCATGATAAGGAGTTTGTGGTAAATAATGATCCAATTCCAAAAAAATTTGTGAAATGCTAAAATGTTAATAAACAAATAAAATATCCCAAATATGTTAAATTGTCTGTAATTTTGTTTTTTTCGAAGAATGTTTAGTATATAATATTATACATATATACATATATATTCTATGTACAATGTTAAAATTCAAAATTCCTGCGAAATATTAAAGTTTAAACGTCAAGTCCTTGTCTAACTCAAGTGTTGGTGAAAAATTACCTACAGAGCCCGCCCTTTGCACGACATTCATCTTGAAAACAATGCAAGCGGCGAAGTTGTGGTGAATGCACGTATAGTTCCAGTCAAAATTTCAGTACTGTGGTGTGTAGTTATTTTCTTACGTATATATATTTCATTGTAATTTATATAAGGCTATATGTGATTTGTAAATAAGTAGCATCCACTAATAAAAAATGTCAGTAAAATACTTAATTCCGAATTATAATCTCAAATTTGTATCCCATTCATCAGTACCGTGTCGTCAGTTCCATGTTCGATGTTTCGGTTATCTTTTTTTCGCAAACTTCAATTTAAATTCTGCTTGCGCAGAATTTGTTTATTGAATGTCATTATAAACTCATATAAATTTGGTGTGCGTCCCATATCTAATAATTGAGATATCGGTATACCCAAAATCCACCAGCCGCCACTGATGTGTGGTATTATTTGATTTTAAGATATTTAATGTATAATACGCCCAAAGTTGCAATAAATTTTATATTTTCCAATAAATTATGTATTTAATTAGTACCCTGGTATACTCGTCACTTCCCTTGCATTCAAATTTAGAAAACACAGATATTTCAGAAACTGTTTGAAAAGTGACTGGCCCGGTCTGGAACAGTATATTTATTATATTATCTTTATATATATGTTCTCATAACAACATACTGTTTAATTTTCTCCGAAAACTATATAAACAAAATGAGGTGAAAAGTTGCCCAACTTTTGTAGAATCATATATAACATGATTATTGTTTAGTTGATTAAACAAAATTTGAAAAAAAATTTAAAAATATTTTAAAAGTTGCTTAATTATTTTTCGATTTTTTACAGTTTTTGTTTATAAACATTATCAACTAAACATTAATCATATGTTATATTAACTTTTTCAAATTGTTTCCTGAACCAAAAAAATAATTGTCTTCTCACGTTTAGCGTTATGTGCCCAATTAAATGCTGGGCACGAAATAACAGTTTCCATAATCTTACTTATGTTACGAAAAATTGAAACTCAATAGTGAAACAAGTGTTTTCAATATTCAGTTTAGTTCAGGTAACAAAATTATTCAAATATAAAATGGATTTTGAGTTTTAGATGGCGCAAGCAATAAACAATTATTTTTACGTCAGTTAAATTCAAAAATTTCAACACATTGACAAATTTTAAAAACAATAAAAAATTTCACTTCGAGTATGTATTTAAGCACAATAAATAAAAATTTCACTTTAGTGTTTAATTCTACCCAATCAATAAACATTTGTTTAAAAAATGACAATATTTCATCAATTTTACTTAATCAAATATTACCAATATTGTTAACATTTCAATAAAGGCGACAAACCTCATAACATAACATTACGAATTTATTTTAATAAAACAAATATTACCAATTTTAGTTTTTCAGTAAAATTGATACTAGGGCTTAGTAATATTACTAATACATACTAATTTTATTTTATATCGATAATTTTAATAGTACAACTGTCTTACCCTGAGGTATGGTTCGATGGGACACAGGTATTTCAGCGGACTCCTGACGTTTTTCAGGAACACTGCTGGACTCATTAATATCAAAACTTTAATGTACTTTTTAATGTGTTCCGGTAACAAGGAAGCGTACACCAAAGCGGAAGTAGACGACATAGAGTTGCCGACGAAAATTATTTCCGTGCTTTTCGAAATTTCAGAAACCTTTTCCACGAACAAGGGGTAGTCGTAGATGCCAATTTCATGAAAACTAAAAAAGTTATTTTAAGATTTTTACATGTTTTTGAAACTTTGAAATATCTCAATTAATATGCATTTTACGAAAAAATTTTTAAAATAAAAATTAAATGATTCGAGGGGGGAAATCAATCAGTACTAAAATTGGTCCTCATACTCTCCTCCTTATAGGGGGAACAGGGGGTAACTTTAAAATTTGCAACGGAACACCCTATTTTTTATTGCAGATTCGGATCATTCGACTAAAAATAGGTAGATTTTGTCTAAAACATTTTTTCATATTTGTAATAGATGGCGCTGTAATAAAAAAATCAATTTTGTTCGATTTTTCTTCTGTATACGATTCTCCAATAATTTTTGAATACAATACTTGGTTTTATTTTTTAAATTTTAATTAAAGTAGGTGCTCAAAATAACAATATTAAATATTTGCTCGACGAACTCTTTTTTTCGGTTGAACACTCCCGTTCGTAGTAAACTGCTTGACTGTGCGGTGAAATGAAGTACGTGATCGAATTTTATCCGGAAAACGCTGAGCGTAGATATTAACAGCATCATCAAGATTCCTGCCTGCTTCTCCATCAATCAAAATCTTTTCTATTTTTTCTTCCACTGTTAAAAAATCCTTAACGAAAGGAGGTATTTTTGTTTGCAAATTAATCTTCGAACTAAATTGATTAAATAATGCTAAACTATGTGTAAATAGTTTCTTTATACCGCAATAATAATTGTTATTTATAACTAAATACCATTTTTATACCTCAATTACGATTAAATTAATTAATTGACAAAATAATGTTTTTTTACATTAAATGAGGTATTTTTATTAAAAATAGTACAATATTCCTTTAAATTAAAGGATTTAATGCTGGCAGGTAAAAAGTGACCATGGTGCGCAATTGATAATTATCACCGTATAAAACTTAAACCAAAGTAAATTTAAATATTAGTTAAAAAATCGTGGGTACTTAAAAAAATCAGATTAAATTTAATAATATAATTATTACCAAAAAAGTGATATTTTTATGGAAAAATTATTGCAGAATCGTATACAGAAGAAAAATCGAACAAAATTGATTTATTTTTCATTACAAATATGAAAAACTGTTTTGTATATGAGTATATGAGTATAAGAGACGTATAACCAGCCCCATTTCCTCTTGACTCTCGAACCCCGCACAGGCCTATGTTTACTTACGCCGATTTTTGTTCTTCCCCAGCAACTTCACGGCTTCACCCGTGTTTGCTGGGTGCGAATGTCCATTGCGTTCCGTAATGTCCCCTATTTGGGGCTCGAGAGCAAGAGGCGAATAGTTATAATAGCCGTTCCCGGGTTCGCCGGGCCTATGCTATACGCTCAGTGGGGTATGGAGAAGGGACGGGAGGGTGTTGGTTTTTGGGGGACAATTACGCCGACTTAAAACTAAGTACGACGCGGAATCCCCCTAGACCAGTCGATTAATATTACTCCAAACATTTGGGATTACTATTTGGAGTTGGGGGGTTGTTATTACGCTGCAGGGTGTAGTCTCCTAGTCGAGGTCTTCGTCTTGTTCATTATTGTCATAATCCGTGTCGGATAGTTCCTGAACTTGGTAAAGTGTGTCGTTTGTTTTTTTTATTTTGTTTTTATTGTTGCTTAGTTGCTCCCAACTGTTCTTGTTGATTTGTGAGAAGTGTATGTTTTGTGCTAACGTGTCATGAAATGTGAAGCATGGTCTCCCGACTTTTTTGTCTTTTAGATCTAGTTTAAGGGTGGCTTGTAGTATGTTATTGCGTTGTCTACGTCTGAGGCGGCTAGAATTGTTTCCAGTCCGGCCCAGAAGCCGTAATTACCGTGGTAGTTTAGGTACGCATTAATTTGTCCTGTTTTGTCACTTATGTGTTCATAACGACTGCTTAGTTCATTTATTGCGTCCTCGATGTAGGGTATGTACGTTCCTAGGTTATTACGTAAGTGGTTGTTTAATATTTGTCTATTTGTCTACATTCAGAGAAATATCATGTCATGAAAAGCACATGAAACGATATTAGTTCAAATAATCGGGTAAATTTGATTCAAATAGAAAAATTGTAGTTTTATTCATTTACCAACAGTTTTACAATGTTTTTTAACACTTTTAAAGTGTACTCTCTTTAAAATATATACAAAAAGAAATCTATTTATTTCATTGCCTTTCTCAACGTTATTTTAAAAATATATTTATTATACAATTGTTATACACCTTTTAATTTAATGAGAAACACCAATGACGCCAAAACATATTTGAATCACTTGGAATTATTATCGTTTTGAATGATTCTACAACATTTTTTCTCTCAGTGTAGTGTCTGCTGTTGTTTCAGTTTCGCGTAGCGAACCTATCACCGTGTTGAACAGCTGATGTGCAATCGCTGCGATAAGGCCGTTCCCAGTGGGGGGTATTCTTTTTACTTTTACTATTAAGTCAAGTGTTTACAAATTCCTTGGAGTTTGATTAGTGTGCTTTTTTTTTACTTTGTTTATGTTTTCTTAGTTTATGTTGTTTATGACTTAATTGACAAATTTAATGGTCTCGGTTTTTTTTACTTGAATTGTTATGTTGACAGCTTTATTGCCCTGTTCAAATTTGGTGTGTGACCGCGATCGGCTGTTTGGTTTTTTCTTGGAAAATTGACTTTTTATTTTATTGTTGCCGATGATTATTGTTTTTTTTAGTAGGGATTAGGCAATGTGCCTTGTTTAGTTTAATTTGCAAATTATGTGTTAGGTCATGCATAGGATACTTAGCAAATATTTGCAGGTGGCCTGTTCCTCCCTTGTATGGCCTCTTTTGTTTGGCCAGTGGAAATCGTCCTGTTGACAGATGGTGCGACCGCTCAGGCACTGACACTTGTCATTTAACTCATTCTTGTCACTTAACACTCTTTTGACCGTTTCACTATGTTCGTTTGCACTTGTCACTTCTCTCTTCCTTTTTACTTGGCCCTTAACTAATTATTGACCGTAGATTAGTCTGTACTCACTGTATTTTTTTACGCTATAGTTGTTTGCACTATGAGGGTTTATTTGTTGGTTATGGTTTTATCGTTTTACGTTTACTCTCCGACTCTGCTACATCGACTTACTCACTCGACGGCTGGGCCGAGACTGTGAAAAACTGTTTTGTATATTAAGAATATATTGTTTTATTAATAACTTTTAAGTTATAGTAAATATGATTATTTGCTAAAGGGTGGCTAGTTTGAAATTGAAATTCCTGTATACTGTAACTTACCTAAATTGCCAATATTTAATATCGTTTGTAGTTAAATTTACGTGTTTACTAGAATAATGAGTTCCTCTGTGATTTGGTAACCATACTTCATAACCCATATTCCATAATGTAAAAGCTAAAATATCATCTCAAAATAATACCAAAATTATCATTTTTTAACTTGTTATACTTTTTAAAATTCAAATTGGATTATATAGGGTGTTTCAAAAATATAATTTACGTTACGTAGGATGCCATTTTATACGCACTCTGTATAAAAAATATATTTTTTTATTTACCTAAAGATTCATTACTTTGGGCTACCCACACCACACCATCACAGGTTACAGGGTGTTGAAGGATTACGACGCCTCTAGGATTTCTTCTAATAATTCTAAACAATGTCAAAATATACCCATCTTTGGTGGTGACTGTATGATTTTCGCTACTTCCTTTGCCTATATGCCTTTCTATAATTTCCTTCTAAAAATAAAATACAGGGTGTTTTACTTGAAAGTGCATTCTAGTATTACAATAGAAGAGCATTAAATGTATTTTTACCGTGGTAGAAAAAACATCAGGATCATGGTAGCAATTTCCCAACATGGACATGAAAGTATATCCTTTCCAGGTTGAGCAGACATTGTTCCAGACACTTTGAACTATAGGTAGGCAAAAAAGTAGGAAAATGGGAACAGTAGTCATGTTAACACTATTATAGTAATTTTATATTCTACATTTCGTACTATTTTCACATGAAGTTTAAATAATAGTTCAAGCAATAATAATGTACATTATACATTCTTTGTATTTATTTATTTATATTATGTATAAACTGTAATATGTAATGGTAAACATCATGGCGATTTCTTGACGAATGGAAACCTAGATGATTGTATTTAAACGAGTAATTTTTCCCATATTTTCTAGCTTTTTCCGATAATTTTCCATATAAAATATCACTATCCTGAAAGAAAGTAAAATTATTCGATGATATTTGCATTATACTTTAATTTATAAATGTCAAAATATACATTTCGTTTTCACAATAGAAATTGTATTTAATTGCATTTATACACTTACTTAATACTATTAAGTTAATCGTAGTGTTACGAAAATGCCTAAAAATGCTTTTAAAGTAATCACTTACTAAGGTGTGTTAAAAATTTATTATTTCCACAAAAAAGAACACAAAAGATACGACTTAATTATTCAGTAATAATATTCCCATTTTTTGTATTAAAAATGTTAACAAAAAAATAATGTTTTTAATACTTTTGAATTTTTGTATTGAGATAATAAAATAATTTTTACATTTAGTTTTATTTTACAAGAGAGGAACCTTATTTTAACGATTCTATGATTTTTTTTTCTATATTAATAAAACGCGTAAAAACAAATTTTAAATTAAAACTTTGAAATATCTCAGTTAAAATGCATTTTCTTCTGTATACGATTCTGCAATAATTTTTCTATAAAAATATCACTTTTTTTGGTAATAATTATCTTATTAAATTAAATCTGATTTTTTAAGTACCCACGATTTTTTAACTAATATTTATTATTATTATTTATCCTTTGGTTTAAGTTTTATACATTATTTCAGTCGGTGATAATTATCAATTGCGCACCATGGTCACTTTTTACCTGCCAGCATTAAATCCTTTAATTTAAAGGATTATTTTACTATTTTAAAAAAAATACCTCATTTAAGGTTAAAAAAACCATTATTTTGTCAATTAATTAATTTAATCCTAATTGAGTTATAAAAAAATGGTATTTAGTTATAAACAATAATTATTATTGAGGTATAAAAAAACTATTTATAGTTATTATTATTATAGCATTATTTAATTAATTTAGTTCGAAGATTAATTTGCAAACAGCAGCTATTCATAATGGATTTTTTAACAGTGGAAGAAAAAATAGAAATGATTTTGATTTATGGAGAAGCAGGCAGGAATCTTGATGATGCTGTTAATATCTACGCTCAGCGTTTTCCGGATAAAATTCGATCGCGTACTTCATTTCACCGTACATTCAAGCAGTTTACTACAAACGGGAGTGTTCAAGTTACCCCCTGTTTCCCCTATAAGAAGGAGAGTATGATGACCAATTTTTTTTCGTAAAATTTCGTAAACAGATATTTCAAAGTATAAAGTATATTATTATTATAGTAAAAGGGTCATTCCACGTTACTCGGTGATTTTTGTCCCGCCCGTCACAATTAAAAATTGTGAGTAAAAACTACACGTTATAAAATTTATTTAAAAATATTGTTTTATTATGCTTTTAATAAGTTATAAGCACAATAAAAATAATATTATAAAATATTAATTTTATAACTTGTGGTTTTTACTCACAATTTTTAATTGTGACGGGCGGGACAAAAATTACCGAGTAACGTGGAATGCCCCAAAAATACAATTTTGTATATTAAAAATTGGGCCTTTTATACAATTTTTTAAACAATAAAAAAAAACAATTTTAAAAACACCCTGTATATTAAAATTAATTTTGGTAAAAAAAGTATTATTTAGATTATTTCCCTCATTATAATATGAACCAATCAAAAGCCTTGAATTTTCGAATAAATTTCGTTTAAATAAGCGATTAAATCACTAGAACTATTTAACAGCGATTAAATTTTAGCCTCCATATTGGATTTTTGTTTACGATTTCTTGGTGTTATTTACAATTTTTAACAAACATTTTTTAAAAAACAATAAAAAATAAGTTATCTAGTTTACGAAATATCAATTATTACTTATTACATACCTTAAATTAATGGAATTTTCTTTAAAAAAATATTTATAAATTTTGACACATACGTCAGATTTTATGAATTGTCAAATAGTTTCCTTTAATTCAAGAAATAATCTAGACGTATATCACTCAACCTATAAATTTAATCTGTCAAACTATGCTCAGTAAGTTTTTTATTTGATTTTTCTTTTTGGAAAATAGTTTTTTAATTATTAATTAAGGTAAATATTGTTTTATTATAAAGAATAACAAGTTACTTAAAAAAATATTTTACTTAAAAAAATATACCGATAAAAAATATTTGTTATAATTTGTTTAAAACCCCAAATATTATGAACCACCCGATATATAAAAATATGTTTAATATTTACATGAAATAAAAATTTTCCGAAAACATTTTCACGAACACATTTTCTATTAAACACTTAGGTAGGTAACTAAAAACTAAACTCTGACTCACCTTAACAGTTGAACAAGTGTCAGCCTTACTAGCTATTAAATGTATTGGCACAGTGATATTCGAGACGGGATATTCCGGTGGCACGGACGAACCATAAAACTGCACGTTTTTCGTTCTTTTGTAATCGTACATTCTAAACAACCCATCCCCTTTGCAGATCTGCGCGTAATGATAGAAGGCTTTCATTGAAGAAGATTTGGGAAAGTTTGAAAGTAGGTTGTTAAAAATTGCCTAAAATTATCGATGTTAATTAGGATTTTTTAATTAAACTGCGAATGCTTACCGGTTCGTAATCCATGGTGAAGCCGAACAAAAAATCGGTAAAGTAGATGAAGAGGTGTTTCATTGGATGGGTGGCGAAAAATTTTATCAGGGAAGTTTCGTAACCTTCTTGGGTCAGCAGCGAATGGAATTGAAATTTATTCAAAAAGTTCTAAAAAAATGGTTTAAGCAATATAATTATGTTACAACATAAGTCATCAACATCAAAATTTTAAATGTGTGTAATGCGTGCCTTGTATTACTTTAAAATGGAGAAAATATTGTTGTGCAATGCGTTGTGTCTAGAATTTAATTTTTCTATTGTGCGTTTTGTCGGGAAATTGGCATCACAAACCAGAGTCGTATTAAAAAAAATTGCGAAAAATATGAAAATTGTACATCAATACCAAGATATTGTAGAGAGTACCGCTCTGAATCTCGGTGAGTCAGCGCAGCATGAAGCAATCAATCAAGCTTTGGTACTCGCGACGAAATAAAATAAATATACGTGCAAATAAATAGACTCTTGTACAGTAGTGATATATAAATAATTAGTAGTTAAGTCTTTAGTTACTTTTATAGTTTCTTAGTGTTTTAATTTACACTACGAACAATAAAAAACAATATGAAGCAAATCATAAAATATTTTTTTTACCTCTACAACGTCATTGAAAGGGCAGACCATCTGTACAGGCGTTTCCAAGTTTTGAAAATAGGCGGTCGGACTCATTAAAACAAACACTTTAACATATTTTTCTGCTTCTTTGGGTTTCAACGAAGCATATACCAAAGAAGACGTGCTGGACATGGAATGCCCGATTACGACTAAATCATTTCTTCCGGTTTTCTCACCGATAAATTGGATAATAGCTGAGTAATCATAAATACCAATCTCATGAAACCTATAAGATCATTTTTTTATACAAAAATGACTATCTATTTTATTGTAAACCTACCCAAAATTCCAATAATTTCTAATATCATCATTAATGTGTTTTTGTGAGTACGGGGTACCTCTATGGTTTGGAATCCAAACATCGTAACCTTCATTATGAAATCGAATTGCTAAAATTAATATATACAATTTTGTATAAATTAAAAAAAAATTATCTATTGTTAACCTGGTGAAGTGGGTCCTTCCAATAAAAATACAATACCATCCGTTGTAATAGGATGTAAAAGAACTATTACGCCTTTTGGTTTAACTTGTGGTAGTCTGTGTAAAGTTAAAATATATCCATCTTCTGTGGAAACTTCGTAAGTTTCAATACTATCGGAATTCCTCCGCATTATGTCTTTCTATAAAATTAATAATTTGTGAAATATCAAACTTTGTTGTTCACATTTTTATTTATTTTTTATTTTTAAGATAGAATGTTGAAGAAATTTTAGTAGTAGAATCTACTTGAAAGATATTAAGAAGTTTTATAAACATTGGTCGTCTGGTTTCAGAGTAAAAAATGTGAATGTTAACAAAAATTTATATGCCAAGTGCACATGAGAAAAAAAATCATTGATTTCTATTGTAGCTCATGTCTTTAATTAATGCATAACTTCTAACGTGACATTGTAAAATGAATAAACAGCATATAGAAATGTCACTGCCGCTGTCAAAAGCGAAAAGCTTTACCATAGAAACCAACTATCAAACGAGTGAATACTCCTTTGTTAAAGTGTCAAAAAAGTAATAGAATTCTATTACTCAATTACTTAATTCTATTATCAGGAGCCATTAATAGTATTCCAAAATGTTAGACAGGGTGTCTCTTTTAGTTTTATATAAACCTCTTATGGATCACTCTGTATTATTTCTTGATCTTAACTGTAACTGTTTTAACCCCAAACTATTTGCTAAGCCAATATGCTATTAATCCCGGCGCATTCGCCATTTTTGTAAAAAGTTATTTTTAATTTTTTAACAAAAAATATCAGTTGGAATTACTTTAATTTTAAAGGCTCGCAAAAGTATTTGTTTTAATTAAACTGGTAAACAGACTAAGACCTTGTTTTTATTACAAAAACTACTTATGATAAAATAAGGAAATGCACTTTACCTGATTAGAAAATATGTTGGGGTCATAAAAACAATTGGGACTATAATTTATGTAATAGTAGTCCAAATATGACTTGCAAGCATTATTTTCAAATCCATAACACAGATTTAATAAAACGCTAAAAAATGCTAACAAAATATTGCCACTCATTTTTTAAAACTACTAAACTACTTTCAGATATGTTTTTTCAATAGATAACAAATAATGGGTTACCAATTACATACTTGGTATAATTATGCCTGTTATACTTACCTTCATTTTTTTTTAGTTTAGATATAAATAAATTGGACTTTTTATTGCATTTTCTTTTATTCATACATATATTTTTAGAACATAAAATAACTACATTGGTAATAAAAAATCACTTTATTGAATTTAATAAAAAAGCAATTTATTTTTATCAGTGTACTATTGCGGCCAAAAAAAAATTGTAAATGTGGTCCTCGATCATCATAAAATCGTTAAAAAACAATTTATTGACCACCTTTAAGGGTCAATCCATATCAAATCAACCAATTTAATTTGAAAAGGTTGGTTTTGGATTTTCAGTTTTATTTTAACTCAAACCTGTAATATGGAAATAAGGCTAATGTTAAAAAATACCTCAACATTTTAAAAATTAAAAAAAATTGCCAGCAAAAATCATCAAGAAAATCAAGAAAACTAAATGAGTTTGACCTACACTTTTATAGTGTTTTGATCTTTTATAATTTAGTAGATGGCCCAGGTTCCAGATTTTTAACCGCAATTAATTATTTTTTACAATGTTTTAAAAGTCCTATCCTCCGTGACTGTTACTCTTTCTAGGTTAACCTATGTTTTCAAATATCTGAGGTAGTAAAAGCATACTAAAATATCAGTTCACTAAGTAAATTAAACACATCCAAAGCAATCGAATCAAATAAAAAATATTATTAAAAATTTAAAGAAATAATTTTTTTAACCATTACAAAAATTGATTCTATCCTCCGTGAATCTATTTTATGCAACGGATGGCGCTTTAATCATTTTAAATAATCAAAAACCTCTGTTTACGACATTATAGATTTATGTGATTCCTGAAGGTCAGTTAGAATTTATATGCAGATGAGAGTGTTGCTGTTCTATAATTCAAAAGTTTAAGTTTATTAATTTGCTATTTAAAAACCTATCCACCGTGAAGTGTTTTTATGTACAATTGTATTTTTAAAAAATATTAAGGTGTCAAAAGATACAATAACTTATTTCAAATATAGAAAGGGATTTTTTTATAAAGCATACGAAATCCTACCCTCCGTGAAGCTCTAATATTCAAAATGTACCTATGATTTCTTAAAATTCTTGAATTAGTTATGTTATGTTATAACTGTTATGTTATAACTAGACCTGGTGGCTTCCCAAAAACCTCATTCTAGACCGAGGGGTCACCCACACCTGGGAATCCCTGGACATTTTAGAGGGGGAATACCATAGGAATACAATAAAATATAATGGGAATACATGGGAATCCCTGGACGTTTTCCCTTTGGGTGGTTGACCCCTTGTTCTAAACTAACAACCAAAAATAAAAATTAATCATTTTTACTTGGGGGACATCTCCATATATTCACCCAAAAAGTATTAAAAATAAAAGACTAAGATAAATTATTTTTTTTATTTTTATCTATTATATTACATGTTTTTAAATAAAATGAGCAATGGAATGTACGTTAACAATAAAACAAAAATCACAACAATACACCTGATTTTAATTTCACACTTTATAATACTTAAGGCACAATGGTTCGAAATATACTTATTATTATATGTATGGCTAATTTATTGTAAACAAATTGAATAAATAAAAACAGTAATTTAAGGTTTTATTATTTTGTAAAAAACAACAATATTGCTTTATTATGTTATATAAGCAACAATTTACATAAATTTAGTATACATAACCAAAACCTTCCCCTGTACATACATAATAAACCTAAAATATAAATAATGTAAATAATAATTAATCTAGATAAACAATAATATAATTAATAACCCAGCACCCAAATCTATGAGCATTATTTCACGATTTTAACAATTATATGTGCAAAATTAATAACTTGTCAGGTTGGACCTACTATATTATACATCTTTGGATTTTCTGACTGAAAATTAAATCTCCAATTGAATTTAGGTATAAATTATTACGTTTTGTTTAGAATATTGCTTTACACATCTTGTCTGTTAGTAGTAAAAAGTACGGCAAAAGCAACTCCCGAATTAGATTCCCGTATTTTAGTATTTACACGGAGCTGCCTTTGTTTTGTACGATTAAAATCTCGTATCGCTAAACTAAAGGTATCATTTGAAATCGGCAAAGAAGTTTTGCTGCTGAGGGAAGGTTTGAGTCGCCATGGGTCTCGCCTGGTTCACAGGTGAGGTCGGGTTGCTGGCTAACTGGTTCATGCTGGGCGATGGGCCGGTTTTAGGCTTACTCACTAACAAATTGTCTAAGTCTATGTTCAAGTTGCCGGAGTTTGTCCACGTCGAACCCACCGGAACCGGTTTACTTACTGACGTCCTCTCTGTATTGTTATTTGGCGTGGAAGACATTGGTTGAAGCATGGACAAGGGCGATAATACTGAACCTTGGGTCAAAAAAGTTTTTATTTATCATTTTATTACATATTTGAGCCTGGCACATAATTATATTTCTAGTGAGTACTAGGTATTAAAACAAAACAAAAATTATAATTTTAATCTAAAAATATAATAAAAATGGATTTATTAAGTAAATTTTTCGAAAAAGTAAGAAAAAAATTAAAGATAGTTCTGAATATATATTTTATCTATGTAATTAGATACTTTATCCCACCCAAAATTTTGATTTTATAGGTTGGCTAATACTTTAAACAGCATAATATTTTGCACATTGGTTATAATATTTATATGATTTTTCTAGTACTTACAAAACTTTTCTGGCAATAAATTTTGTTTAACACCAAAGAAAATCCTTTTTTCCTTCTTTAACATTAACAGCCGCTTATTGTAAATAAGTAAATTAAGGACGGCATGGCGAATCGATTTTGACATTAACTGTCAAACCAATGACTGATACCAACTATCTAATCAAATTAAATTTAAGGTATAAAATTAATTTTTTTTACAGAACTCATGTCATAAGACCTTTTGTCAAAATGACTTATGACATTAGTTCTTTAATATACTATTTTTTAAACCTTGAATTTCTCTACATACTCAAAAATTCCCAAAGTGGTATTAAAAGAAATAAGCTTGGCTGAAAACGAAAAAAACGCCACCTTGAAAATATACGAAAATTTGAAGAAAATGTCAAAGTTTCAAATAAAAAAAAGTAAAAGGACAATCCTCGGGAAAATTTTCAATTTTTTTCTGTTTTTCTTATTTTTGAAATATAGTGCCAAAAAATAGAAAACCAAAAAACGCCACTGAAAATTACGAGAATTTTCAAAAAATGTCAGTTTATAAAAAAAAATAATGAAAATGACAATCCTTGGAAAATTTTTCAGTTTTTTTCCGAAAATTAAAGTCCATTTTTTAAAAAGTTATAGATATTTAAAAAGTAAAGGGACAAAAAAATAAAAACGAAAAAACGCCACTATGAAAATATACCAAATTTGCAGAAAATGCCAGTTTCTAATAAAAAATAAATAAAAAGGAAAATTTGTCAAAGTTAAAAAAACGTTAATTTTTTTTTTAATTAAAAAAAACGTTGAAAATCGGTCTGAAAAATTTTTGTCTATATTTTTCTGAAGTACATTAAAAAACTTAAATAAAATGTCCCAATCAAAGATAATACACCCCAATAAGTCAATTTTTGAAAAAAATGATGGAAATTTAAAAAAAATAGAAAACAAATAAATGCCACTGGGCCATTCCACGCGTAACGGATAGGACAGTTGCTGTGTTTTTATTTACAAAATAATATTGTTTTATTATATTACCAATGTCAAATTTTTATAAATAGTTCTAAACTAAAGCTGTTTAACAAGGTTTTTATTTGGCAAAATTAGGTATCGTGGTTGACTGTTTAATTCCTTAAAAACTAATAATTTAAAGCGTAACGGACGGGACTTTGTAATAGTCCGTTACGCTTTAAATTATTAATTTTTAAGGAATTAAACAGTCAATCACGATACCTAATTTTGCCAAATAAAAACCTTGTTAAACAGCTTTTGTTTAGAACTATTTATAAAAATTTGACATTGGTAATAAAATAAAACAATATTATTTTGTAAATAAAAACACGGCAACTGTCCTATCCGTCCCCACTATAAAATTTACAAGAATTTGCAGATAATGTCAAAGTTTCTAAAAAAATAATGAAAAGAAAAATCCTGGGGAATTTTTTCGGTTCCAAAAATAAAAAAAAACCTTGAAAACCGGTCTGAATAATTTTTTCTATATTTTTATAAAAGGTACCTTTAAGAGCAAACATTTTGACATGATGAGTCCATATTTTAAAAAGTTATAGATATTTGAAAAATAAGGAGCAAAAAGAAATAGAAAACAAAAAATAAAATAATTTTTTTCTAAATTTTTATGGAAAGTAAATTTAAAAGCAAACATTTTGAAAATTAAGAGCTAAAAACATAGAAAACAAAAAAACGCCACTCTGAAAATTACGAGAATTTGCAAAAAATGTAAAAGTTTCTAATTTTTATCTTTAAAACAAAAATTTTGAAAAAAAGTCCCGATAAGACAATTTTTTAAACATTCATAACATAACAGTGCCTTTTTGACAATGTTTTTGATTAATTGCATTGAAATATTAACACAGTGCTGTAAATATATAAAATTAGGAATATGAAGAAATAAAACAATGTATTTTATACAAAACAACTTTATATAATAAAAAAAATACTACACTAAATTTTAATCTTCAGTATCTAAATCCACCTTCAACATACTCTCCAACAAAATCATCAAAGAAGCGGCCAGAGATCTGCATTCCATATTGGACTCTCCGTAGGCCACATTGGGGCTCAGAACATCCGCCAACCACAACCTTATTTCCAACAACTCGTCCAAAAACTCCGTCGTCAAAATACTTTGCGGCACGTTAACAACGGCCGCCCCTATCAAACTTACAACGACCATCCTGACTTTCACGTCCCGATGAAAACGCAGAAACCAGCAAAACTGCAAGACCTCCTTGGCCATTCTAGGAGCTACCGGGCAGTTTTGTGACGCACACATAATTACAGCGAGAGTTTCGATGTAATGTATCAAAAGTAGGTGGTCTGTAGTGTCGGTAGCTCGTAGAAGAGCGTTTTGATTGTAACCGTACAAGAGAGGAAAGAAAAAGTAACCGGCCACCTCAGCAAATTTGTTGACTTTCTCAACTCGAAAATACTTGTGGCGCACGAATCGACGTGTTTTCGATTCCAAACGTTTTTTGATTATTTCTTCCGCTGCACTGACATGTTTTTCTCTACGTGTGATCTTTTTCTCAGTGTTAACAACCTTTAGATTCGATAAAGTTCTAGCTGCTTCCCTGAGAACATCAAGCATGAAAACCCTGTGAACTATCGAGTAAACTGTGATCTCAGCGTGTATTTTCTTTATCAAAAACTCCGTCACATTCACTGGGTAAACGCAAGCTATGGAGACGCAACTTTGAAACACCAACTCCTCGAATCTCTCCACGTAAAATTTGGGCTCCAAACCGATCAATATCTCCAGCAACTCCAAACCAATACCAGGATCATCATCCGCCAGTTGGGTTGATATGATTTGATCGCTACTTTCCAAGCTGAGAGAGAATATTTCGTGATCGTTTAACTCTAACAAACCATCACGTAAATCCCTCAAATACTTTGGAGGACTTTTGATGGTGACCTTAACATCGTTCGATAGATCGTACGGTTCCAAATCGTCATCAGAATCCAAGTCAAAGTCTGTTGAATCGATTATTTTTATATCGGTACGATTGTGTGATATGCTTTGGGAAACAACTTCGTTTTGTAGTTCTGTTGTCTTACTTCTAAAAACTCTTCCTGGTGGGGTGTACTCTACAACCACATCACTTGCGATTGTTAGTTTGTTGAGGTGTTCCTGCACGTTGTTATCACATTGTTTATCCTTAAACATGTCGGATAACGCACAGCAAAACATTTCATCCAAACTCTCCAAAACTGTTTTTATTTCCGCTGCAGCGTCGTTATAATCGAAGTTTAACATCAAGTCTTCCTGATTTTTGGTTTCACTATTCACGAAATTTAAAATATTTTCGCCCAGTTTCATCCCTGTATAACGAATCGTAGGAATATTGGTCTCCAGGTAAACAGGCATGCCCGAGTTAATAACACCACTAATTTTTCTTCTTTCAGCATCATCAACGTCTATATTATTCAAAGAATTGAATATACACATTATGAATTTCGAAATGAAAATGTGGCGTTCAATGCTCGTGTGCGTTACTGACGATTTATCGGACCATATGTTGAGGAGGTTGAATAGTAATTCTTTTAAATGGTGGTGTGAGAAGGTGCTTAAATACACCACAATATTCTTTATAAGATTATCGTAGTTTTCGTTGAAATGTACAAGAAGTGGTAACTTCTTACAAAGCACAAACTTCCAATTATCATTTCTGATCAAAGTTCCACCAAGAATATATCTTACAGAAAATTTTTCTGGATTAATTTCTAGTAGAATCATTTTGGCGAATATTTCTGTTGATGCTCTGTCTAGATTGTTCAGGATTCCTTCAAATATACATCGGTAATATTTGGTTTTATCGTCAACGTAATTCGTGGTTATTGACATAATATCAATGAAGGTTTTCAACGATTCCGATGTAAGCCTTTCATTGTAGTCGATAATAACCTTGCTCATAACCAACCCAATGTTTTCGAAGTTGATGTTATGTTTTGAAAGGTATGTTAAGCATTCAACTACTTTCAAAACATTGAGGATCAAAAAGTTGGAATATGAGTTTATCAGGAAAAAGTTGGGGAAACCTTTTTGCAGAACATTGGCTACTCTATTTGGGAGTGAGATTAATATTTTCAGAAAATTCTCCAAGTTTTCTTGCTGATCATGTAAAGCGAATGTGTTCAAATTTTCATAACTTTGACTATGGAACATTAAAACAGAAAGGACTCCTTCGCAATTCAAAGCGACTTCCAGAAGTTTAACAAGAATATCCGAGTTTGTATTTTGTACGTTGATATTTTTTGTTAATACATCCAATATAATCGGGAATAGATAGGGATCTTCCACAGTGAAAATATTCTTGACCTCCTCGTAAACTTTGCCGTTTGAAAAAGGAAAACTATGATCGAATAACTCCACCAAACTCTCCAAAAATAACTGGAACTGTACAACGTGATTTTCAGCGTTATCTTCGTCGAGTTTGGTTAATTTCTGCGGGGTTAAACACCCCGGTAACACTTTCAAAACCTCGTTCAACCGTTCCAAAACATTTTCGATGTCAGATTCGGAGGTTAATTTCTTCGTGGCGCCCAAAAATTGGATGCTATCCATCAGGACTTGTTCTATGAGAATGTTGCGTCGGGTTTTCTTTGGATTCTTGCCTTTAGTCGAGTATTCAGGCAACAAATAGTTGGCCTCGATTTTCGAATCTGAAACGGGAAAGCTCGTATGAGTTTCCCGTACACTCATTTTTATAAAGCACAAGCACAAGATACACACTTTTTAAATTTAGTAAAGCTTTGTTTTCAAGATTATTTATTTTTTCCTAAATTTCAAAACTCCTTTTTTTCTTGTTTCTTGTTTAATTTTCAAAAGAAAAATAAAACTCGTTTATTTATTTTTCTTAAAATTTAAGCAAGATAAAGAAAAAATGCAAAAGACAAAAAAATTGTATTTAAATTGATCAATCTAATTATAATATCAAACTCATAAAAAAACAGTGGCATGACCACACTTTTCAACACTTGTACCTCAAAAACAAAGCTTAAAATAATACAAGTTCATATAAACTTTTCTTCTTACTTTTGCGAGTTCTATTGACTGTTTAATTTTCCCGACTAAAATCCAAGACACCTTACAACTAATTGTAAGTGGGAAATTAATAATTTATAACGATAATTAAAGACACCACACAATTTTTAATTAATTATTGTTAATTAAATTTACAACAACAATAATCTCATTACATAATACTATTAATTATTGTGTATTTATAGGTTTGTAAGTTTATATTTAGATGTAAAATTAGCCAATTTATTTTTAGTACATTTTTAATAAATTTATCTGACAAGTAATTTTCAAATTATCAAGCAATTAAGTTAACTTTTATGAGCTGAAATATTACACATCTAAAATGTAATTAATAATTTGTCATTAAATAATAAAATAAGAAAACTATTAATCAAAATATTTAATTTGTTAAAGTTGTATAACTGTCAAGCAAATTCATGCTTGAGCATTTATTTTTTAAATTGGAAATTGGATGTAAACAAAAAAAATAATTTATTTGTTGGTTGTTATAATCCCGCTTTTTTATTGGCGCTAAATTCAAATATCGATCAATTTTAACCCCTTTGACCCAGTGGTTTCATTTTAACAAATTATTGCATTGTGGTGCCATCTATACGCCATTTTTAGTGGAATTTGCCGTAAATAGTTTATTTTTGAAAACATACAAGAAAATAATGAAAATTTCCGGAAAAGTTGGGCCGGCGAAAAAAAACAGTTCTTTTTCCGGAAAAAACGGAAAAATTGTGAAATTTTCAGAAAAATTGACTTTTGAAATTTTTCAATTTATTTAAAGGGTAATATTACAAACAAAATGCAAAAAAGTCAATTCTTTTTAAATATTTCCAAATTTTTACGGATATCTTTTCCGAAAAAAAAACAGAAAAATTGGGAAATTTCTGGAAAAAATGAATTTTGAACTTTGTTCAATTTATTTAAAGGGTAATACGAACAAAATGCAAAAAATATTTCTAAATTTTTATGGATGGAAGAAAAAAGTGAATTTTCGACGCTCATAATATTATGATTATAATAATTATTCCTTTTATTTTAATTTTGTAAGAATATTCTACCAGGAGCAAAAAACATTTTCGGTGCTGTATAAACATAAAAACTTTCGTTAAAATTATTTGACATTCCACTTTATAAAATCATAATTTTTAAATTTTATTTATTTATTCATTATTTTGTTATTGAATTTTTTAAACGTAATCCTTTTTGCAAAAAAGATCCAACCAACAGTTAACAGTTAATTTCATTCAATATTTAGTATTATTTTTTTTCTGTAATAAAGATTTTTTTTTTTATTTAAATAATGTTAAATTGTTGATTACTACTTTTTCAAATGTGTATATTATCCAAACACTTTAAAACACAACTGCTAAGTAAATGTTTGACTTATTATTGTAAGTAGCACTAATAAGAATTATTTATTTTTTAAATTTATATTTAAGAACCAATTTGAATTTATATAGTTTTACAATTTGATCTTTTAACTTTGGAGTTTTGTAATTCGTGTAAAAATCAGTACCCGGAAAAAACCGATAAATATTTTTATGGGAAATCAAATTCTCTACAAAATAGTTATTTATGTCATTAGGTTAAGAAGTAAGGCTTTTTGTGCTAAGCTCAAGGTTTGAAGCGAAGCACAAAAAGGCACTTCTTGGCCGAATGGCATACAACATTTTATCTTCAAAGCACTTTATATAGGTCAATTTAATTCAACATCAAAGCGGTCTAACCTCAGTTTTTGAGAATCTCATTTATTTATTAGCTAAAGATTACATTAAATGTACAATAATTATTATTGCCTTTCGAAGCAGTAATAGTTTGACAATACCTAGCAACATGATTTAAGTAGAAATGGATTTTTGCTATTACATTGAATTCAATTAATTGTTTAATAAATAGGTAGATATCTAATTTCAATTTGTTTGGATTTTTATTTAAAAAATAGGTAGTTTGGAATGTTTAAGCTGTGTTTAACATATAATTTCACTGAAAACTTAAAGCAAATTAAAACTTAAAGATAATTTAAATCGTAGAAAAAGAATCGTGCGTTTTCTTGGTTGCCTAACCTGACTTTTTGTTTTATTCGAATGTTGACAACAATAAAGTTTAAATTATAGACCGCGTGGAGGTAAAAGTCTTTTATCATTTTTGGCTAAATTCACTCCATCAAAAATCTTTCAAGGTTAAATTTGAAGTCAAAACGAAATTTTAACCTTGAATAACTTTTGATTGAGTGAATTTAGCCAAAATGTTGAGAGACTTTTTTTGTAAAGCATTTGATTTCCCATAAGAATATTTATCGGTTTTTTATCTGTACTGATTTTTACATGAATTACAAAATTCCAATTTAAAAGATCAAAATGTAAAAATATTTTTTGTATTAAAGTTGGTCCATTAAAACCATTTAGAGAAATAAAACTTCATTTAATTTGAAAAACAATAATTTGGGGGCAAAGGGGTTAAACAGTTTTCAATCATAAATTTATAAAACAATTTCAAAAATGGAACATTTTCAAAATTCTTGTACATTTAAAGAAGAAAAAGTAAAAATGTTTTTTATTTCAAATTTTGTTTATTTAGGGATATATAATGTACAAGAAATTTGAAAACAACCCAAATGATAAAATTTTGTGAATTTTTAAATTCTAAAAATTTCCTCAAACCCTTTAATTTGATAACCAAATCAAGAAGGTTGTGAAGAAATAGGCAATCCATCTTACCTATTGGACTGATTTAATTCTATCTCTCTCCTACATAGCTACTAAAAAAAAAATCTGAACTTGTCTTACCTGAAAATCCGTCCAACAAGTCAGTGGCAGGCGCCTGATTTAAAAGCCCCTGATTGTTGTTCAAAGCAGAGCCCCCAAACGTCGGTTGCTGCTGCTGGGGCTGAATGCCCAAGCTTGCCAGGCCGCCCAGGCCCAACAAATCGTCGCTGGGCGCTTGAGGGGCTTGAGGGGGCGCCGAAACCGTCGCGTGGTTGCTTTGAGCGAAGGCCGACGAAAAATCGGCGAAGTCGTCGTCGCTTTTCGTCGGCGGCTCTTTGAAGGCGTTCTCGAAATCGCCGAACTCGTTGGATTTCCGCGGTGCTTCCCCGGCTCTAGGATCGAAGTCGTCGTTCAACAGGTTGCTCTGTTGAACGGGGCTTTGAGTGGACATTCGCCCGAAGTTAGCTGCAGCCCCCAAATCCACTTTTTTTAAAGGTTTGCCCTGTTTTTTCGGCGAGGTGTTGATGGAGGTGTTCAAGTTGATGTTGACCCTCTTTTCTTGCGGGAAGTCGGTCTTGATGTGGCTCTGCGTGGTGGAATAGTTGCTTTTAGAGTCGGTATCGCTCTCTCCCTTCTCGTACTCGTAGTCCTCGTCGAACGATCGGTCCCTGTATTGGTTGGCGTTGTTTGAGTTGTTGGAGTTGTTCGAGTCGTCCCAGTCGTGTTGGTCTGCGTAGTCGCGATCGCCGCGGTCTCTGTTCGACATCGGCGGTCTGTCGTCCCAGCCGCCGCCGTGACCACCTGTTGAACAATATTATGTTGCAAAATGCTGACAATCCCACATAACACAATATGTTTTAAAAATGTTGTCGGGTCGTTTGAAAACAATATTTACAAATGAAAAATTGATAAATCTTCACGAAAATAGTTATTTATATATCAAGGCAGTAAAGTCGTATTTTTTATCACGGATTTGGAAATTATTTGCTGAGGCGAAAGCCGAGGCAAATAACTACGTGAGTGATAAAAAATGACTTTAATGTTTCGAGGTGCATAATAAATTTTATCTGAAATCACATTTCTAAATATACTGTTTGTTGCGACGGTTATGGTATATTTTATAATCTAATTAATAAAATTAACTTATTATTTTTATTAAACAACATTTTATGAAAGGGTACAATCGACCTCCGCGACGGTGCTTTTTTTAATATTATTTAGTTGCTGCTGAGTAGCAGTAGATATATCTTAAGATGTATAATGGGTTGCATACAATACTCGTAGTAAACTGGCAGTAAAATTCTACTTTACTGCCGATTTCAGATAAAATATTTTTATAACTGTCACATATAACATTCTTAAATATCACGTGAATACTTTTCATCATTTATTTTACAATTTTATGTACCTATATATTATTTCCTAAACATTGTGGATAGCCGTTTTACTATTTAACAACATGCAATTATGCTATATGGAAAAAAGTAAAGCTTTTATAGAGAAAAGTTCAATATTATACATAGTTTATACGCTAAAGAAGTATCGGGTTTTCGCAACGCGCGCGCCATCTGGTGGACTTGAATTTAAGAATTATCAACAATACATTTAAAGCACAGATTATACATCATTTTTAAATAAATATGTAGTTTTTCACAAAAGAGAGGAAGGCAGAAGTCTTACTCGACAAATTTCATTCGATTGCACAGCTAAATCGCGCACGATAATTGTTTTACGTTGCAAAAACTTTTTTATTATTTATATTGATTATTCCTTATACCATTTATTAAGAAACTCAATGCTTAAATGCTCATATAGTTACGTTAGTGTGTTTATTTTATCTAAGGAATCATGGTGAATAATTGTGTTTTTAATTGTAAATAAAATTCAAGAACTAAATCGTTGCATTTTCATGTTTTGCCAAAGGATCAATTTGGTAAGTACATTTGTTGGTGCAGAATTAACTAATGATAACTTTACCTAATATAATTTATATTTCAGTTTGGACATTTTTAAGAAATTGGTAAAAAATAATTTTTGCACAAACATAACCTTAAAATCAACCATTTTTATGTTTGAGTTCTCTAAAAAACGCCGACAACTGCATTTTACACAATAAAATATACCTACGAATTCATGGCAACATATTATATATAATACATAATATAATGGTATTTTAATAATGCTAAATGCTGTTTAAATTTAGACGACTTATTTGTTTGACGATTTTACTGAAATATTTACACTTTTCACGTTAATAACTACTAAAATGTGTATTTATTGTATCTAATAGGTAGAATTTATATTCACAGAGATTGTATGCAATTTATTTCTTCATTAATGGAAAACCGGTAAAAAATCAACCCAGAATTTCCTCTCGAAATACACCCAACAGCACAACAAATCGAGCCACGGTTTTTTCCCGATATTTTTTAATATTTTCCGGCTTTATTCTCAAAAACACTCGTTTGTAACATAAGCGTTTGACAGCTGCTTAAAATAAGAAAAAGTTTATTTTCCAGTTTTTATTGAACTGTTAAACATTATCTACTCAGTTTAGGTATTGGTTATTTTAAGATTGAAGTGTGAGATTAGATTTAAAACAGTTTAATATCATTTATGATATTTTAGGTTTTTTCTTTATTTTAATATTAATTATTTTGACAATTCATTATAGACTAAAATGTCTAACATAATTGTTATATTTTTAATTAATTCTATAATATATGTATATAAGCCAAACATTTTAAAAACATTATCCAAATTAAAGTAAAAACCATAAAATTGAAATCAGCTAAAAACTCTTTCAATTATGTAATTATGTTTGATACAATTGATACTATTATTGTAAACCATTACGTAAAATATAAAGCAATGATTCAATAATGAACAATTTTATATAATTTAACTAAATTAACAAAACTATGTAGCAATACAATTGATTTTTATTTAGAAGCACTTTCCAAAGCAAAAAATAATAATTCGTATTTTTCTTTAAATTTTAAAATTATTTGTTTTATTTTTTATAAATGATAAAAGCTTTCCTTATATAATTTCAGGGAAATATTTAAATATTACTTCCGCCATAGGATGTGCGTCACATGGACGAGTGAATTAACGCATAAAAAACAACTTTTATTGCATTCATGTTGTAAAAGATTGAAAGAATGCCACAGATGTTGTTATAATTCTAATAAATTTTTAAATGATAACTTTTTTATTTTTATAAAAAATATATATATAATGACTCTCATATCAATTATATATTGAGTTAGGGAAGCCCAAAACTAACAAATAATAAAATAACCTTGAGCAAGTTTTAAACTATTTTTTAACTACATTTAAAAAACACAATAAACTGTAATACTAAAAGTTTAAAATATGCATTTTTAAGCAATTTAATAGTAATACACAATTTTAAAAATTAAATACCATAATTATAATATATCTGGAAAAACTAACATGCATATAAATAGTGTTATCTCTCTTATCTAAAACCAGGTATATTATTAGTTTTTATAATAAATAATGCGTTGTAAATGTATATAAAAGTATTATTACTTAATACTACTGAGTTAAAATACCCTTGAGAAACAACTAAAGACATTTTTACTTTTACATTCCTCATGGTTTGGTAATTAGTGAATCATAATTACTTTTGCAATTGGCACTTAATGTGTTTATTATTAACAAGCGATAATATTAAACAACTAACCTGATCTCATGCCCATCATATCAGAACTCATTCCAATATATTTATCCTTATTCTTTTTGGCTTTTTTCCGCTCCTCCCTCAATCGATCATCATCCTGTATAAAGTCTATTAATTCTTTCACCTTGTGTCTAATGTTGACTCCTTGGTCTTTTCCCACCTCATCAGTGTATGAATAGTTCTCCAAAGATCTCAAGTCGTAGATATGTTCTCTTGCTGAGGTCACAACCCTTTCCGATCCGTTTTTTATTAGGTAATTTAAAACTAGTAAAGACTGAAACTGAATGTTAAACACTGAATTTAAGTTATGATCTGACAAATTACCTTGTAGGTTCGTCTCCAATGTTGCTTATTGTCTTGAAGCATTCTTTTCCACAGCATGGACATAACTTCGGGAAAATGTTCGTATGTAAACGTGGAGTGAGCTAATTCTTGCATAATTTGTCCAGTGGGTCCCCAGGCTTCATCGTTGGTTGCCTCCCTAACTTTTGCTTCGATTTCTGTGTAGTTCATAACAACATTGGTCCTAAAATAAACACTTTGTACCTTCGCAAATCTGTATAAATAGAATTCGATGGCATAGAGAAAACATGACCAAAAAATATAAACATCTGGTTAAACGCTTTTACTTACACTTTATCGGCGATTTCTCGCATTTTCCACATGCTAAATATTTGCTCCATTTTTCTCCTATCTGATTTCGTTTATAATATTGAGGCTAACAGAAGATTTATTAGAATTTATGTACACTTTAGTATATCGGTGACCTGGCTATAATACAACCATGTTGCCAATCACAGAAAAAGGATGTGAAAACGCCAAACGTCAAAGTTTATGTTGGTAGCACTGATTTGTCTTGTTGTCAAAGTATAGAGCTAACAAGTGTAGATTTATATTTTAACCATTGACAATGAAAAATGTAGATAAAATAATAAAGTTTAGATTTTTTTTTATTATTGGGACTTGTGTTTTTTTATTAAGTTGGTAGCTTATGCAAGTTTGATTTAGTATGTAAAAAATGGTACTTCTGCTGAAGAACTTCATTAAATACTCTGACACTGTCAAATTGACAGTAATATTTATTATTGATAATTTACTTAATATCGATATATGCCAAAAATAATATCAGATTCTAAAATAAAAGAACTTTTAAGGACAAAACTTCATTTTGATGAAATTATGCCAAATGCCTCAGAAAAAAATTAATTGCGTTTTTAACTACGAATTTTGACAACTCACTCGACTCAACTTGACAACCGTTCAATGTAACCTACAATAATTTAAACATAACCACAATTACATTTATAACTAGTTTAGTTTGTTTTAAGCAATACCAGCCAAACCCCTAAATTTGCTACATTGCCAGATAAAAAAAATGAAGTTTACATATTTTCGTTGTAAATTAACTGATCTATAAAAAGTTAATTTTGTTTTTTCGATAAATTTACAAATTAGGGTTTTAAAATTTCCGGAAAAATTGAGCCGGCGGAAAAAACTGTTTTTACCGAAAAAAAACGGAAAAATTGGGAAATTTATAAAATTGTAATTTTGTAATGTTTAACTTTATTTAAAATTTTGTATTTTGATATTTTTAATGGACTCCTTTTTGCAAAAAAAAAACAACCGACACTATATTTCACGTTTACGTTTATTTTCTTAAATCAATTTAATTTAATTTAAGGTTTAGTATTTTTTTTTTATAGTAAATGATTTTAAATTAAAATAATGTAAAGTTTTTGATTGCCACTTTTTAAAATGTGTAATTTTCCAAAAAAAAAAACGATTTTTCCCAAAAATAAAGACAATTTTTCCAAGGCCTGGGATGAAATAGAAAAAACAGGTTTATTTGGTTAAAAATTATTATTGTCTCTAGAAACTCTTCATAATTTATATATAAACTAAATAAAACATTTGTCCTGATTTTTGAGAATTGTCCTGTAAAATTAATTTTTAAGCCTGTCAACCCTACCTACCTGCCTTATTTAAATTGTGTCCATAACCAGCATTTTATTTAAATATTTTACGAACTTTTGTTTGTAAAATATTAATACTTACCTTATTAATAATAATTTTATGGGAAAACATTAAGAAAAACACAAGTTCTTTATTAATTATATATTATTATTAAGTCAAATCCAAAAAAACTTTATATTACAACCTATGTACAAAATACTAACATTGAAATAAAGATTCTTAACAAGAAAACTACCTGAACTTAAAAAACACAACAATATATATAAAGAAGAATAACACACTTAAATTATGTTATAAATACATGCAACTACAGAATATTCAAAGGAGCAATTTTTTAATCAAATCTTATTATAAGCAATTATTACATAAGTGGGTAATAAGAAGTATATACCATATAAAAGGCTGCAATAAAATTTAGAATAAAACCCTGAGTAAAATACTTAATATTTTGAAATAAAAAAATCGAAGATTCTGTAGCCCGTTAATCCCGAAATGTACAGCTGACAAAACTAGTTGACACTCCATTTTCCGAAATACTTGAAATATGTACAATTGTTAATTATTGGGTGTATGGGAGGCCAATAATAAATTACCCTACAACTATAATTATTGAGCTTGGATATAAACTAAGTAAATTACCAGCGCTCAAAAAAAAAAAACTAAACAAAATCCACTATAATCTATGAAATATAAATGTGTCAACATAATATTTATTCTTTATTTAACCTAGTAATATACAAGTGGGCGAAAAAGTCGTTCAATAATCCCCGATAACCAAGAAGACTATCAAACAACAGTCAACTCATGAAAATGAAAGTTATAATTCATTTTAAATAAAATGAAGTATAGTGAAAATGCATAATCACAACAGTTAATGTTAATAATCATAAAAATAATATAGTGCAGCTCCTAAAGTTAGCGTTATCATTAATATAATAATAATTAAAACAGTAAAGGAAAAAATTGTCAGTCAAGAACTCTCTTCGAGAAGAAAAGTTGCATAATATAAAAAAACTTGGCTAACAATCACAATTAAATTATCCGCTTAAAACCTAGTCAATTAATCGATAAACTGCACTAATAAAAATTCACAAGGATTAACAAGAGCTTGATAAAATCAAGTGACTATAAAACGTAGGAGGAGCATTTGCGGTCTACGCAGTGATGCCAACTGCTCCCTCGACGGGCGCGAAAACCTCCGCCGCTGTCGACGGCAACGTCGGAATCCATTCGGCAAAGCCGTGATCCACCAACAGCTGATTTAAATAGATCGGTTGCTGAAATAAAAACCCCCATGTTTATGTTTTATTTTAGCAATGGCTAGGGTTGCAACTTTTCATGAAAAGTTGAAATTTTTGAAAAGTTGGGTTTTATTTTTCGGAAAAGTTCGGAAAAGTTGGAAAAGATGGAAAAGTTGAGTTTTTTGTAATGTAAATGTATAAAATTACAAAAAAATATGAAGCAAATTATGGAAATTTACAAGTAAAAATTTAAAAAGAAAAAAAAAGAAAACTTTCTTCTTTTCCACTTTTATATTTTCACTTGCAAATTTCCATAATTAAAAAAATAATAATATTTTTTTCATACTGTGTATAAATTTAAAATACGTTATAATAAAACAATCTTTATATAATAGAAAATGCTGTTAGCAGACACCATTTTTGATAAAGTTTGACAGAATGTTATTCCAAAAAACAATGCTTTTAGCACGTTTTACTAAAAACACTTCAAATCTAGCGATTTATATCGAATTTTGACCAAATTATCTACCAAAAAAAATGTATGGTAGTGGAAACACTGGTTAGAAGTCAACTCATTGTTCATTGGCTCCCACCTAATAACTTTTCCAACTTTTCCAACTTTTCGACCGAACATTTTCTTGTTTGCAACACTAGCAATGGCGCATGTCTCACTATGATTTTCTTGTGTTGTTTGGCTCACTAAACGCGAAAATCACACTTAAAATTTTTTTCATGGAAGCGTTTAGAAGATATGAATTTTCAATTGTTTTTTTTTTAATTTTCTGAAGTGTTTTGACGTTTTAGAGTATACCTTAAGTTCTAATTGATCGATTTGACCAAACAAGCACTTAAATCAAAGGTAATTGAGCCCTCTACAACTTTCTCTCGTACAGTTTTGGTATCGGCTCAGTAGTTCGATACTGGCGATTTAATGAAGTCGAAAAAGTCCTTTTTTTTTACAAAAATCAAGGTCGAAAATTTACATAACTTTCCGGGAAAGATATAAATCGAAAAGATAAGTCCAGTTTGATTTATTTTACGTATAGATTATACTTAAAGGAAAAAAATAAGCTGCTGTTGATAAAAATCCATGGATAAATGGCGAAGTTATGAATTTTTTAGTGGAAGAGCAAAATTCAGTTTCATTTTATTGAATTTTATAAAATTTGCTTTTGTATTCCGTTTTTCGTATGAGGGACCAAATGTAATCACCCATCATGGCTGCATCCCAGAAGCCGTGATACCGCCGCTCCATAGCCTTCATTTGCTGGTGAAAACGTTCTCCGTGCTCATCACTTACGTCGCCCAGATTGTACGGGTTATTTACGCACTCGAACTCTCTACTTCTTTTACTCATTTTACACTTTTTATTAACTAAATAAAACCGTGATAAAAATACCTTGTTGAAATATCAAAAAATAGCAGTAATATGTCACTATGCCAACACGAGAAACAAAAGAATTCGCATTTGCGGAGTCATGTCAAATTTACATTTTGAATAATGTTTTCGGTGAAAAAAGTACGCAAAAAACTCAAAAAATTCCAATTATGCACTTTAATTAAGTTTTCATTAAACATATTATAAAATAAAAGAAAAAAATTAAATAAAAATCGTCAAAAAGCTAAATTTTGGTTTTCCACTAAAAAATTCATAACTTCGCCATTTTTCCATGTATTTAGCTTGTTTTTTTTTGTAAAAATGTTAGCTTCACGAAAAAAAATCAAACTGGAGTTATCTGTTTGATTTAAACCTTTCCCAGGACGATATGTAAATTTTCGACGTCAATTTTTGCCATAAAAACGAATTTTTTAAGTTCGCTAGCGTCAAAATACTTATCCGATATCAAAAGTATGTAAAAGAAAGTTTTAGAGGGCTCAAATACCTTCAATTTAAGGGCTTGTTTGACCAAATCGATCAATTACATTTCAAGCTGTAATAAAAAATGTCAAAACACCTCAGAAAATTGAAAAAAAAATTGAGTGGGATTTTCGTGTTTAGCGGCTCAAAATACATGGGAAAATTATAATGGGATATGGCGGGCAGAATTTTTTTCCATTTTGTAAACTAGTGTTATTATTAAAAACATCTTAAAGCAATGGTAAACAATTATTTTTAAACAGTTATGTTTTGATTTTATGACAGTTACTGTCAACTAACTTCCGTCAATGTGTATTTAAAAGGACACTTAGTAAAAGGTGGGAGTATTTTTTTTTTAAATTTACGATATTTATCCCATTCCCTTTTTGTTTGCCAAGTTAAAGAATTTGGTTTATATTTAATTCAACAAATTAAAATAAATAGCTATACGCTAAAGAAGTATCGGGTTTTCGCCACGCGCGCGCCATCTGGTGGACTTGAATTTAAGAATTGTCCACAATACATTTAAAGCACAGATTATACATCATTTTTAAATAAATAGGTAGTTTTTTTACAGAAGTCTTATTCGACAAATTTTGTTCAAATGCACAGCTAAATCTCGCACGTTATTTGTGTTTTACGTTGCAAGGAAAAAATTAAAAAACTTTTTTAGTACTCGATTTCGATTGATATATCATTAATTAAGAAACTCAACGCTTAAATGCTTATATAGTTACGTTAGGGTGTGTATTTTATCAAAGGGATCATGGTGAATTATTGTATTTTTAATTGTTAATAAAATTCAAGAACTAAATAGTTGCATTTTCATGTTTTGCCAAAGGATCCGATTCGGTAAGTACATTTGTTGGTGCAGAATTAAATAATGATAACTTTACCTAATATAATTTATATTTAAGTTTGGACATTTTTAAGAAATTAGTACAAAATAATTTTTGCACAAACATAACCTTAAAATCAACATAATATTATATATAATTAGAGATGCGACTTGAAAAAAAACGGTTCGTTTTTTTTTGTTTTTTTTTCAAAATGAAATTTTGAGTAAAATGTAGAATATATTACATTTTTCATTATTGAAAATTTTGACCAAGACTAAAAAATCTTATTATTTGGTAGTTTCCACATTAAAAACCAATAGCAATGTAAAACTTCTACACTAATACAAAAAATTAAAGGATAATTTTTTTTACATCTCTATATATAATACATAATATAATGCTATCAACGCTTTTAATAATGCTAAATGCTGTTTAAATTTAGACGACTTATTTGTTTGACGATTTTTACTGAATTGAAATGTTTACACTTTTCACGTTAATCACTACTAAAATGTGTATTTATTCTATCTAATAGGTACAATTTATATTTACAGAGACTGTATGCAATTTATTTCTTCATTCAGATTAACACTGTTTAATGGAAAACCGGTAAAATCTCAACCCAGGATTTCCGTTTGAAATACACCCAACAACACAACAAAAGTTTTACTTTTGTTAGCGATACTTCTTTAGCGTGTGTAGTAAAAGCTTATAAATTTGGAATGGGTACTTACATTGGGCGTGGTGACTATGTAGCAAAACACAAGTGGCACGCAACCATCTTCAGTGTAGTCTAAAACTTGGGTGTAAATTAAAGCTCCTTTGGTAACTTCGGCCACCAAATCGAAAGCTTCCGGTGCCCAGCAGGCGTCGTCTAAAACGACAAGTGAATTTAGAAAATCTAACAAACCACCGCAAATGTACTTACCCCCACCTACGGGTCTAATATTGGCCAGGATGCATTCGGCCGCTTGGAATGGCAACAAGAGGAAGTCTCCTCTGATTTGTCTCAGATTGCAGTTGTCCATGATGGCGTAACCGCCGAAATCTAAAAACTTTACGTAAGACGTGTCTTTTTCCACGTCGGCCGACAGAGTGATTGCCCTGTACCACGAATCTTGCGAGTACGCTACGCAGATTGTGTTTTCAGGGATAGGGGTTGGCAACATTGGAGAACCCTCCTCTCTGTATACGGTGTTCATGAATTGCACCAATACGTTTAGGCTCGGATACGTCGGGTGCATAGGCTGCTGTAGGAACAAGTGGTTTGGGGCGGCTATGCAGCTTAAAATTGTGTCGTTGTTGATACCTTCAATGAGTTTTAGCTAAAAATTTATATTGATAAGTAAGACCGTTTCTAAAAGAAAGGATTTTAAATTATTTAATATAATATACGTCGATTATTATTAGTATTTCTAAAGTGTTGAAATGTCTAAAAATATAGATTCTGCGCAACAAAACCTTGATACTGTTAATCTATCAAATACTCCAAATTTACCTTTTTAAATTACAAAAAACACTATTTTATTACTATTGAAAAAGCTGTGACAAATTTATTTTTTGGAGAAAGAAATGTTTGACGCTATTTTTTAATCTTGAAAATCGTATTTTATTTTTTGTTTCCAGTTACTCAACATTAGTTTCTAGGAAGTACTGTTAAAAAAATAAAAAGGGATTATGAAAATTGAAACATTGCGTGAAACATTTTTCTCAAAAAAATTAATTTATCATTTACCAAAAGGGTGATATTGATCCATCAAAAATGACAAATTTGTCTTGTTTAATTACAAAAAACACTATTTTATTATCATTGAAAAAAAGTGTAAAATTTATTTTTTGAGAAAGAAATGTTTGATGCTATTTTTTAATCTTGAAAATAGTATTTTATTTTTCTTGTTCCCAGTTACTAAACATTAGTTTCAAGGAAGTACCGTTAAAAAAAGTTAAATCCAATTATGAAAATTAAAAAATTGCGTGAAACATTTATTTCTACAAAAAATAAATTTGTCACATACCAAAATGTTGATAATGTTAATAATCTATCAACATTTTTAAATTTACGTTGTTTAATTACAAAAAACACTATTTTATTACTATTGAAAAAGCTGCGACAAATTTATTTTTTTGAGAAAGAAATGTTTGATGTTATTTTTTAATCTTGAAAATCGTATTTTATTTTTCTTGTTCCCAGTTACTAAACATTAGTTTCTAGGAAGTACCGTTAAAAAAATTAAAACCGATTATGAAAATTAAAAAATTGCGTGAAACATTTCTTTCTACAAAAAATAAATTTGTCACTTACCAAAAGGTTGATAATGTTAATAATCTATCAACATTTTTAAATTTACGTTGTTTAATTACAAAAACACTATTTTATTACTATTGAAAAAGCTGTGACAAATTTATGTTTTGGAAAAATAAATGTTTGACGTTATTTTTTAATCTTGAAAATCGTATTTTTTTTTCTTCTCAGTTACTCAACATTAGTTTCTAGGAAGTACCGTTAAAAAAATTAAATCCGATTATGAAAATTAAAAAATTGCGTGAAACATTTCTTTCAAGAAAAAATAAATTTGTCACATACCAAAAGGTTGATAATGTTAATAATCTATCAACATTTTTAAATTTACGTTGTTTAATTACAAAAAACACTATTTTATTACTATTGAAAAAGCTGCGACAAATTTATTTTTTGGAGAAAGAAATGTTTGACGCTATTTTTTAATCTTGAAAATCGTATTTTATTTTTTTTGTTCCAGTTGCTAAACGTTAGTTTCTAGGAAGTACTGTTAAAAAAATAAAAAGGGATTATGAAAATTGAAACATTGCGTGAAACATTTTTCTAAAAAAAAATAAATTTGTTACTTACCAAAAGGTTGATAGTGTTAACAATCTATCAGAAATTACAAATTTGCCTTGTTTAATTACAAAAAACACTATTTTATTACCATTAAAAAAGAAAAAGCTGTGACAAATTTATTTTTTGAAGAAATAAATGTTTTACGCTATTTTTTTATCTTGAAAATCGTATTTAATTTTTTGTTTTCAGTTACTCAATGTTAGTTTCTAGGAAGTACTGTTAAAAAAATAAAAAGGTATTATGAAAATTGAAACATTGCGTGAAACATTTTTCTCAAAAAAATAAATTTGTCACTTACCAAAAGGTTCAGAGTGTTAATAATCCATCAAAAATTACAAATTTGCCTTGTTTAATTACAAAAAACACCATATAATTACTATTAAAAAAGAAGTGACAAATTTATTTTTTGGAGAAAGAGACGTTACACGCTATTTTTGAATCATGAAAATCGTTTTTATTTTTTTTGTTCCCAGTTATTAAAAGTTGGTTTCTAGGAAGTACCGTTAAAAAAAATAAAAACCGATTATTAAAAATAAAAAAAATTTCGTGAAACATTTTTTCTCCAAAAAAATAAATTTATCACTTACCAAAAGCTTGATAGTGTTAATAAAATCTATCAAAATTTCCAAATGTTTTATGCTATTTTTTAATCTTAAAAATCGTGAAAATTGTATTTTTTTTTTTGTGACCAGTTTCTAAACATTAGTTTCTAGGAAGTACCGTTAAAAAGAATAAAAACCGATTATGAAAGTTAAAAATTTGCGTAAAACATTTCTTTCCCCCAAAAAAATTTTTTTCACTTACCAAAAGGTGATATAATATTAATACTCTTTCAAAATTGTAAATTACAAAAAACGCTATTTTATTACCATTGAAAAAGCTGTGACAAATTATTTTTTGGAGAAAGAAATGTTTGACGCTATTTTTTAATCTTGAAAATCGTATTTTATTTTTTTTGTTCCCAGTTACTCAACATTAGTTTCTAGGAAGTAGGTACTGTTAAAAAAAAATAAAAAGGGATTATGAAAATTAAAAAATAGCGTCAAACATTTCTTTTTACAAAAAATAAATTTGTCACATACCAAAAGGTTGATAATGTTAATAATCTAACATTTTTAAATTTACGTTGTTTAGTTACAAAAAACACTATTTTATTACTATTAAAAAAGCTGTGACAAATTATTTTTTGGGGAAAGAAATGTTTCACGCTATTTTTGAATCATGAAAATCGTATTTTTTTTGCTCAAACTTATTAAAAGTTAGTTTCTAGGAAGTACCGTTAAAAAGAATTTTTTAATCCTGAAAATCGTATTTTATTTTTTTCTCAGTTACTAAACATTAGTACTGGTAAAAAAATAAAAAATGATTTTTAAATAAAAAAATTGCGTTACCACCATTTAAATTAGATATACAATACTTACATATAAGTGGTCTGGGATAAGTGGGACAGAAGCAAGAGGTTGTATGAAGTGCACCTGTTCCAGCGTGACTTCGGGGAACCTCTTAATTGGGAACCTCTCCCTAATCATCTTCAAAGCCCTGTCGATCTCCGCCTGCGTTCCCTCGACGGTGCACACCTTCAGCTTCCTGTTGGTGGGATGCTTCCCGGCAACCAACGTCGCGTTGGCCTTGTCCTTGATGTAGCTGACGAAGCTGCCGTGCTTGCCAATCAGCTTCCCCACCAGCGGCTGCGGGATGATGAACTCGTAGAGCGCCTGCTGGTTGGGGTCGACGGAATGCGCCGGCGGAGGGGTGGACGGGTCGCTGCCCCCCTTGCCGCTGTCCGTGGACTTCTCGCTGTGGTTGTCAGATATGCTACTCAGCGAGGGGGACGCGAGCATCACCTCGGCAGGGCTGTGATTGGCCGAGTCTCTTTCGCTGCTTCTGCGCTGAGAATCAGAGCGCTTGTTTTGCTGGTTGTTGTTGATCTTCAAGGAGGCGAGTTTTTCTTCAACCACCGCAACGTCTTTCTGCGCCATCGCGGCCCGTTTGTCCTTCTTGTTGCGGCGCTGCTTCGGGCTTGGGTTCTTCGCCTCACTTTTCCGTTTCAGCTCGAATAAACTCTGCTTTATCGGCGTCGGGTTCGATTTGATCGGCGAGCTTTGCTGCGTGAACTTGATGTTCTGTATCGACGGCGGGGAAGCGTCTTCCTCTTCGTCAAAGTCTTCCCTGATTGCTGACGGAGACGGTGTTTTAGATTTCCCTTGGCTGCCTTGGCTACCGAACGACCTGTTCAGGTGGGTGCCGGTCTTCATGGACTTGATCTTCTCGATCTCGAAGTCCAAATCCTCGTCGGAGATGATGACGGGGTTCGATTTGGATTTCGATCTCAACTCTCTGGGTATGACGATGTCGATTGGGGCGCTGTCGACGCCCGACAGGGACCTGGTGAACGATCTCGGCGACGATTGCAAACTTTCGTTCGAGTCCTCGACAAACGCGTTCTCACCGACTAAGTCTTCGGCCGGTGCGACGGGCGTTTCGCCAGGGTCACTTTTTGCACCAATTCTCTTCTTTTTGTACCACAAATAGCTGAGTATTACGGCTATACTTGGCAAAGTCAACGCTAACAACTGACGAGTATAGGACGGGGCCATAGCTTGATCGATCCACGATTAACCCCTTGTTTAACAACACGACCCTGCAACAACAAGAAAATCTCAACAAATGTCAAAACTGAAAGTTACGAGATTACGACCCGGTATATCAAAACAATGACACAAGTTGAATGTACCAAACCAACTACCGAGCTTAGTTACCTGAAACTAATCCGCCAAATTTTAAAAATAGACTCGAAAGTGAAAAAATACGTTGGCATTTCGCAGAAAAATACTACGACGCAAATTTCCTTTAAATCGCAACAAGCGCAAACTTAAAATTATTGACGTTGTTCGCAAACTGCAACGTCAATTTCCTTTTTGAATTTTGCAGTTAGTGCATTCTTCATACAAATATTTGCATTAGTATTGCATTCTCATTAAAAATGTTGTATAAGCGCCGTAGTCTTCTTTTAATGTTTCACCTATTTATTGTAATATGTGGCAAGAAATAAAGTTTCCAATGTAACAGATTTTTATATGTGCATCGGACGCAAAATGGACAGTATTGGATTTAGCTGAAACAGCAAAAAATAGTGAGAAAAACATAACCTATAAAATGATTATTTTCTTCATTGTTTCGACATTTACTTGAAGAAACTTTATATAATTATTATTATTATGTAAATATAAAAATTTAAAATGATTTATTTACTTTTGAGAATTGTTTCGTCACGCAGTAACTTTTGCAGAATGAAAAAAATAAATTACATCGTTCTTTAGAAATATTATAGTAACAAGTTTTGTACTGTTTCTTATTATGTAATATATTATAGAAAAAACAGTTAGTATGAAGTCGATTAGTACCCAGGCGCCAAACTGGTTATATTTTTCACACCGAACTTAAAATTTTAGTTGTAGGAACAAACCTATTATGTATTGCAGTTCTAAAAAAATATGGCATATTCGCATTTATTATTGTATAAAACCCAAGTCAGCTTTAAAATGGACCATGTACAGGGTGATCCCCTATAATGTCGCCCCCCTTTAACTTTTTTATTTTAAGTGTCCCAAAAAAATTAAAAGTTTGGTTATGTAGGAACTAAAAAATATTTTTTTTCTACCTATAAAAAAAATTGGAAAATTGATCAGTATACAGGGAAAAACAAAAAGTTTATTTTTTTACAATGGATCACCCTATATATGTACATTAGAATTAGAATACAGCTTAGGTAAAACAAACTGACCGAGAATGAACTTTACGGTAAGATATATGTTATGACTGGTCGTAATTTTATCTTTCGACTTTGCAGTAGGTATCTAATTTTATATCTCATTAACTTTAAGATTTGAAGACAATTTTGCGTTTGTAAATGTAAATACACTATTACCTGAAACACTTTTTCAACGCACGCAAGGGAGTTCTTTACTGTAGCTCCATCACTTCACAAATGCCCTGGAGAGAACACGTGGTCTAACCTTAATCCCTTTTTTTACAGACCGTTGCAAAGAAGACAGGTGCAACATTTTTATTTAGACACTTCGAGTATACCTGCTCATAATAATATCTTTAAAATAAATAGGTAGGTAGGTAGGTAGGTCTTCATAAAACTATAAAGCAAAATTCAATGGAAATGTAAAACCCAAGATTACCGACAACTACTACACCTTCAAGTACAATAATATTTTGTTTTTTGTTGTAAATAATATTTTCTGTAAATGTTGATAAAATTGTTTATACAAAGTTGTTTTCTGCATTTTCTGTTTAAGCAGCATTCTTTAGACTTAATAAAACGTAAGCAATTATTTGATAACGTCAATACTGATTTTTTCGTTTTGCATTTACAAAATTTTTTTTTTAATTAAAAACATAAAATTAACATCAACCGCTCTAAAGAATAGTTACTAAAAAAGTAGGAACATATTGAAATTAACAGTAAATTTAACTTTGACCTTGAATAACAATAACGTATACAAAGCGAAAACAAAAATTTCCCTGATATTTCAATGGAAAATTTTAACAGGAACATTTTTCCAAATTCTCGCTATAATAAATTAAAAAAGATGCCAAATAGAATGCATAAAATACATATATGATTGCACAATATTATTCAAACTCATTTATTGATCGAGAAAAAAATAAAACGCGCATTTAAAAAAACAATTTAAATGTCTTTAATATGTTCAATTAAGCACACTTATAAAATCTAAAGAAAATTGAATAGATGAAATAACACAAAATTAAACATATTGTGACATTTAGATGATGACTATTAAACAAATAAACATGCCTCATTAGCAACGATATTAAAAACATTATGCTATTACTTACTCGTACATAATTGAAGAAAAACCCTCATGAAACTAACAAACGTGGGCAATGTTTCGCAATGTTTGTTAAAAGCGTGTCTTATTGCGCAAAATCCAGATCCGGATAGCGCATGTTTACCCGCAAAGTTTGAAATAAAAAACGAAAAAAAAAAACAACCAACATACCGCACCATACGTTTTGTCAAGCTTGTGAGATTGAATTTTATCTTATTGTGTGGGAAGTATGCAATTTTTTCTCTGTGATACCTCATTGAAAATATAACAGTACTAAAAAAATACGCAAAATAATTTTTACAATTATTTATAACAATCTTATAATTTTGTCTTAAACGCATTTCTTTAATTGCAAAAAAAAGAAAATGTCCCTTTATCTATTATCTTCCAATTTTGCTGGAGATCCGGGTCGATATCGTCTCGACTCTGGGTGACCTTGAATATATATATACTACTACGCAGTAAGTTTCATTCAAGACCCAAAATATGGCGAAAATTTTGCTTTTTATGGTAAAAATTTATTCTTCGATTTTCCAATTCTTTAAAATTAGTTGGTGGTTCAAGACTAAAGTGAGCAATTAACTTTAAAGTTATAAGTAGGCAAAATAACATCGGTAATCCTTGTTCTAGACTTGAGAATCCTTTAAAGTTCTACAGGATAAGACTTTGCTCACGTAATAAGCTTGTGGTAATTGTAATGAACAAACAAAACGTCGTTTTGTTTATTAAGAAACAAAACTAAGTAGCGATTTTCCCAGCCCGTGACTAAAATTCTGTTGCTAACTTCAGCCCGTGACTAAAGCACCATAAAGCCACAACTTGTCAATGTGTATATAAAAGGTCACTTAGTGTCATGGAAACATGTACAATTGTGGGCGTTTTGAAGGTGGAAGTGGAAAAAAATACTAAATGTCAATGGTACATGGCTGTTCTGCCCTTCTTGAACGCGTAGAAGCAAACCAAGAGAAAGGTGTGGGCAAGAAACATTAAAACAATATTCAGTGCATAAACCGAGATTGCAATCGCAAATAATACTTTGAATTTACTGCAAATTGCATGTCGTTGGAATGCATTGCGCACAGTAGTTCAAATGCAGTTTTTGGCGCACTGTCTCACTGTTAAAAATGTTGGTAAAATTACTACATTTGTAGTCTATTGCAATTTTAATACGCATTTGTTGTAATATTACATTATGTTATATCCAAAGTACTAAACAGGTTCCAATTTTACAATGTTTTTGTTTTTGTTAGATACTTACAGTAATTTTACAATTCTGTATTGTACAATTGAATTTGAAATTTTGTAAAATTTCTATACATATTCGGAATTTAATTTTACCAAGATAATCAATAAAATTACTAACCAAAATTTGCTATTTGAATTACAATAAGTGAAAATATACAAATCATTATTTATTTTATAAAACTTCTGTTTGAATTTTTACTATATATCATTTTAATCATGTACACTTTTTTGTAAAATTACAATTGTTTTTCAAAACAATGGATGAGTAAAATTACAAATTACAATACAAAATTATAATACAATTTGAGTAATCTTAAAATTCCCAAGACATGTTGGGAAATCTACTAATATAAGTAAATCTGAGATGCTTTTTATTAGAAACTGTCAAACTGTTTAGTAAAATTACAATAGAAATTTTTAACAGTGTATAGTAAAACTTTTAGATAAGTAAATCTTTAAGTTTAAATCTTAATTGAAAAAACCGTATAATTATTAATAATAACAATAACAGGTCAAGTAGTTGTGCAAGTGAACTGTTTATTGCACCTTGAAACTTTTTAACAGCGGGTTTAACATTACACAGGTATGCATACAAGCGGAAAATGGTTAAGTTACATGTGTAATTTGATAGAGCACTTTTGAATAGTATACTTATAGATTTTGCAACATAAAGGTAATTAACTTTAATAAAACATGGAGGCAAAAGTTAAACTAAACTATGGAGTACTTCTTGCAACAAATAATAAATCAATAAATATAAATAAATAAATAAAATAAGAGTGAAGGAATGTCGTTCTTATTCAAGGTTAACAAACCTACTGACATATTAGAAAAAACCATTTCTCGCCTGAACGATGAAATTTTTTTGAATTACGAACAGGTTTCAGACAGGTCATTAGAACCGAGTTTTAACCATGAATAAATTTACCATATCAATCAAAAACACTGAATGAATTATACAATTTTTAAGTTTACCTACATCATTTTTAAATTTAAAAATATTTTAGATTATTAACGCATATTTAACACTTTTAAAGTATTTTACTTAATTAAGTAACTAATAATTTAGTCAAGGACGAAAAATTTATGTTAATCGTAAAGTCTTAAATTCTGTATGGTGTTCCTCAAGGACCCAAATTGGTGAAATATCAATTTCAATTAAAAAAGAACTGATACCAAATTGAGTCCTTGAGGTACATCATGAAGGGTTAGGAAAAATTCTAGCACTAATTAGTAGAAAACCAGTAATTAACGCAAATTATTACTTTCTCGACAATAATTAAGCTCCAAATTCGAAACAATAAAATAAAATGTTATATATTGCAAATAACACGTGGCTGATATTTACCTACGTTAAATAATTCAAACCAAAACTAAAAAAATCTAGAAAATTAATTTAGTTAAACCTGACCTGACCTCATCGTTGAATTGAAGATCATAGTTTGATTTTTTTGAGGTTTTAAAATTAAAAAAAAAAAATTGCAATTAACTAGTTCTATTTAAAAATAAGTTATTAAAAAAGGCAATTAAATTT